AATAAATAAGTAAATGAATCTTTCTTTTTTCAAAATGATTAGCTGTTTAAATATATTTTTTTTTAAGTAAATATAGATTCTCTTTAAATTTCGATTGATCGACTTGAGAAAATGAAATTTCTTAATGATTAAGAGTAAATTTACTTAAACAGTAATAACCAAGAAAATCTACTTATGATAAAACTATATTCTATACTCTTTTAAGTAATGAGTATGACTAATAATTGAATTAGATAATTGGTTACAATAAAATTAATTTAAACTTATATGATGTAAAATAATTTATAGAATTGAGATAATTGATTTAATTAAGAGAGATAGTATAAATTGATTGATATTTTTATAGATAAAGTATAATAATAAGGGCAAGTTTTGTAGAAATAATGAAAATTAAAATAATTAATTTAATTATTGGATAATGATTTTTTTATAATAATCTTATTAATTATTTGACTAATAAATTTAAATCAAACAGCTTGACTTGGGTCTTCTTTAGCTGAATATAAATGAGGATGAATATTTGGTAAGACACCTCCATCAGCAATAGTTGTATTGACCATTAATTTGTTTAATTCATCATCATTTCTGATAGCTAAGAGAATATGTCTTGGATTAATTCTATTTTTTTTGTTATCTTTAGCAGCATTTCCAGCAAGTTCTAATACTTCAGCAGCCAAATATTCAAGGACAGCTGATAAATATACTGGAGCACCTGCACCAACTCTCTCTGTATATCTTCCTTATTTTAAATATCTTGAAACTCTTCCAACTGGGAATTATAAACCAGCTTTATGTGATCTAGATACTGATTTATGAGCTCCTGCTGCCTTTCCTCCTTTTCCTGCTTTTCCTTTTCCACCTGATGACATTTCTTTTTTTAATTATTTATTTCTCTATAAAATATACCAATTCAATTTTAAACAACTTAAATATTCTTTTTTTCTTTTTATTATCCAATCATATTTTAGATTTATATACTCTATATAAACTAATTATACCAAATCACATCTCAAAAATACTTTTCTACTTCATATTTCTATACTATATTCTTATCAAATAACTTTTATTTTCATTCTCTTTTTTAAAGATATATCAAAAATAAATTTAAAATTAATATAATTGAACTTTTATAATACTAATTATTATATTTTATCCTTAATTAATTAAATAATTATCTTTCTTTATTCATTTCTAATTAATCTCATTTTATTATTATTATTTATTTATTCATTCCAAATACATATCCATATTAAATATAAATTTATATAATATAACTATTTTATAACAATAAAATAATTTTATTAATTATATTTCAATACAATTAGATATATTTAAGCTCTATATTTTATTGTTATTATTTAAGAATCTATAGTTTAAAAAATTACATAAATTCAATTTATACTTTTTTTTCAGAAATTAATTAATTAAGATAATTATAATATAAATTAATATATATAATTTATGAATTTCGATATAGTGTTTTTATTGGTTTCAATTTTAGTAATGGGAGGAAGTTATTATTTATTATTTGTAAAGAAAAAAGAGAAAACATAACCTTTAGTTTAATAAGATTAGCAATAAGCATAATAATAATAATAATAAGGATAAGAATAGGAATAATAATAAAATTAATAAAGAAGATAGTTAAATAGAGTTGATGTAGAATCAGATGATGAATCTGATAGAGAATTAGATATTTAGAATGCAGAATAATAAGCTAAAAGAGAAGCAAGAAAATAAAGGAAACAATAGAATTAATAATACATTCGATAATAAATAGAGATGTAAGAAAAGAAAAATGAAAAAAGAAGTAAGGAATATGAGTAAAAAGAAAGATTAAGAGAAAAATAGGAAAAAGAGGAAGAGGAATGGAAAAAGAAAATTGAAGCAGAATAAAAATAGAAAGAATAAGAAGAATTTGATAAATGGAGTGTAAATAATAGAATTGATTAAAATAATAGAGTATGTTTTAAGTAGAATAAAGTGGAACAATGAAATTATCTATAGAAGAAGAGGAATTAAGAAATAAAGAATTTAATGAAAAACTAGGAAATTATATAAAATTAAGAAAAGTAGTTTAATTAGAAGAAGTTGGTGCAGAGATGGGTATAACTACAAGTGAGATAGTGGATAAAATAAAATAATTAGAAATTTTAGGATAATTAAATGGTTTAATAGATGAAAGAGGTAAATATATTCATATTAGATAAAAGGAAATAGAGGTATATTATATATTTTAAAGATTATAGAGTTTAATAAATTATATAAATGCAAGAGGGAGAATGAATAGAAGTGAATTATTAAATGAGAGTAATAGAATAATTAGATTAGAGCCATCAAAGGAAGATTTAAAGAAGATTTATGAGGAAGAATAGAAATTGTTAAGCGATTTATAATAGGAATTACAACAATGAATTATAATTAATATAATTATATTTAAAAATGAAATGTGAAGTTAAAACTGTTAAATTAAAAATATTAGGATTGACAGATTTAAGTAAAATAATAAGAAATTCTTCTTATGAATTAAAAGTATATTTTGGAGGAGCAAGATAATAGTCTAAAATATTAAATTACTATGTAGGTAATATTTAATAGATATTTTAGCATCTGAACAGATAGAAATAAATTAGAATTTAGAGTTAAGTAGTATACATGGAAAATAATTACAATTTTGGTTATTTGATAAATTAAAAAATAAGTTTATTGGAGCAGGATCATATTAGTTGAATGAGAATTAAGCAGAGGGATTTTAATTATTAGATTTAAAAATAGACACAGTTATCACATGCGTTTTGATGTTTGAATTGATGGTTGAAGTGAAGGACATTTATTAGGCTGTAATATTAGAAGATGATAATATAATATTGAAGAAGGATGATTCAGAAGAGAAGAGAAAAGAATAAGAAAAATAGGAATAAGAAGAGAAACTTAGAAAATAATAAGAAGAGGAAAGAAGATTATTATAACAATAAAATAAAGTTTCTATTGTAACATTGACAAATAGATATGTTGAAGATTAATCTTATTATTGAATTGAATAATAATATATATATATATCTTATTATTGAATAATAATAAATAGATATATAATATCAATATGAATTGAATTCGACTTTAATAGGTCTTAAGAATTTATTGACTAATCTTTTAACTTTAAATGTGAATGTATATTTAGATGGTATAAATCTGGATAGTTTCCACTTCAAAAAGGAATTTAATCTGTTGATAACATTTTAATAGTTATCAATAGGATAATATAGATTGTATGAATACATTCTCTCAAACTCTTCATATTATGTATCTGGTCTTTTATACATACTTAAATCAACCATACCCACTCCTGTAGGAATATGAATATTAGATCTAATAATTGGACTAACAGTAGATCTTAATTGAGTTATTGTACCTTATCTAATAGGAATAGTTGATAATTTTGATGAAAATCTTTTCATTGATTATCGTACTTATGTAGAACTTTAACTATGTCTACCTATTTATCTTCCATATGGTGAACTAGCTTATTCATCAGATTATTATCTATTAGATAAATTTAAAGTATCAGAGTCTTCTTCTCTTATTCTTGATAAGTTTTTCTTCATTTTATCAACAACACTACTTTATGCTCTACTTTTTGTATTATTTCTTAATCTTTATTAACTCTATTAACTATCTGTATCTCCTTTAAATGTAATATGAGGAGTATTTTTAATTCTTTTAACTGATGGAATTGGAACTTCATTAGCAATTAATTAAGAAGATGTTGCTGTTTAAATAAATTATTATGGTTATAATGGATCTTATGGTGTTGAAGTTCTTTTTATTTTTTATGGCTCTTATGGTACTAATGAGAATTTATATAATTATTATTGCTACTATTGAAAATCTGTTTAATATTAAAATTAAGCTGTGCTTAATGTTCCTTTTTAATTGTTTGGCCTAATAATAAACATTTGATCATTTTCATCATCTATTTCTTTTAAAACTTTTGAATTTTCTTTAACTTAATCTTATTATTTTAGAATACTAACAATAGTTCTATAAATATAAATATAAAAATAATACCCATCTTATTTATCAATAAATCTATTATCTGAATAACCTTCATCACTTTAATAATCATCACTAAGTTCAGAACATGATTCAAGTTCTTCATCTTAAAGATCATCATCTTCTTCATCATCATCATCATAAATAATATCATATTTTAATCTAAATATTTTAAGTGCATCATAATTTTACTATAAATATATATTAACAGATATTACAATCAATCTTAAAAATATTCTATTAAAGTCTTTTCTTTCTTTCTTAAGAGATCTAGAGAAATTAGACCTAGATTATTAATTATAATTTTCCTGCTTATATACTTTTTCAAGATCTGGAGTATATGTCCATATAGGACATTTACAAATTAAATGATCAGAACTTCTACAAGAATAGCAAAACATATTAATAATTTTAAACTATTTATTTAGAAGGGAATGTTTTATAAATACGTACCTTTCATGATCGCTTTTATTTTATTATATCAATTAAACAAATTTACATTATTCTATTTTATATAATTAAACAAACCCTTTAGTTTTAACAGATGCTTATCTTAAATCTCCTGAAAAGAATGAATATTCACCAAATGAATCTCCAGTTCCCATTTAAGCTAATTAAGTATTTTAATCCATTATTTATACTTCACCTGATTCAATTATATATAATGAACAATCATCTGGTTTATGTTTTTATATTATTAATTCATTTGGATTAAATTTAACATATTCCATTATTTAAGTAAGATGTTCTAATGTATCTTTTGAAAAATTAAAAAGAGGTTTACAATTAAATAATGCCTTTATTCTCATTTAAAGTAGAATTTCCTCTTTTAAAGTAGGTGATAGTTATTACATAAGAATTTACATCTAATTATCTAAATGTATATAACAATATTACCTAATCATCTTGATTATCCTATTATTAAATAAATCTTATATAATTCCTTATTCTAGCAGACATTTATAATGATATTCCTTTTTTAGACATAAAGTTATTCATTAATTCCATTTATAACATACTTTTACTATATCTTTAATATCTTTATTTCATCATAAAACTAATATGTTTTATTATATATGCTATTAACCAACAAGATATAAACATAACAATTGTTGAATATATTAATTCTACATTTGTTTTTAGTTAAATCAGTCCTGATCCCATATGTAATAATAAACTTGTATTTAAATATATTGCATAACAATATTTTGTCCATTCATCTTCCTCTTCTATATTCAATGTCACCATCCAAGAATCTTATTCTTCTATTCCTATAAAATGCCAAAAACATGAAAATGAATGTATCACATATAATACTATCATGAATATTTTATAATAACCAATTTCAAAAGGCATAAAATCATTTATACGACACATCAAAATATTCAATTTCTATACTCCACAACTTATTTATAATACTAAAATACACCATATTAACACTGAATTCTAAGATATGAATAACAATAAAACTTAACCAATCAAATAAGTTATATCAATAATAGTTTAACGTTTTATTAATTATAATTTATACTTTATATGAAATCTTACAAAATTACCTTCTGATATGTAAGGCTTGAAATAATTTAAACCTAAATCACCTACTATTATAAAAATCGCCAATAATTCAAAGATTAGATTTGTTTCCTAATTAAAACTTATCTTAAATGGCAACCAAATACTTAACATCAATATAAAAACTATTACGACCATATCCCAAAATAGAAAATATAAAGGATTTATCTGCTCTTTATTCTTTTCATCTTATATAGTATAATGTGAATTATTTTCTAAATAATTTTCTACTAATATCTATTTTTAATATGCATTAAAATAATTATCACGATATATATAGGCTTTTTAAAGAAGAGTTCTAGCAAATTGTTTTACAAACTTTTTGTCAAATATATTTCTACTCACAGATTCTGTCTAATTAAATTCAGAATACTATGGATATTTACGTAAAGAAGACATTCCTTAATTAAATTAACTTTTCTTTAATCTCTTAGTCCCAGATTCATCAACGTTTTTTCCATCCCCTCCTTCTGAATTCATATTCAATGTCTTTGCTTTTCTACTCTATTCAAAATGATTTTATCCACTTTCTCTATAAGAAATGTAAGATCTTAATGGTTCTGTAAATGGAGATGGACAGTTTATAAATGATGAATTTATAGTTGGTGGTTTCAAATCTGATGGCATTTACATTAATTTTGGCAATTATTATTATGAAATCTATTGCCGTTTCACTAAATCTAAATTATTGGATTCATTATCAAAAGAAGAACTGTAAGAATTATGCATTACTATTTTAATAATTATATTATATTTCAAATCAATTATTTTAAATATGTTAATATTATTCTCATATTATTAAATTAATTTAATAATAAAATAAAATAATGTTCCAACTTTATACATTATTTATTATAATCACTATTTCTTTAGCATCCACTATCAAACTCAAAAACCCTATTCAAGTTGATTATTATAATGGCAAACTCAATCAAATTTTCTTAGATCAAAATCATTAACTATGGTTTGAATTTGTTAAATCTATTGAAATTCTTAATCCAAAAGAAACCATTTGTAAATCTATTCCATATCAATTTGAACCAGAAAATCCCATAACAATTCCATTTCAAAATATCACTTCAACATTATACAATAATGGACTCAAAACATTGTTTGTTTTAGAACAAAAATAATTAACACTTATCTAATTCCTATTTACAAATTTTTCTATAAGCCCTTATCATTTTAGAAATGGCTAATCTAATTAAATTAATCGAATAGAGGCATAATCCTATGATATTCAAGATGGAATTGCTTTGGCATAAATAGAAGAAAATCTTATTGTTTTACTCAATACTAATTCTAAATTAATTCTTTTTGATTTAAATACTAAAAGCTTTGTAGATCTTTAATAATTTTAAACTCAACCTATTTGGATTACAAGTGCAAATCATTTTTTATTTGTTGGGTTTTAAGACAAATTGATTTAATACTCTCTAAAAGACAAAATGTTAATAGAAATCAATCACCTCGATATATTTTTATAAGATACTTCAATTTTAATGGTTGAGTTAAATAATATTTATATAAAGTTTCCTTTATTTAAAGTTATTAAAATAACTTATAGTTTAAATATATTAAAGTTTGAAGATTACTTAAATGAGAATAAAGAAATCATAAGTTTATCATTATCAGGAGAAAAAATATCATATTTGACGAATGACAATGTATTTATAAATTCTGATCTCAAATTATTTGAATAATATGATAAATTTCTATAATTCGACGACGTTATTATTTTGATTTCAAAAGGAGGGGTTCATAAAATTATATCAGAATTCACTGATGAAATATGTATCTATGAGTGATAATAAAAGCACTTCCATTATATATTAAACATTAAAATGTCAGCGATGCACATTTCATGAATAATTTTGGAATAAATTATCACATAATAACTAGATCAGAAAAACTCATATAAATTAATGAAATTTAATTTATAGAATCTTTTATTGAATGTGATGATAGAATATAACATAATGAAGAAGATGTTTATTTTATAGCTTAGGCAGATAAGTGCTTTGATAAAAAAAAAACATCTTCTTTTGCAAATTGCAAATTCGAAGGAAAAATTTAATGTATATTTAATATTTAATTTAATAGTTAATAAAATTTCTATTTTTTATTCAAAATTTTCTGATCTTGCTTATTTGATGATTTTAGTATTAATGTTATCCATAATTTTGATTATATTAGCCATATATTTAACTCGAAAGTTTCAAAGATAGGCAGAATTATATACAGTAACTTAGAAAGTTATAACGAATGAAGATCAATCATAAGATTAAATAAATTAAGAAAAAGAATGTTGATTTGAAATAGAAATTAAATCTAATCATTCAAATTTGATTGCTTTGTAATCTTCTTCTTATTCTATTCCAATCCATCCATATTTCTATTTTAATTCATTTATTCCTTGTAATAGTTAAAGATTTAGTCTAGCAGTCTACGGAATAATTTATTCTCTTGTGATAGGATCAGTACAACCATTTGAAGTGAATTATTAAAAAATGCCATTTTTTTCATAAGTTTAACCAGTGTTAAACAAAATGGGTTCATTCATTATTTCATATGATATTACACAATTAAAAGCTTAAGGTATTGGAATATCTTAGAGTACTTTAGTTTAAGTTTATTTATCTATATAATTCCAATTTAATTTAACATTTTTTCGTTATGCAATTGAAGCAAGTACACTTTTCAAAGATGCAACATCTATCAAAGTATATTAAATTATTTATACTTCTTCTATCCATTTCTTATGCAATTAGGAATACCATTCTTTTTCCTTTTCCTAAATTTTGATGTATAAGAACTTTCAATTTATTCTTTTATTAATCATTGTTATCTTTAATATATTCATAAGCTAAAATATGATAATGATATAAATACCTTATTCTAAATATTTTAAACCCGAATGAGCTTATTTGATTAATTATTCACTAATTTCTGGAGACATTTAAACTTCTAGTAAAATTATTGTTCCATATATAAAATATGCCCTTGCATTTTTTTAATCTATTTTGATTGCCTTTTCTGCATCTAATTTAGCTTCCTAAAATTTATTCAATAGTCTATATGCGACTGCTCTATTGGAATAATAAACAGAATCTTAACTATGCAAATCCTAAATATTTATTTTGAATACAATAGCTCTAGTATAACATTCTATGGCTTTGATATAGTTTTTTTATGAGAAATAGTTGTTACCCTTAACTTTTTCATCTTGTGACTTTTGCACATTGTCTGTAGATTAAGGAGTCGAAGTCAAATTTGTGTTTTTCTAAGTATTTTATTAAGTAGTAGGTTTTTTGGCAGCTTTGAATACCTTTCTTTATTATTATGGCTATTCTTATGGAAATATTTCTTCTGTTTAGAAATTCATAAATTAACAATCTTCATTTGAGTGTGCTTATCCCATAAATGATTAATAAATTATTATAATGACTTCAAAAAAATACAAAATCAACATAATGATTAAATCAAAAAGAGCTTTTACGTTTATTTGTTTCCTTTCCTTCATCATAGGCATGGAAAAATTTCATTAGATCATCAACTTTCATTTAATCAATTTATTCATTTTCATCGTAATCACTGTGACTGTAAATAGAACTAGTTTTTAAGTCTTTTTATTTGATTGCAGATTTGTTTTTGGAATCAATAGTCATTTCTGAATTGTCACATAATATATGATTAATTATATATTTAAATAAACGAATAACTTAAGTATCCTAAAATAAGTATAATTGATATACCTAAGAGCTAATTTTAATTTCCTCTAAAGATATCTTCGAATTGTCTTTTAGAAATTATTTGATAGCAAATAACATAATAGCTGCAATTTTAGATTTAGAAATATGTCCATTAAATGGTTCCAATAAAGGAAAAGCAATAGATTTAACTCCTAAATTTGTTGCTAATTGAAGACAATTAATCATGCATTCATAAATATTTTATCTCTCATGTGTTTATTATGAATCATTCATTTTATCAGTGTAAATATGAACTCCATCTATTTACTATTTTAAACCTTCTTATAAAGATTCAGTAGGTTGAAAATCAGTAGAGCCTTCAGTAATATATGAACTTTTTGGCATCATCATAGTTGTTTCACAACCACTAGACAATACTGTATATATTATGTAATCATAGTCCATCTATAATTTATGTTTCAAATTTATACATCTCCTGCATGAGTATACACTACTTAACCTAATTCAAGTTTACAACCTTCATTTAAACGTACTTATTTCAATTCATTCATCACAGATTACCCTCCATGTTTTCTAATTTATTAAGTAATAGTTATACTTAAGGAGATCCTCCATATTTTATCCCATTTTTAATCTATTACTTACAATTAGGACTATTGTATCGACATCTTCATTAAACAATAATTTGCTATAACTTAAATTTATTTTGCAACCAGCAAATGATGCATGAGCTGCAATATTAGGTTATAGACTCATTTTTGAACTACTCCCAAAATGATCAGAACCAGAACAACATAATGTTTTATTTCCCATTTTAATTGTATTTATTAAAATAAATTTACTATTACTAAAATATCATTGAATTTTAGAATAACATATATGATAATCAAAATTATCTTGTTGAATTAACAATTGTCAATCTTTTTAAATAATTATTGTTATAATAATACTCTTTTCAAAAATTAATGAAGATTATTATTGATTTTTTTGTAAATGAAATATTTTTCAAACAAAATTCATTCTTTGTTATATTCTTAAAGTATCATAAGACTGTCATAAAGATTTTGATTCATATATTATTCCAAAAGTTTTATTAATCTATTTTATATTTAGACATTATACCTTTATGCTCTTATTCTATCAATTCGTGTATTCAAATCTTGAATTAATCTTTGTTATTCTTGGATATATTGGTCTTTAGAATTAATAGTTTCATCATTAGTAGCTTGATCTCTTAATCTACTATTTTCTTCAATTAATTCATTCATTCTTTAGAGCAAATCTGGATCAGATTACTAAAATTAAAAATAAAATTATACATTAGCTATCGAATTGAAAAATACTAATTCTTTTAATTAGATATTTCTTTCAATTATGCCAATCAACTTTTCAGTTGCCATTTTCTTATGAATGAATTTATATTGAGTTGGTTAAATAGTACTCTTCAACATTTATTCACCTAATCTTTATGATTGAGAAGCTATCAATATCAATTCAGTGAATCTTAATTTCAAATGTCTACGGAATACTCTTTACAAAGTATTAAGAGCAACCTATTAACTATGCTTTATTATTATTGATTCCATTTATGATTTGTTCTAAGAATCTTTAACTGGTGTCTATTATAAGAAACTTGAATGTGATGGTTAGAATGAACTAGCATCAGTTACTCCTCTTCCAAAATGTTCGATATTTGTAAATGCTCTTTATCTAACTCTGTCGTATGCTTTCAGCAAATTATTTATCAACTTTTTGCATTTCACTATTTATATAGTATTTAAACTAACAGCTTTCTATGTAGTTGCATTATCTCTCATTCTCCAAAAAGCAATTTATGGAGTAATTCTTGAATTCTTTGCAATCATCTAAGCCACTCTCTAAAACCATTAATTTTAAAGTTTAGGTCCTCTCCAAATATCTAATGCTTCTTTCATTAACTCTCTATCTTATTTCATATTGAACAAAAGTAATTTTTATAGTGCATTAAATACTGAGATCATGTTCTTCTTAACTGCTCTAATATTCCATTTTTAGAAATATATTCTTAATTTTATCTATGCAAAGTTTTAGAATAAAAGAATTGCTTATTTCTTCAATCTAGTCTCTCTATCTTAAGCAGATTCCTTTTTAGTTGTTAAACTTGATGATAAACGTTTCCATTCTACAAAAGCAACATTTATTTAGTTCATTTTATGTTGATAGAATAATTAAATTGCAAGTTTCTTCTTATCTGATATAGTGAAAGCTTCTGCTGCTCTACTAAATTCAACAACCTTGTACCATTTCAAAAATGCTTTCTTTTAAGCACTCATACAGTTATACAGCATTTTATTAATGGCATATTTTTATTTTGCTTATCCATCTAAATAAACATTTTATAATTGATTAAATGCTGACTTTCTAACCATATGAATTTTGAATCGATTAAGAGATTTTTCAAAAACACTTGCTTTTATTTAATCTAATTCTTTCGTTTCAGGTAATGCCTTCCATTTTTAGAAGGTAGTTTCTAACTATCCTACTACTGTATGCAATAATTAGATTTATATTTTTTTAATTAAAGCTTTATTCTTTCTTTCCTATTAAAACTTTCTTAAAATATCTCTTAATTTACCTTAATCATTTGTTCTTAAATTTCTATGAAGAGCAAATAGCAACAATCTTTTCTTTTCATCATCCAGTTAAGTTTGAATCTTAGCTTATTTAGTATGATTATTCCAATTAATGAAAGCCCATCTTAAACAATTATTATAATTCATTAACATTTTGTTCAAAACACTTTCTTATAATTTATTGGGTTTAAATATTGTTTAGACATGGCCAGCTAGTGTTAGAGAAAGAACTTAAAACAAATTTGTAGTATGTCTGCATGTTTCTATTTATTTATGTAATTTATTTATATCTCTCCAATATATGAATAATCTTTTATTTTAACCCATAGCAAGTGTCATTAATTTTCTTAAGCAATATAACTTTTTGCTATTACCATCTTAATAGATATCTTTGAATGGTTCAAAAGAACCTTTTACACGGCCTCTAAAAAGTGAATCTAAAGTTCTCTCAAATTTTCTTGCATTCTTTAATTATTCAGTATTAACTGGTTCTGGTAAATTTTTCCATTTTTAGAATGCTACAATAGCACCTCCAAATTAAGTTGCAAATAATTTAGCAAAGAATCTATCTTAGACAGCAGTAATGCTTGAATTTCTTTTAAATTTAGCAAGAATAGCTCTTAATCTTGCAAAATCGTTATTTTTAGAGAAGTTGTTGATTGCTTCTAATAACAACTTCTTTTTCTCTTCAGTCATAGCACCTTATAATTTTGCTAACTTACCATCATTGTACCATTTCATAAAGAAATACCTTAAATTACTATCAAAGTTTCCTATAAGTCTAAGTAAAGCTTTTTCTTTTTTTTATGATTCTTCATCTGGTTTTAATGGGGCAATATTGTTTTTGATATGTAGTCCAATAAATCCAAATAATCCAATAACACATTTACATCTTTCTACTTCTTTAATTAAACCAACATTCTTGTTCCATTAATCCAAAGCTCTTTATTGTTCAGATTCTTAAGTCTTAATCATCAAAATTATTGCTCTTTTTTTTAAAGCTTATGCATCATCATAAACTTCTTAGAGAGGATTCCAAGTTTTTTTTCTCCAAATATGTAAAGCAAATTTGTTTAATTAAGTTTCAAACTTACTTGCTTTAATTAAATCTTCAGCATTAGCTTCAGGAAGATTCTTCCATTTATTAAATGTATCCCAAACAGCACCTATTTAAGTTCTTAAAATTCTTGCATTAATTTAAAGAACCAACTTTTCTTTTTTATGAGCCAAAGAGAATTTAGCTAAAATTGCTCTATAGAGAGCAAATTTATTTCCATTTTCAAATTATACCAATTATTCAGTCAATTTCTTTTTCTTCTCAATTGTTAAAGCATCTTCAAAGTTCTAATTCATTCTTTCCTATTGAGCTCTATTTCTCCATAAAATGAAAGCTCTACTTAAGTTTTCAGTTTAACCTTAGAATATTAGATGTAAAGCTTTTTCTTTGGCTTATGCTTCTCGTGGATTTTACATAATAGGTTGAACATTGGCAGTTACAATTTATGCTAAACCTACAAATAAGCTTGTAGTTAATTTGCATAGTTCAATTTGCTTTGCTTATCTATTCTACTAGGCCCAAAGTAAGAATAATCTTTTATGAGCACTCATACTTTTCTCAAATATTTTTCTTAAACACATTCTCTTTATATTTTAAGCATCCATGTAATCCTCTTTTAATGGATCAAAAGAAACCTTTAAGTGACCATGGAATAGAACATCTAATTATCTCTCAAATTTTCTTGCATTCTTTAATTATTCAGTATTAACTGGTTCTGGTAAATTTTTCCATTTTTAGAATGCTACAATAGCACCTCCAAATTAAGTTGCAAATAATTTAGCAAAGAATCTATCTTAGACAGCAGTAATGCTTGAATTTCTTTTAAATTTAGCAAGAATAGCTCTTAATCTTGCAAAATCGTTATTTTTAGAGAAGTTGTTTATTGCTTCTAATAACAACTTCTTTTTCTCTTCAGTCATAGCACCTTATAATTTTGTTAATTTGCCATCATTGTACCATTTCATAAAGAAATACCTTAAATTACTATCAAAGTTTCCTATAAGTCTAAGTAAAGCTTTTTCTTTTTTTTATGATTCTTCATCTGGTTTTAATGGGGCAATATTGTTTTTGATATGTTATCCTAAAAATCCGAATAAATTTATCACAACTTTGCATTTCTCTACTTCTCTTATTAATGAAATATTTTTATTCCATTAATCCAATGTTCTTTGTTATTCTGATTCTTACGTTTTTATCATTAATAATACTGCTCTCTTCTTAATTGCCTAAGCATCGTCGTATACTTCCTATAAAGGATTCCAAGTGTATTTCTTAAAAATATGAATTGCAAATTTGTTAAGGGATTATTCAAAAATGCTTGCCTTAACCTTTAAATCATTATCATCTTCAGGTAGTTATTTCCACTTATTGAATGATAGCCAAACTTATGAAATTGTATTTCTATTTATTATAGCAAGAGCCTTTCTTTTGAGATTATTTTCTATTGCATTATGATTGAATCTTCTAAGTACTTCAGTTAATGCATAAAACTTTACTTTAGATCCGGCATTAATCCATCCAATCAATTTTTACTTGACAATTTAATCATTTAATGTCACATTAAGTTAGGAAAATTTATCGAACATTTTCATTTCCCAAGCTTTTCGATGCCATAACAAAAATGCTTTTTTTAAGTCGCTTTGAGTAACAGCAATAATTTTATTTATGCAGAACTTTTTTTTAGCTTATCCATCTAATAATTCATATTCTAATTAGTCCCAAGAATTTAATTTCACAAATCTATAAGCAATTTTACCAAGAGAAATAGCAAATTTACTTACTTTAGCTTAATTTTTCAATGCTTCATCTCCAGGCAATGATTTCCATTTTAAAAATGATAATTCAATTTATCCTATTTAAGTTTGAAGGACTCTCAAATGAATTTTTTTTATCAATTAATTTACTTATTTTTCATTATAAAAGAGCTTTAAAATTCTTCTTAATCTATTTAAGTTATCATTCTTTATAAATCTTTGTAGGTTGATTAACATAAACTTTTTTTTCTCATCCCCCATCTTTTCTGAAATTTTTTATTGTTTATTGTAATTTTTCCATTTTAAAAATGCAATCATCAAATTATTAGTAAATGAAGACATTAATTTTACTAAGCACATTTCTTTTATTTCAGCGTCCTTTCTAGTAAATAAAAATGCTCTTATATTATTTTTCATAACTTCCTATAATGAATCAAAAAAATTATTGGTTTTTTAACAAACGATAACAGATTTATAGATTTTGTTCATAGATTACCATTGACGTAAAAATCTTTAAGGTGCACTTAATTATTTTATTAACATTTATTTGATACATAACCTTTTAGATTAGATACCTTAATAATAAACTTCTTTTAAAGGATCAAAAGATTATTTTACTCTTTATTTAAAAAGGAATTAAAGTCTTAGCTAGAACTTTGAAACATTTTATAGCATTTATTATTCTGTTGGATCAGGTAATTATTTCCATCTACGAAAAGCATCCATAGCCATTCCGCTAGTAGTCAAAATAATTCTTCCAAAATACTTATTTTTAATTTCTTGTTATTCTCTCAATGCAGCAAATTTTCTTAAAACTTATCTAAGCAAGCCTTTCTCTGTTTTATTCGCTGTATCGCCTAATCTTGAAATTATTTCCTGTTTATTTATATTATCTAACTTTTCTTGCATTTTTTTCTGCATACTAACATTTTCAATTTATCTGAGAGCATCAATTTTTTGTCTTTATTATATTTTTAAAATCAGTTTATTGAGAAATTAGCATATTTCAGCCTTTTTACTTAATCCAAAAAATTTAAATGTTTCCTACTTGACTAACTATTAGGTAACATTAGCACTAGCTTAAAGAGCCTTAATTTTTTTTAAGTTTGTTTCTGTTAATTTAGCATAGGTGTTGTAATTTGCCCATTTATAGAAGGCTGTATAGGATTGATTAAAAGTAACCTCTATTAATTCTCTTATGACTTTAGTTTTCTTATTTTTAGCATCATCATCAATAATCTTAAAGGAATTCCAGACCAATCGTTTATTTTGGTCAGCTTTATTGGCCAATTTCGTTATTAATAACATTCCTTACTTTTTCATGTCATTTTCCCTTTTGTCAGGTAGATCGACCCATCTAGTATAACATCTCTATAATCTACCAAATGTAGTTTTTAATAATACAGTAAAAAACTTTTTTTTGAGTCTAAAATTCATTAAATCCCCTCTCCACTTCTCAAAAGCCTAAAAGATAATCTTAGATTTTTTATACCTCCTTAAGTCTTTATCGATCTAATCTATCATTTCTCATATTGTATTCATCCCCTAATCTTTCAAGGGCTTTCAATTATTTTTAGAGTTTATCTGATTTTACTTTTGCAATTAACCTCCACCAATTAAATTTCTCTCTTAAGTATCTTTCTCTATGTTTAGAACTAATGCTCCAGAGTAATAATCCTAACATTTTATCTGAATCCTGATTTTTTGGTTTTAAAGCAGAGATGGCTGCGGTTTTTAGTTAAAAATCCTTCTTTTGAAGGAAAAGAGCCAAATTCATTAAACACATATTTTTTCTCTTTTTGGCATTCATTTTTTTTTAAGGATCTTTTTATCTAAAATACATCTATAATATTAATACCCTATGAGATTTTTCAACTTGTGAAAAGCATTAAATTCATTTAATCTTGAGTTGAGAAGTATTTAATCAACAGCTTTCTTAACGATTTCGGGATCAGCTCGTATTTTCCATCTTACTGATAATTAATTTTTATACCTTAAAAATGCCTCATGAAGGGATGTATGGCTCTCATATCTTAATAACTAAGACACAATTTTTCCTTTAATCTTTTTAGATATTTTAGAAACATCAATTTTTTTTTCGATCATTGCTGCTCTCATTCTATTAAGATTATTAAACAAAAGGAATACCTAAGCATAGCTCTATGAAGATTGTGCTGCCCATGCAAGTTTCCGATGCTGAAAATGTGGCTAAGTAGCTTACGATTTTCCTGTAACAACTCTAATTTTTAAGGTGTCAACACCATTTTTAATTATTATTTGTTCTTCTGTCTAAAAATATGAAATAAAGGCTTACGATTAACCAGGTGGCATAATGATCAGAATGAAAATAAATTATATTAATTATAAAGATTTAAATAGATACATTTCTCGTTTTATTTCAATACAAATAATAAATAAATAAAACATTGTTACAGAATCAATGATTTTTAAAATATCTTAAAAAAAAAATTAGATTCAATTTATGACTATTAATTTTCTCAATCATAGATGTTTAATTTATTACTTTCCCTCTCTTTTAATAATATTTTTAACTTACATTTTCAACTGAGATAAAATTTATGATATTTTCTATCAAATACATACAAAAAACAGTATTAGAACCTTTAAAAATTATTTTTAGTTTTTGAGCTTTTATCTAAAGTAGTTTTAATCTATATACTTTAATTTAAACCTATTGTTTGAAACTTAACCTTGAATTTTACTTTAATTTATAATATATTATTATTTATTGATTAATAAATACACTTTTTTTGAATTTATTTTTGATTATCGTTATTTATGAATTAATTATCTTATTTATAGATTTTTAATATCCATAGAGGTTCTAGAAAGATCTTTGATGACTATAAAATAAAATCTTATCTAATAATTCAATTAATTCCCAAAAACATAATTCAACTGAGATGAATAATAGAATTTGATTAAAACTCAATAAATATAATTGTTTAACTTAAAATTAAATAAATCCATCATTATTGTAGCTCTTACTATTTGAGCAATATAAAGTAATCTTTACACAATTGCTATCCATAGGCAATCTTATTTTCAATAATCTAAGAAGATTTCTTCGAATTTTATTTTCTTGTATCATCAATATGCTTTTTGGTTTGTTAAGCATAAGAGCAATCATCAAATAATAATTAAACATCTTAATATTATTCCTATAATGTAAAAAATAAACACCTTAATTGAATTGTTCGAAGAAATTTTGATATTGACATTTAATTTTCTAGGTTCACCTCTATCGATCATCACTTCAACATCTTTAATTTTAGCATGATAAATTATATGAGCCCATTCTTTTTTTACTATTTAAGTCTCTAATATTATAAAATTTTCTTCATCTTCCATCCAAAAACTAATTAAGTTTTTTTTTTTACCATTCCCCTGAGGTGCAAGCTTAAAGTTTATCTTTAATTGTTTTAGCTGATATTCTACAAGATAATAATTAGCAATTATTCGGAGGTTCATAGTTGTGCCCAATAATCCATTAATTAGTTATATTTTCTTTTTATTGATTTTATGAATTTCCGTTTTTATTTAGTTGCTCTTGATTAATTATTGAAAAACTAAGTATTCGAATTATTATTTACAAAACAAGATCAATCATAAAAAATATTGCTAAGTCTTTAATTGCAATCTCTTTTAATCCAACAGGTTTTCTAAACATCAAATCTATATTAGCATCATGTTTATCAATTATTGGTGAAAATGCTAAATAATCTAAGTTAGGTTTTAAAAGCTTTAGATTTGAACTAAAAATTTAAAAAATAAAATTAAACTTGTATTTGTTATAAACTATTTCATATTAAGATACAATGACATCATGATACTGATTTTGTTTAATCATTTGACCCATTTTTACTAAAGTGTAATTATAGGCTTCATATATTTTATTGATTGTCTCACTTTCTAAAATTAGCTTATCTAAATTTATAAAATAAATAATTATTTAGCATGCTAAAATTATAGTGCATAATCTTAATGATGGATCGATTAAAAATATATCTAATAATTATTATATTATATGATTTCTCTCTTTGATTATAATACTAGTGTCTGCTTATTAAAAGAAGCAAATCTTTAAAATCTCCTTTTCCTTAAAATTTAAAACTGACTTCATTAAATTTAATAATAAATAAAGGAGATTGTCATCTTTAGTTTGTAAGTAAATCATTAGGTTATTTCTAATTTTATTTGGAGACATTTCTTCTAATCCATTATTTAATAGTAATTATTTACAATAGAATAAAATATTATAATTTTCTGTTATACCTAAAGCTCTATTTAATGTTTCTATTTCTTTATCACAAGCCTCTTCTTTAAGTGCATAAGAATGTATATCAAATAGTTCATTTGCTTAACTAATTAGTACATCTTAATGTTAATCCCAAAAATTTCTAAAACTCCAAGTTTATAAATAAGATCTAGGTTGGCCTATATTAAATTCTAATAAATGAGATAAATTTGTTTGTAAAGATGGACTAAACATTAGTAGAATAATATTTTTTGATAAATTAGTAGTGTTAAAATTATTTATTAAATGATTTGTGAGATGTAATGTAAATGAAATAGATAGTGTTTCTTTTTTTTAGAATAAAATACCTCCAAGCATTGCAGGAATAACAGTATAAGTTAATAATGAATTATCTAAAATCTTAAAATTAAAATCAATTAATATACATTAGAAATTTCTGGACAAAATGCATATATGTCGTTCAAAAAATAAAATACATCAACTAAATCATCCATTTTTTCTTTAACATCAACATTTCCTTCTAAGATTTCCTTGTTAGCTTCAAGCCATACGTGTTTTAAATAGCATGAAAAATGTACAAAAAATAAAATAAATGGAAATCTTGTCAAGTATTTTTTTAACATTGGATTTTTTACTAAATCAATTAGAAAAAGGTTTACTTTTCATTATACCCAATATTATTGTCCTTACAGCTGTTCTTACCATTATCTCTTTGTGATTATAAAATTTTGTTGCTTACCATAATAATGGAAACAAACTCATTCTTTAATTGAAAAATAATTGTACATTACCTTCATCAATTCTTAATGCTAAGCTTTTCAATAATGAAATATAATAATCCACTATCTCTTCATCAGTGAAATCATAATTATACATTATTAAATCTTGAATTACAGGGTGAGATAAAAGATAGTTTACATTTTCCTTATTTGTTAGATTTCCTCTAATTAATAATAATTATTAATACAATAGAATTCCAAAACTTTAAATTATGCCAATAATTATTTCTTTGAAACTTGATCTTTACATAATCTTTAAGAGCTTATCTGCTATGTTTTCTTCGAAAAAATAACTAAATTTACTAAATAACCTACTCAAAAAAATCAGAATTATTTTAATCTCCCCAAATCGAAAATTCACAAATTAATTCCACTTTTTCGCATATCAAATATTTGCTTTTATTATCTATAATATTAGAATATTTTAGTAATTCTTGGTAATGTTATCTATTTAATAAATTTTGTACTTATATTAATCTAAAGTGTAGCCAGCAGGGATATTCTAATTTTTTGTTGACTTGTTCATTAGAAATACAAAAAATATTTATATAAATAAAAATTTAATTATTCCATATCAATATGGCATATTTTTTGGAATACTTTTTCCTCTTTTTTCTTCAACAGAACATTATTATAAGTATTTTTTAAGCATTTTTCTTTCATCAACTAACATTTTCCATCCCTTAAAAACTGAATAAATTAGAGAATTTTAAGATTCAAATTCATCTTTAATTTATCTACCATAATTACAAAAATTTACAATTTTTTTTCTAGTTTTAATTTTTTAATGAACTCAGCACCAATCTTTCTATAATGATATAAATAAAATCCACTGAAGATTTTTTAAAATTANTGGAAATCTTGTCAAGTATTTTTTTAACATTGGATTTTTTACTAAATCAATTAGAAAAAGGTTTACTTTTCATTATACCCAATATTATTGTCCTTACAGCTGTTCTTACCATTATCTCTTTGTGATTATAAAATTTTGTTGCTTACCATAATAATGGAAACAAACTCATTCTTTAATTGAAAAATAATTGTACATTACCTTCATCAATTCTTAATGCTAAGCTTTTCAATAATGAAATATAATAATCCACTATCTCTTCATCAGTGAAATCATAATTATACATTATTAAATCTTGAATTACAGGGTGAGATAAAAGATAGTTTACATTTTCCTTATTTGTTAGATTTCCTCTAATTAATAATAATTATTAATACAATAGAATTCCAAAACTTTAAATTATGCCAATAATTATTTCTTTGAAACTTGATCTTTACATAATCTTTAAGAGCTTATCTGCTATGTTTTCTTCGAAAAAATAACTAAATTTACTAAATAACCTACTCAAAAAAATCAGAATTATTTTAATCTCCCCAAATCGAAAATTCACAAATTAATTCCACTTTTTCGCATATCAAATATTTGCTTTTATTATCTATAATATTAGAATATTTTAGTAATTCTTGGTAATGTTATCTATTTAATAAATTTTGTACTTATATTAATCTAAAGTGTAGCCAGCAGGGATATTCTAATTTTTTGTTGACTTGTTCATTAGAAATACAAAAAATATTTATATAAATAAAAATTTAATTATTCCATATCAATATGGCATATTTTTTGGAATACTTTTTCCTCTTTTTTCTTCAACAGAACATTATTATAAGTATTTTTTAAGCATTTTTCTTTCATCAACTAACATTTTCCATCCCTTAAAAACTGAATAAATTAGAGAATTTTAAGATTCAAATTCATCTTTAATTTATCTACCATAATTACAAAAATTTACAATTTTTTTTCTAGTTTTAATTTTTTAATGAACTCAGCACCAATCTTTCTATAATGATATAAATAAAATCCACTGAAGATTTTTTAAAATTATTTTCTTTAATTTGTTCTTTTTAAAAGTTCAATGATCCAAATTTAAAAATAAACATTAAAGATATTGCTATTTTGCTAAGATGCCAAGTATTCAAATTTTTTTTTTGTTTCATCCTTAACTTTTTTCAAAAATTAGATTAATTGCCATTTTTATTTTTCCTCATAATGCTATTGTGCTTTTTAATTTTATGAATATGATTTGATTATTTTTATGTAATTTGATAATTTCCTATCATAACAAGCGCTTAGTATTCTATTTAATGTTATCACAGCTTTATTAATTCTCCATAATTTAAAATAGTGTTTTTTTAATTTTCTTTTTACAAACTTACTTAAAAATTACTACTTACTAAACTCTAAAACTTATTACAATGATGATTTTTTTTTTTTTTAAATAATTTAATTTAAAATTTCATAGAATTTCTTGCTTTTTTAGGTTTTATATTAATTTTAGGTTAATATGTCAAAAAATTTGGAAACAAAAAATAATTTTTGTTATTTTGAATTATAATTTAATTCTATTACTTTGTAGATGTTTTATGCTCCTATCCTTTTTTAAGTCAAAATTGACCAAAATTTCAAAATTTTCTTTTTTTTCAAATCATCTATTTGTTTAAAAATATTTTAATTTTTATCTCCAAAATATTTTATTATTTTCATATTTTAGTACATATTTCTTTTATAAACTTCTCCTATAGACTTGCAAAACATTTTAAGTGCTACAGACTCATTTGTTAATTTTGCCCACAATGTAAAACAGATTATTTATTTTCTAATATTTTTTTATTTCAGATAATTATGATAAACTTAATTTTAATAAAATTATCTCAAAACAAACTATTATTTGTTTTAGACTAATTTATTAAAAGTTTTTAAGGCAAATTCACCTTTAAGTTATTTTATCTTATAGCTCTGCAAATGATAAAAAAATAAATTTTAACAATGTTTATAGAAAAATTTATTTCCAAAAACATTTTAAAGTTTTTATTCAAAGTTATTTAATTTTTTGCTTATTTTAGATAAATAAGCCCATTTTTAAAATATTCTAATTAATTTATTTCTACCTAAAATAAAATTTAACGATAACTTTTTATTTAGAAAAAATAATTTTTTAGCTTTTTTATAAAATTGATCTTTTTCCTTTTAATCCAAAAATAATTGTAATTTTGAAACTCCCACTATTACATTTAATTGCTTAAACCATTTTCGAAAACATTTTTTTTTTTGAATAAATTAACAAAGTAAGATAATCTAATTTACTTTGTTATTTTTTTTTATTTTTTAAAAAACAGTTTTTGTAATTCTTTTTTATCCATTTTAAAAAATAGAAATTATTTTTTTGACTGAATTAGATTTTTAATAATTTGATTTCCATTTTAAAAAGAATTGAGTTAATAGTTTATAGTTGAAATTATTTATAGCTTCTATTTCTTTGTTATTTTCAATTAAAATTTAAAGTGAGTGCTTCATATTTATTTTTCTTTTATTTGTAATATATTTTGAAAAACGTTAAAGTTATTGCAATTTTGAAAATTTTATTAACCAAATATTAAACAACTTTCTTGTTATTCCAATTGATTGTTATTTTTTAAGTTAAATAGCTTTATTATGTTGTATAAGTTTATAAAATTATTTCTTTAATTATTACAATCTAAGCTAGTTCAATATTTTTGAAAGATAGATAGTCTTTTAAGATGATTGGGTTAAATCAAACCAAAACAAAAGCACCTTTTTAATCAAATTATGATTATAATATATCTTTGCATTTTCAATTCTCTTATTTAAGAATAGTTTTCGAAAAAATTTCAATTTTTAATCCTTTTATATATCTTTTATTGTTTAAATCATAAGTTTTGATCCTTATTATTTGCTTGTAAAGACTTTCCAAGCAAGAAGGCATTTTCTTAATTTATTTAGTTTCATAATTTAATCTCTAGGTTTCTTCTTATTAACTATAAGTTCTTTAAAGCCTTTGAAATATTTTTACAATAAATTTTTTTTTATTTACAAAACAGTTATAGCCGTTAAATAAGCTACATTCTATTCAAATGTAAATAATTTTCTCATATGCTTGAAACTGCTGGATTTCAGATGATGCAACTGTCTTTTTTTTATAATTTCTGTATTATTTCTTTATTTCAGTTTTTTTCTAATAAATAGATTTTTTTATTACATTTTGTATTTATTCAATTAGTTAAATGCAAATTTTATTAGGTAAAAAATTCTACCTTAAATCATATATTTTTTCTTTTAAAAATCTCTGACTTTTATTAACTGAAGTAAATAAATAATTTGTTTACTTTCATATGCTTAAAAAAAATTTTCTTTTGTAGGTCTGTAAAACAAATGCAAAAATTTTCTATTTTCCCTTTAGATAATCGTTTTGCATTCCAAAATTGAAAAAATCTCTACTTTTATTTTTACTTAATGATGGGATAGTTTTTTTAATCCTGAACTTTCTAAATTTTTTTTTTCCATTTATACTCATTAAGTGATTTAAAAACTCTAATGTAAAAATATTTTTTACTTTTAGTAAACTTTAATTACATGTAGTTTATCAAAATTGTTTCGAATATTTCTTTTGTAAGAGTGCTTTTAAGTAAAATTAAGCCAGAAATAAAATGGGCCTGCTACATATTTTCCAAATAAATTTCTCTAAACACTTCTTTTATTACTATTTATTTAAAATAATATTTATTACATTATTTTTTATCTATAATCAATTGTTCTGGCTTTCAAATAATCAAATATATGTTTAACCATGTTATGTTCATAAAGCGAAAGCAATTATTTATGAAATTATTACTTTTTTAAACGATTAATTAAATTGATTCTTAATCCTCTTATTACTTTTTATTTTAGCTTAAGGGGATATTTATTCTCTTATTTATATCTTACATTTACAAGCTAATTTATAGTAGATTTATACTTTTAATTCTTTAACAAATTCTTTTTAATATTTAGATCTTATAATCCTTACTAAATTTTTTAACCATAATGATCTTTAAAATGCTAATCGATACTTATTAAAATATAATTAAATTTAAATTTGTTTTATTTATGGTAAATTCATAATATCTTATTATTTATGAATCTTTTTTTATTTTGTCCACTTCAACCAAAAATTTGTTAATCTAAAAATATTGATTTTTTATTTACCTCCTTAATTTGTTCACTCTATATATAGCTAAAGCCTTTGAATTAAGTTCTTTTTTCATTTTTTATTCCTTTGTATACTGATGCAAAATATTGAATGGTTTACTAATGTAAAGTATTTGTAAAAATCGACCAATCTGGTGATATTATCTTAATTAATTAAAATATTACTCTTGTTTTTTTTCACTAATTTAAATATTAATCCTAAATCCTTAAAAGGTTTTCCTTAACAAATGAAATAAGTAAACACCATTTAATTATTTTTTATATTTACTTTTATTCTAGATTAGATTATGAAATTTTTTTAGTATATTTAGAATTTTTCTTTTATTCAAATAACTAAAAAGGTAATCTGCTTTTTATTTTTATTTTCTAATAAAATTATTAAGCTAAAGATATTGTTTCCATTTTTTTAAGACTTTTTTCATAATTATTTAATTAGTTTCTCTTTTTTATTAATTCATAACAATATTGTTCCATAAGGAAAAATACTGTTTTTATAATTTTAATTGATATAAACCATAAGCTAATAAATTATTTTGATGTTTATTTCTACGATATTGATAATATAATTTAAATTTAACAAAACAATTCTTTAATATTTCTTGATTTTTCATTCTTAATAAGCCTATACTTATTTTTTATTTTGATTTCTTATCTTACTGAATTAAATGATAATTGAAAAATTTCTAAAAATATAATTTCAATTAATTAAGACTATAAAAATGATCAGCTTATGTTTTTTTTAATCTATTTTATTTATGTATAATGGAGTATTTTCTCAATTTAATAAAAGATCTATAAATATAATTGTGTTTTCTCATTAACAATACTTAATTTCTAGAATATTTAATTCTCTTTTTTCTCAACCAATATTGTTTCTAAAATAATTAAATTCATATTACAAAATTATCAAAATGATGGAATAATATTTTCAATGTTTACTTTTCTTGAAATTATTAAATTTCTTTTTAAATTTATAAAGAGTCTTTTAAATTAAATTTTGTAACATTTAAAGGTTCTGCCTAAATTTCTGCATCTTACAACAATTTAACAGGTTCATTATAAAGATAAATAATTTTATTAAATGCAAGTCTATAATGTTGCATAATTTTTCGTTATAGTATAGATATTAGTTACTGTAATGAATTTATATTAAATGATTAAATGGTTCGATGAGTCTTTTGTTATTTTTCTGATTTTATATAATCACTTTAAACAGAACGTCTTTTTCCATCAGAAATTTATTATAAAATTTGATTAGTTAATCTGATAAATTAATTGATATGATTACTCTTTTTAATAATCAGATTAAAAATCTGTTAACTTGGTTGCTCTTGTCTCAAAAGTTGGAGGAGATGCAAAAATAGTTGGACTTGTAAATTTTTACACTTTATCAAATTTACTTAGTGGAATCCTATTTGTTTGATTTGGGTTATTTTCATCACAAGATGTTTTTACATCAAAAGAGAAATTTAAGTTATTTATTCCTTTCAATTATTTAGTATTTAATGGAATATATCTTTAATACCATTTATCTCCATCATTTCTTGATTCTGTTATGATTTGTTTATAAACTTTATCATACATTTCTATATCAATTCTTTTAGTTCCTTAATTTGTTAATAATTTTATACTCCTCAATTTATCCAAAACATCTAGAATGTTACTTAAATTATATCGACCATTCACTTCAGCCATTATCTCTTAAATAACTGGTTCCATTCTTGGTTTAATATTTAAATTTGAAAAATATATTAATTATTTGTTGTGAAATAAATAATAAATAATATTACTTCAATTAAGCATTTTAGATATCTAAATGATTATTCTTATATATTTTATAAGATACTACTTACTATTGATTTTTTAATATTTTAATTCAAACTAAAAGTATTCACTCAATGATTATAATGAATTATCAAATATAATTAAAAATATTTATATATTTTATCAAAATGAATGAAGAAATAGATCATCATTTAGAAATGCAAGAGACAAATGCTATGTTGCTGAAATAATTTGAAAAAGAGACTGAATTACAAGAAAATGAAATTTAATAAAAATACTCAGATCCACCTTCTCCGATAAAATAATCTTAAAAAAAAGAAAGAGTTGTAGAAAAATTATTGGAAAATAGAGAAAAATTTAATGATAAAACAGCTTTATTTAATTTAATTAATACATTACAATTGGTAAAGGATTATATTAAATATTTAGGTTATAACTCTATATAATCTTAGTTCAATTATAAATATAGAAGGATAAACAAATTTAAAATTTCATGACACTACTTAGATTTATGGCTTTTATATTTGGAATAAGCAGGGATTTAGTGTTTATTACCTTATCATGATCTTAATATTGGTTCATATTTTAAAATTGTTAACGTGTTTGGTGGGTATTATAAGAAATTATTAAATTAGGTTATTTTTGTGTTGTTTAAAAAAGTCAACAATTATTATCAATCTTTATGATGTTAACTTTTGCTTGTGTAATTACTAGAGGCATAATTACTATACTATTGCTGATTGATTATAATCAAATAGAACTTACATAATCATATATATATGGAGATTCCGATAAAGTAGCTTAATCCTAAGCTATTCAATTTACTATTGTATTAATCATTTTCGTTGCTGTTGAAATTATCATGGGTTTGCAGAGCCTTTTATTAGCAGGCCAAGCTAAGAAAAAATATAAAAGTACATCAATTTATCTATTAAAATCAAGTTATGAGAATTAATGAAAAAAAAATTGCTGCTCATTACAAAATAGCGTACTAAATTCTCCTAAGATAATTTTTAATTTGATTATTTATAATAAATATTGATGTTATGTCGATAAAATTTATTATTATTTGATATTTATATCTTTTATAAAATATAATTAAAGTTGTATACCTTTTTAAAACTTTAACCTTTTTAATTTTTGATTGAAAAAAATAAATATAATAAATAAATATTAAATTTTTGATCATTTTTAACCTTTGCTATTTTAATAATTATTATTTTTATCATATTGCCAGGAAAGGTTATTAGCATTATACTAATATGGTTCTTAATTATTAGTCCCAAATGATTATTTTTAATAATTCATCAATTGCTCTTTTTTTTCGGCAGATTGAAGGTATGTATTTTGTGTCAAATTAGATTCATAAGGAGAATATCTATTTACTTCTGGTGTTTTCTAAAGGTTATCTTTATCAAGATATTCAATAACTGAATTTTATTTATTAATTTAATAATATTAGAAGGAATTATCAATACTGATGTAATAATTTTATTTATTACAAAACTTGCAATTCTATGATAGACCTAAACAAATAACAGAGTCTCTAATTAAATAATCTTCATAAACTTCATCGATCAGTTTTTCTTAATTTGGCCCTAAAAATATAACTTGAAATTATTATAAAATTATTGCTTCAAATTGTGCCTAAGGATTTTCCATTATTAATTAGCTTATCAATTCATCGTCATGTAAATTTTTTTGCTTTAATTTTATTTAAATTCTTTGATCTTTTGCAGAAAGATATTTTTACTTTAATTTTTCACGCAATTAAAAAACATTTTTTACTTATGATGTATCAAAATTTTCTTTACTATCTATAGGTTAAATAATAATTTGAAAAGATTTCTTATCAGAATTTTTTATTTTGAATTCAAATATTGTATTTAATGATTATAGACCAAGACTTAAAATGGTTTGATTTTAATCAAAAGAATCATTTGAATAAATTGAATAGTAATCAGAAATTTTGTATTTACTTTTAATCATTTCTTCTATTTTTTCTAAAGAGTCTGTAATTAGAACTGTCTCTTTATATTATTTATTCTGATATAAAAATCTAAATTCATAGGTTTAATTATGACTACTTATGTTTTTAAAAATTGATTTTTTCTTTTATATTTAAAATTCAATATTAATTTTATTTTCTTTATCTTTCTCTAAACTTCCAAAGATAGAAGTTGGAATAATTGGTTTATTTTTTTCTAGATAAAATTATATAGAAAATTTATCTTTCATATATTAAGGAATTAATTTATTTTCTAAAATATTAATTTCTTAAGAGCTTTCAACTGTGATTTATAAACATTAATCTGGGTTTCTTTTATTAATCAATATGATTTTGAGTTAATCCTTAGTATAATCTTTTAATTTATCATCATTTCTATTAGAGGTTTGATAATCAACCACTTCTTTTTATGCAGATTTTCCTTTAAGTTCATAATCTAATTTATAAGTATCAAGACTTTCTTCCTATATTTCATAGAATTTTAAATTTTAATTATTGACTATAATTTAGCTTCTATTTAAAATCATTTCATCTATAATATAAGCTTAATTATTTAGTTTCATTAAACCATATTGTAATTCAAGGTTCATGGTTTTAAAAATGTTGAATTCTTGTTTTATTAATTCACATAAATCACTTACTTTTAATTTTGATGAAATTTAAATTATTTTTTCTCTTCCATCTTATAATTTAACAGAATAACTTGGTTCTTTTACTACTTCTATTTACAAATTAAGATTTTGATACAATTGAGATAATTCAAGATCATAATCAATAATCTTTTTATTGGAATTGATTTGAATGATTTCAAATATTTATTTTTTTCCAGTGATATAAGTGATTATTTTATGTATTTTCCAATTAGATGGTATTAACTCTACAAAATTTTATTAATAATATGTGAATTAGACAGGCAATAAAATTTTAATCTCAACTTGACTAGAATTAGTGATTCCTGTTTATACCCAAAGAGTATCTTATTTTTAAGGAGTACCTTTGCAAAAAACTAAAATTTCATATTATTAATATGATTTTGTAAATTTTGATTAAAAGATATTGAAATAATCTTTAATTTTTGTTAGACCTTACACTTCTAGATTGAAATTTTAATTATCACATAGACATTTGATGTTAAATTATTGAGAATAATAAAAATCAAGTTAGTTTGTTTATTGGATTCCTTACTCTTATAAAGTTTTATAAGGATCGAGCTCTTTATTAGAATGCATTAATTTAGTCATTTGAGGAGTTATTGATTTTTAATATAATTATTCGGAACAGATATTTTAGATAATTTCAAAGGGTTTTAGATTTTGATTGTATTTATATTCATAAATGAGATTTTCTTGAGTACATCTTATTTTTATGTGGTACATTATTGATTAGAAATATAAATATTATTTAATAGAAATAAATATTTGAATTGTTTATAAATAAAAGTATAAAAAAATCAGTAGGAATATTAAATATAAAAAATGGGTATTTGTGTAGGAACTAAAAAATAATAGGAAGATTAGATTAATAAGTTAAATTAGCCAATAATAACAAATGGAGAACTATAGATAAAAGTGTTGTTAAAGAATATAAAGTTAAAGATGTCAGATGTATAATAATGTTAAATTGAATTTGATTTAGGGAAATGTAAATATACATCTCCTGTGCATGTTAATAATGAAGGAGAACATTATGTAATTATTATTTGATAGAAGGAATTAAGTGGCGTGCAAGTTTCGATGGTTTATTAAAAATGAGTGAATAATAGATGAGAGAAACAAAAATAAAGATATCTGTATTAACATCATAAAGAGTAATTGGATAAACAAATATAAACTTATTTGAAGCAGCAGTAGGACCATTCCATTTTGAATTACCAATAAGAGGAATAAATAATGGGAATGTTAGTTTTGATTTGAAATTGAATTAAATAATTCAAGCAACTTTATAGAGTAAATACATAATATGGGAATTGAATTAGAGTTTGAGTGATGTTAGATACAACTATAATCTGCGTTTGGTGGTTCAAATAAATGAATATTAACAAGACCTCCCAACTGTCGTTTATTTCTGAGCATTCTTCTACATTTACTAATCCAAATTACAGAAAATAGAGTGAGAAGAAATTAACACAATTTTAATCTAGTCGTAAGAGTATCTTAGACCAAGATTGTATTAAGGATAGTGTTACTTCATTATCCAGACTTCCTTCCTTAAATAGTCCACCTAATCCATCTTATGATCAAATTGTTGCTACTCCTACTCACAAAGTATATCAATTAATTATATATATATGTAGGCTAATCATAGAATTGAATGGGAACATAATAATGATGATCTTACTTTAATTGTTGAATTACCTATTTAAGAATTTTAAGGATCAGCTATTTAATTATGTTTATGGTCTATATAATCCAATAATAAGAGTTTTGATAATATTAAATCACCATAAAAAACTATCATTAAAAAAACTAAAAATTAACATGATTCTGAATATATGGATTTAGAAATCTAAGATCATCATTTAGTAGCGGAAACTTATATTAATTTATCTAATATGGAAACTAGTGTATCTGCTGAATTTGGTGCCAAATTCTTAATTATTAAAAGTTATTAACCTAAATCATTATGGTATCATGGAGTTGAAGTTGGAAAAATTGATTATGAAATTACTGTAAGAATTCCTAATTATCTCTAATAATCTTCATTTGGACTATAAACTCAAAAAGGCATTGTTTCATCTACTACTGTTGTTGGTAATGTCGAAAATATCAGTGTTACTGAAATCAAAATGATATAAATCGAATTTTAAAGATTATCTGGCTCCATTTTTAAAATTGAACATAAAACTCTCAATATTGATGAAAAATTAAAAATTAGACAAGAAATGGATTCACATCTAAATCGGTTAGCTTAACTTCTTGCTTAATCTCATGGAAGTGCCATTAAAACCTTCTAATATAAATCGGAAGATGATTTAATGAAAGCATAATAATTACTCATTTAAATCTCAATTTAATTAGTAGAATATTCTAAGACTTTATCCACATTTACTTCATATTATGAATGTCTCAATTAAGTATTAGGTCGTGGTGAATTAATGCTTTAACAATTAGGATTTTTTAAAGCACTTAATAAAAAATAATCTCAATTAAAAATTGAAGTTGGTTTAAATTATCAATCATTTTTAATCAATACTTTAAGATATACTTTATCAAAATTAAATTAAAAAGATCCTTCATATGAAGCTAGAAAATTATATATAAAATTCTTAGTCATTTGTTATTTCAGAATACCAGAATTTAGAGCCAAATTCTTAGAACTCATTAATAAACCTGGTGATCCTCAATTATCTGAATTACGTGGGACAGAATTTATCTAATAAGATGATCCTACTAACATTGATAAGAGTACTAAAAATAATATTTCAATCTTTGATTGGTAGAATTATTTTCATACATACCTTAATGATAAAAGTTAAGGTATTTAAAATTAATCATCTCTCAATTAAATTCTAGATGATGAAAGTTGGAAAGAAAATATTAGACACAGATCTGTTAATTTTAGTTTCTTTGTAGAAGAATGGGCAATTTATGTTAGAAATATTCTATAAGTTAAAATTTTACCTTGGCAAGATATTCCAGGTTACAGAATATTAGTAAAAGCTTTTATGTGTGAATTAAAACTGTAAGATTCAGTACCAGATGCAATGAAAATAGCATTAAGAAGTTTAATGTAGAATGTTAATCTCTTAGGAATTATAGTTAGTTTATAATTTAATAAAACAAAGTAGAATATAAATTAATTCTAGTTTATATAATACAGAATAAGTTATAGAAACCTTTGAAATTTTAGATATTTGTTTCTCAACGTTAACAACTATGCCACCTTACTTCGATTATCCATTCTTATTGAAAGGAATAAAATAAATTATTATAGATTCAGAACACGCTATCTGTATTGCTAAATGTTTATGGTTCATCTACAATATCTATACATTATTATCAAGTATATATTTATTTTATTCAAGTGGACTTCAAAAAAGACTTATGTGAATTCATCTTTGAAAAAGCTGTATTTAAATTATTTCTTCATTGGAGTAAAACTGTTAGAATGATGTTTCATTACTTCTTACTATATAGAGTTTCACATTAACATAAGAATCCTAAAGTTGGAGGATTGGATGAAGAGTAGATTTATCATTTTTAATTAGGTAAATTATTTAATAGTACACCTTAATTAACAGACCTAAAAAAAATTAAAGTTATTTTGAAAATAGATAACCATAATAATAGTTAATAGTAATCATTATTCCCTTAATTCTAGTCTGATTATATATATATGAAATATTTAAGATTTTTAAGTAAAGTTGAATAAGCCAAAATTAATGAAGCCTAAAGAGATTATTAATTAGATTATTAAAGTTATTATTAAAAATTGGTTGCAAAGAAATTAAAACTTGAACAAGAATAAAAATAAAAATAATGTGCAGAACCAAAAATGGAAACTTTAAAATTAGAAAGAATTTAATCTGAACATGAAGAATAAATTTAAAAGTAAAATTAATTGAAACCTGTTATAGTTCCAAGAACAGTTATGCATAAAAAATTAAGTTGTAAGATTGTTATAATGTATATTTAAGTTAAACATGATATTGAAATAACTGAAAAATAATAATAATATGTTTTGCTTTCTATCCGAGAATTCGAAGAATAACTTAAAAATTATAATAATTGGAGGCAATCCAATATCAAAAAGGTTATGGGCAAATATAATGATGAAGGTTTTATATTTTTAATAATAAAGACAAACATACCATACATTTAACATTTGAAGTCCCGAAAATAGATATTCTAAAAAGAATTGATGAAAAAGAAGGAGCGTGAATTTAAATAGAATTATTATTTCTTAAAAATATATATGTCATTTATTTTTATTATATAATAATAGAATTTAAAAATTATAGAATTTAAAAATTATAGAATTAAAAAATTAATAGAATTTTAAAATTACCAATTTGAAAAATTAGCAGCATTTACTAATAATTAATTTAAGAAAAATAAATAAAACACTAATATGATTTAATTTGGCTCTGAAAAAACATATTTAAAACAAAGATAAACTGATTCAAAATGTAAGAAATTGATTAAAACTATTTAGATGAATTAGACCCAAATATATTCACAGTTAGATTTTCAGAACTAGCCGAGGAGTGTAATTATAGAATTCATCAAGGGGATGCTTTATAATGCAAAAATTGTTCAGGGATTTTAAATATATATTCAAATTTAGAAAGCAATGGAAATTCATAATAGTTTAAATGGGTCTGTGAATTTTGTGAATATCTGAATGAAATATAAATGGAACTGGAAGAAATTCCATAAAATGAAGAAGTTTTATATCTAACATCTCCAGAAATTTACGAGAATACAAAAAAGAATGCAAAATCTATTATCTTTTGTGTGGACATTAGTGGTTCAATGTCAAGTACAACTTAAATAAAAGGAAGAGTAGATTGTAAATCAGGTATATCTTAAGAAGAATATGAAAATTTAAAATAATTTATTGATCCTGCAGATCATTCTCATTATTTAAGAAAAATATAAAAAGAATAAAGAAGATAAAAATATATATCTAGAAAATAATGTTTAATTTCTGCAATAGAATAATAAATAAAGAATTTAAAAGAAAAAAATTCAAAGAATTTAGTAGGATTAGTAACTTTTAATAATGAGATAGTAGTATATGGTGATGGATCATAAAAACCTATAGTATTATCTGGTGAATAATTAAATTAAGAGAATGAAATAAAAACAATTTTAAATAGAAATGCTTAAAAAATGATGTAGAATCCAGTAGGTAAATCAGCAGAAGTATTAATTAAAAGATGTGGATAATTGTAGGAAAATGGTTAAACTGCTTTAGGTCCAGCTTTATTATCTGCATTAGAATTAGCAAAAGTTGGTAAACCTGGTTCAATGATAATTATATGTACAGATGGTTTAGCAAATTATGGATTAGGATCATTAGATGGTGATTCAAATACAAATTTTTATGAAAAATTAGGATAATAAGCTGCTGAAAAGGGAATTATAATATCACTAGTTACCATAAAAGGGGAAGGATGTAAAATAGATTAATTAGCATAATTGGTTGAAAAAACTAATGGAATTGTAACTAGAGTTGCACCTGAAAAGATAGGATAAGATTTTGAAAATATAATCAATGATGAAGTTATTGGAACTTAAGTAGAATTATAAGTTACTTTACATAAAGCCTTATAATTTAGAGAGGATGACAATATTTAAGAGTAAAATGAAATTAGAAAATATATTGGTAATATTACTAAAACAACTATTTAATCTTTTGAATATTAACTAAAATCTATAGAAGAATTAGAAAAACAACGATTTAATATTAATAAACTCAAATCTATTCCATTTTAAATAAGAATTAATTACACTAATTTAAAAGGAGAAAAATTAATGAGAGTATTAACTAAAAATGTTTAAACTACTTAAAATATTGAAGAAGCCGAAAAAAAAGCTTAAGTTGATGTTATTCATAAAAGAATGGCTCAAAAAACAGCTTAATTGGCTAAATAAGGAAATTATGAAGAAGCCTATTAATATAATTAAAATTGGGTTTAATATATCAATTCCAATCCACATATTAATAGTAATCTCATTAATTAAGAACAAAATTAGAAATATTCAAAACATAATGCTAAATTAGCTAATGCTTTAAAAAATTAAGAAGCAAGAAAATAAAGATCTTTATTATTTTAACAAACACTTTCTTAAACTTAACCTATTATGGATAATTCTCAATATTTCAATTAATATAATTCAACTCCTATTAATTAAAATAAATAAAAATAATAGTCACAAGCTATAAAAACATAGAATTCATCTTTAAAATCAATATAAACACCATTAGATAAAGAATAAAATTTATTAAAAAATAATAATCATTAACCATTTTAAGAAACTCCAACAGCAATTGAGTCTTAATCCTTCCAATTAAATTAATAATTTTAATAAAAAAAAAATGATAAAAATTCAAGTGAATTAGATTGCTCTAATTCTATAACTAAATTTGATACAAATTCATGTATAACAGGATATGAATCAAATGGTAATTTAGCACCATCATAGAATGAATCTGATGAAGATTAAGATTTTACTACTTTGTTCTTTTATGAAAAAGCTAGTTTTTGATTGCATTTATTTTTATTTGTTTATTCTCAATAATATTCATAAAATTAAATTCTATTAATTATTTTTATGAATGAATTTTCTAGGTTCAAGGAAAAAATGCAAGAACTTTTCATATTAAATGCAAAATTTATAATCATCAATATTTTAAGAAATAAATTGATTTAGTGTTTGCAATAACATAGGATAAAGTTTAAAGCTTTTTGAAAAAAATCTCATTCTAGAATCTTTATTTGCACAGCAAGAATACTATAATCCTAATATCAACATTGATCAATAAAACTAGTGATGAGTATAAAGATTCTTCAAATTTGATTAAATAAGAATAATCTCAATAGTAACTGCAAAAAGAAAAGACATAAAAGCTTAGTTAATAGAAGTAGAAGGAGATAATTGAAAACAGAGATTAGGAAAAATAAAAATGTTGTATTTCTTGATTTAAAATATTAACTGATAATTCACTAACTATCTAATATTTGTTATAACATTCCTAATGTTTTTTAAAGTTAATCTTTGGCATTTTGATATTTTTTAAAATCTACTTCTGAAATAGCTTATTGCAGGATACTTTTAATTTAATTTCTCATTTAGGCTTATTCCATAGGTGTAAGTTTATTAGTTTTTCCTTATTAATCTAAATTTTATAATAAAAGTTTTACTTTAAGATTATTATTGTGATTGCATTTACTATTGATTTATTAATTATTATTATTATTGTTATTATAATTATTATTATTGTTATTATTATTATTGTTATTATTATTATTATTAATACTATTATTATTATTATTAATACTATTATTATTATTGTTATTATTATTATTATTAATACTATTATTATTATTGTTATTATTGTTAATATTGTTGTTATTATTATTAATATTATAGCTATTATTATTCATATTATTGTTATTATAATGATGACTACGTCAAAGGTTAAGTAGATTAAATTTAAGAAGGTGGAGGCTTAATAGATTATTATTGTTATTAAACAATTGCTGATTTATCTTATTGTTATTATTATTAAGGAATTTAATTTTATTGTTATTGATGTTAGGATATTTACATTTATTTTTATGCAATTTATTCAAGTTCTTCATCTATGGCATCTTTTGGTTTAGGCTTAATTAAGGATGGGTCTTTGAGTTTTTTGTGTTATTCAACCATTTTGAATTTTGCATATTTTTCTTTAAGATTTAAAATAAAATATATTACACTTTTCTAATTGATCTTGATTTAATGGTTCAAAATATTATAGGACTTCGATAGCCTTTTATACAGATCCAAAAATGTGCATGAGTTCTTAAGAAACTTCACCATCTCTTTCTCTAGTGTCTGCATCGAAGAAGAACTTGTAAACAAATTCAGTGTAATTTTTTTTATTTTCTTCTTTATTTTACAATGATGGATTTGAAGATTTAAGATTTTCTAATTCATTGATTAATTATTAAAGCATTTGCAAATAATTCTGAAGAAAAGTATAATAAGAAATGATACCTATTGTTGAGTTTTTTTATAGAGTGCATGTAATTTTTATGCAACATAAGCTTTGGTAATATAGGCATAAGTGATGTTAAATTAAGTAAGTTATTAAGCATGTTAGAGTAAAGCTTAAATTGTCTTGAATTCTGGATTTGATTGCATGAATAAAAATGAATATAAATATAGTAATATATACTAGGGAGATAGTAATAAATAATTTAAAAAAGGAAATGGAAGAAGATTAAAGTAAATAAAGTAGTGAGATATAAATGAAACGTACAGAATCTTAGGCAGGGGTATTAGACATATAACCTCCTTAGTTAGGTGTAGAGTAAGGAGGTTAATAAGTACCTGAGGTTGATTAGGAAGATGATGATTGTATATAAGATTATTGATATATATAAAATAGAGATAGTACAAACTCAAGTAGTTCAGGGAGATTAATAAGTAGTTTCAAAGAATGGCACATAAAATGGAACACATTCTTAATCTAATATACATTAATCAGCAATAATAAATGAGCATGTATAAGAGATGTTAGCAAAATCAGTAATATAAGCTCCAATGCCAGATGAAGCAGATGAAGCAAAAGAGGAACCATAGAATCCTATATTAGATTTAATAGCAGATGATTACTATCCACCAGAAGATTGGTAAGTAGAAAATTAAGAATTGATACAACCAGTCATTCATCCAAACACAATTTAATTCCATGATTGCTTTGGAATGGATTCAAATAAGAAAAGTAATTTATGGCTGATAGATTCATAAACATTTGTGTATGCAAGTAGTATCAGTTACCATTTTTATAATTTTGTATAAGGAACTAATGAAATATTTTTTAGTAGAGATGGAGGTGGAATTGGCAGTGTTGCTGTTCATCCATCAAGAAAATACTATTCTGTTGCAGAAAAAGGAACATTCCCTAATGTTTATATTTATGATTTGACACATCGATTATATAGAGTATTAGAAAAAGGAACTGAGAGATCTTATTCTAATTCTATATTCTCTAAAGATGGTGATAAATTTGCTACAGTTGGTTCATCACCTGATTATTAAATATGTATTTGGGATTGGAAATAACAAAAGATACTATTAAAAGCTAAAGCATTTTCATAAGAAGTATATAAAGTTGGATTCTCAGAATATAATGTTAATTAATTAGCTACTAGTGGAATGGGTCACATTAAATTTTGGAAAGTTGCTGAAACATTTACAGGACTTAAATTAAAAGGTGAAATTGCTAAATTTGGTTAAGTTGAATTATCAGATGTATATGCATTTTATCCATTTCCAGATGGTAAAGTATTAAGTGGAACCGAATATGGCCGTTTAATACTTTGGGAAGGAAATGTTATCAAAGTAGTTATTGGAATCTCTGAAGAAGAGCCTTGTCATAAAGGTGCTATTGAATCTATATTTTTATATAAAGATTGTATTATTAGTGGAGGTAAAGATGGATTCCTTAGATCTTGGAAATTAACTGAATTAGATTAAGCTGAAGGAGATGATTAACTTAATTATTTTACTTAACCAATCAAATCATTAGAATTAGTAGATGATGGAGAAAATGCTCAGATTATTTAAGTTGTAACAGATGAACATTTTTGGCTTATTGGTGATTAAGGAGGTCGAGTTTGGAGAGTTGATTGGGAAACTGGTAAAAAAGAAATTGTATACAGAAATAATTCTGGTCCATATCTTGATCTTGCACCTTCTCCATAATTAAATGCAGCAATTACTGTTGGTGATGATGGAGCAATCACTTTATGGGATTATGTCAAAAGTGAATAAACTTATAAACGTAAATTTGCCAAAAAAGCTACTTGTATTTAATGGATGCCTTTCACTATGACGAATAAGGGTAGAGTTGTTGTTGTTGGATATAGTAATGGTATCGTTAGATTTCTATTACTCAATCAAGATAACTTTGTTTTATTAAATGTATAAAAAGTACATCCTAATCCTATACAAAAAATTATTGTCTCTAGTAATACTAATTATGTTGCTGTTTTATCTAATAAAGGGGAAATATTCTTTCTCAAATATTCTGATTCTAATATCCAAGATATTCAAGCATATTGTTTATGGGAAACTAAATTAAGTATTAATGATTTCTGCTTTGATAAAACTGGAGCTAAAGTTATGATGGCATGCAAAGATGGATATTTATATCAAGCTCTTGTACCTGGTGATGTAGACAATAGTGAAAATTATTTACAAGAATTCAATGCTACTAAATATTTAGTGAGAATGATGGAATCTTAGAAACCAAAGAAAGAAGATTTAGATTTATAATTTTTAATGAAACTTAAAGATGACAAGATGCCAGATGTTGAATGGGATCCTGCAAGTATAATGAATGTTGTTTATTATGGAGATAAAGTATTTTGTACAGCTGAAGGAAAATATTTAGGGTGCTGTTACATTATTGATTTAAATAAAGATAGGCCAATAGAGATGATTCCTGTATAGAAAATGTAGACTTTTCATCTAGATTATAAAGATGATGTATTGACTATTGGTTATAAAAATGGATAATGGGATATACGTCATAAAACGGATTTTAGCAAACAGATAAATAAATAATCACATGATATGGATTATGGTCGTGTTCGTAAAGTAAGTTTGACTTTTGATAGAACTGGAGTATTGAGTGTTAGTGATGATGGAACATTTTATGTTTATAAGTTAGATTTTCAAAGTTTTTTGATGTAATTGAGTGGAAATGAGGTGAGTGATTTTTAATACTCAGAATTTACAATGGGAATTAACAGTGGAACATTTGCTGAGGAAATAGCATATGAAGAAGCTCAAGATATATTGGATGATACAATATATTCAATTCAGTAAGCTAAGTTATTAGCTGAAGAAGATAATCGTAGAAATGAAGCAAATAAGAAGAAGGAGACAGTAAAATCAAGAATATTGCAATTAAGAGAATAATTTTCATAAGTGAGATAGAAGAATCAAACAGCAGAAGATGCATCGAAATTAACAGAGGATGAATTATGTGTTGATCCTGAATATAAATAGATGTTATTGGATAGGGTTGCTGAAGATGTAGAAGAAACAAGATTAGAATTAGAATGGGATAGAACATTGGCAAAAATGAAAGCTGAAAAATTAAAAGCATATATGATAGATGAACTTGAAATAGATAAATTTATGGTTAAAGGATTTAGAAATTAAGCTTCTGTTTAAACATTTAAAGTCAAAAAATTAAGCAACTTTCTTATTGAATAATTGAAAGAGACATATAGATTAATAGAGGAAGAACGAAAGAATCAAGAAAACTAGCCATAAATTGAGAATAAAACATAAGAGAAAATATAAGTATAATCCTAAGTTAAAATAACTGCAGTTGATATGAAAGAAGAATAATAAAAAGCTACAGTATAATAATTGGATCCTGACCAAAAAGTACCTTAGGCTAAATTAGAGAGAGAGAGATTACGTTAAGAAGAAGAAAGAATTAAGAAAGAATAAGAGTTATTAGAAAAATCCAAACCTATTGAATTAGCAAAACCAGAAAATGCTCCTGATATTTAAGAAGCCATTAAATAATATGGGGATTATAAATTAAAGAGTTCACCTAATTATGAAGTGCCAGATAATTAGAGAATGAATGTCAGCAAAAAAAGAAAACATATGTATATGTTGGAAGAATTTATATATAATACTAAATTGAAATTCAATTAACAATTATTAAATCTAAAAAAAAGAAAAGGAAATCTTATAGATAAAATAAAGAAGTATAATTAATAAATCAAAAAAATCAATGAATAACTTGGAAAATAAGAATAATTGTTTTAACCAGACATTGATAAAGAATTAGAAGACCCTCATAGTTTTATGGAAATTAGTGATGAACAAATCAATGAATTTATTAGTAAATTGTAATAGCAATAATAAAAAAAAGATGAACAAAAGAGAATTGCTCCTGCTTAAATTTCAAAACCTGCTGAATAGAATCAAATTAAAACAAGAAAAGGAATCAGAGTTCAATAATCAACTCTTGAAGAAGAGATGAAAACTATTTAAGATATGGTATTAAATGCAGAAAAATAAAGAATGATTGAAGAGATGTAAGAAGAGATCAATTAATTTGATAAAGATGTTGTTAAGTGTTAAAATGAAAAAAATGTACTTGAAAGTGATATGTTAATAGCTCAGATGAAATTAGTAACTTACTATTAAGAATTGATTATATTAGAAGACATGGAAGACTTCGATAATAAATTAATAAAAGAAGTCTTAGATTTTAAGAAGGAAAAACAGAATCTGGAATAATAGGTAGAGAAGATTTTGGAGAATCTGGCTACTTTGTAAAAGAAGGAACAATAAAATGATAAAGATTTGATAGAATAATTAAAAGCATGGAAAGAGTTAGTTCATCCTGATGATGAGTAGAAAAGGAATAAGATTCATGATTATTATCGTAAGAAATTCAAAAGAGAGATGTTAAAGAGATTGAAGAAATAATAAGAGAAGGAACACTCAGATTCAGAAGAGAATGAAGATGATGAAGAAAATGATGATGATAATGATGATGATATAGTATCTGATGATGATGAAGAAGAAAAGCCAGATATTTCTCCAGTGGAGTAAGATCCAAAAGTTAGAGATGTAATTGAAAAAATTTGTGGTTTGGAGGAATAATAAGATAATTTTAAATAAGAGAAAATATAGAATGAGTAATAAAAGTCTAAATTAGCTAATAAAATAGCCTAGAATGATATATATTTAAAGAGAGCTAATGATGATTTAACATAATATTAAAGAAAGAAATTGTAAAGAGTTAATCAATTAGATGTCAGTTTTGTATTAAAATTATCATAAGTTTAAAATCTTAATGATTAAAAATAATTACCTGTAGATCTCAATAAATCTATTTTATTTACAGAATATGATTTCTTTAAACTTTGTAAAAGAATTGTTGAATTGAAACATGAATAAGGGAAAATAACTAAACAGAAGGCTTAAAAGGATAAAACAAAGAAAATGCAAGAAAAAGAAATAAAATTAAAGGATCTTAAAATAGAAGATTTAAATAAGAAATATGAAGAAAAACATATGTTAAAATTTGGAGATATTATTGATCTGAAAATATTGGATGCTTTAGAACCTACAAAAGCAGTTTTAGATATGAGATCATAATTTAATTAAGAAGAAAAGGAAGCTTAAAGAAAAGTATCTCGAGCTAAAGAAGAATTATCTAAAGTCAAATAACAATTATTAGAAGTAAAGAGAGAGAATACAAAGATTTTTACAAACATTACAAAATTAGGCAAATAGTAGATGGATTTAAGTAAAAAGCTCACTTCAGGCAATAAATAGTTATTTAAGGGTGATAATAAAGAGAAAAGATCAGATATGGATAGTGATAGATAGAGTTTAGAAGATCTAGTCAAATTTTTGGGTAAGGAAATAGAAGATCTTAAGAATGAGATTGGTCTATATAAGAAGAAAGGTATTAAATAAAAAATATAATTATAGGAGGTCATATCTATACGAGCATTACTTAAACAAATTAAAACTTTGTTTAAAGATGATATGTATAATCCAATTATTATTATTAAAATATCAAACTATATCATAATCTTCTTCATCATCCATATCCCATTAATTTTAAGCGGAAGGTTTGAAATCTTTTTGTACATCATATTTATAATTTTTATCACCTGGTTTAACTGAATTCTTATTATACATGGATTCCATAATTTATTTATGTTTTTTTAATTCTTCAGTTGTCATTTTATTTAAATTCAACTAGTTATAACCCATTTATTAATATAACATCCTATATTATTAATCTGTGAATTCATCTTCTGAATCTTCTTCATAATTTTATTCATAACATTCTTCATCTTCTTCATCTTCATCATCATCTTCTAAAACAGGTTATTTGCCTTTATGATTTTTCATAGCATAATTATATAAATCCTCTTCAGACATACCATAATCTTCAATATCTTTTTATAATTTTGATTAGGTCTTGGACATATTTGTAGATGCTTATGTTGAAGAACTCATAGGTCTAGTCGATGATGTTGGTCTAGCTTATGTAGTAGTAGTAGTAGTAGTATTTTTAGCATTTACATTTGGCTTAGTAATTTATAACCTTTTTTAGATCTTACCGATCAACTCTATTTTATTGATGTAACATTCAATTACCCAACAATTACTTTTCAGGAATCTTATTATTCATAAAGTACATAGCATGTTTTTTCTTTAAATATTCTAATGCATGATTAATAGGAGTATCAGGCTTTAGTTTTAAAAGTTTCATCTTATGATGATACAACTTTCCTGATGATGGTTACAAATATTCAACAACTAATCTATATTTACTAAATATTAACTGATCATTGGGGGATCAAATCTAATTGCCAATCTTTTGGGTTCCATATTAGACAATTTTTTATTCTTATCACCAGTATCATTCTTCTTTGTTCCTCCTGTTGTACTCTTTTAATTTATATCAAAATTATATGGGTCTTTTGTTGCAGTTTTAGCAAAATTATACATAAAATATTAACTTACAGATTTGAATTATTAATGGGATAAAATAATTGTACTCCTAACATTCCTGGATTAGAAAAATGTTATGCAAGATATGAATAAACTGATGAAAATAAATATCCTTATTTAGTAGCAAATAAACATAGATTAGAAGAATCATAAAATTCATAAATCTTTGAATTATATCAAAAATAACAAGATCAACTTAGATGTTATTTATAAAATTCTCGTTAGCTATCTTAATCAACAAAACGTAATTATGAATTTGAAGGACTTTTTCTTAAACTTCATCTCATCTCATATGCCATATTATGTATTTTGTTATTGATGATTACTTAAATCTATTACTTGTTAATACATTATAGTATACTAGATTAAATGAAGCTTTTTCAATAACTGTTAGTATTGTTGATGTATAATTTTAACAATCTCATTCATTTTTAAAATTAAAATAATCCAAAAATGCTTTCTAAACATTTCTATTTGGAAGATAATAAGGTTTCCGATTAGATAGATGTTTAATTGCAGAAATTACTTCTGGTTTTGAAAGTACTGAATTATTTCTTATCTGAGATTCAATTGTTAAAATATCATATACATACTTCTGTAAAGGATAAGAGAAAGCTGTATGTTATAAATTTGCAATCTTAAGAAAGAATACCGTAAGAACTATATGGATTGGAGTAGATCAAAGTTCTGTAAAAATTATCTAATTTATTAATATAGAATATTTATGATAAATAAACAGTTCCTGTCATCTAACCAGTTTTACCTTTTTGTGTTGGAGATTTTATAAAAATCCATTTACTCTATTAAACATTTAAGGATAAGTCAATTTATAAAGTATTAAATGGAATAAACCATCTATTGAAAAATTTGATATTGGCATTTTTGGAAGTAAAATATTCTATCTAATATCAATAGATCCAAAACATATTACTATGTAACCACCTACTAGATTCGAACCAAAAGATGCAGATTGGACTTTATTTTAANATTGGGGGATCAAATCTAATTGCCAATCTTTTGGGTTCCATATTAGACAATTTTTTATTCTTATCACCAGTATCATTCTTCTTTGTTCCTCCTGTTGTACTCTTTTAATTTATATCAAAATTATATGGGTCTTTTGTTGCAGTTTTAGCAAAATTATACATAAAATATTAACTTACAGATTTGAATTATTAATGGGATAAAATAATTGTACTCCTAACATTCCTGGATTAGAAAAATGTTATGCAAGATATGAATAAACTGATGAAAATAAATATCCTTATTTAGTAGCAAATAAACATAGATTAGAAGAATCATAAAATTCATAAATCTTTGAATTATATCAAAAATAACAAGATCAACTTAGATGTTATTTATAAAATTCTCGTTAGCTATCTTAATCAACAAAACGTAATTATGAATTTGAAGGACTTTTTCTTAAACTTCATCTCATCTCATATGCCATATTATGTATTTTGTTATTGATGATTACTTAAATCTATTACTTGTTAATACATTATAGTATACTAGATTAAATGAAGCTTTTTCAATAACTGTTAGTATTGTTGATGTATAATTTTAACAATCTCATTCATTTTTAAAATTAAAATAATCCAAAAATGCTTTCTAAACATTTCTATTTGGAAGATAATAAGGTTTCCGATTAGATAGATGTTTAATTGCAGAAATTACTTCTGGTTTTGAAAGTACTGAATTATTTCTTATCTGAGATTCAATTGTTAAAATATCATATACATACTTCTGTAAAGGATAAGAGAAAGCTGTATGTTATAAATTTGCAATCTTAAGAAAGAATACCGTAAGAACTATATGGATTGGAGTAGATCAAAGTTCTGTAAAAATTATCTAATTTATTAATATAGAATATTTATGATAAATAAACAGTTCCTGTCATCTAACCAGTTTTACCTTTTTGTGTTGGAGATTTTATAAAAATCCATTTACTCTATTAAACATTTAAGGATAAGTCAATTTATAAAGTATTAAATGGAATAAACCATCTATTGAAAAATTTGATATTGGCATTTTTGGAAGTAAAATATTCTATCTAATATCAATAGATCCAAAACATATTACTATGTAACCACCTACTAGATTCGAACCAAAAGATGCAGATTGGACTTTATTTTAATATAGCAAATCCAAATTTTTTAATATATTAAACTAAAAAAGATATTAAGTAATGTACTTTGATCATCCAATGAAAAAATGTTTTGATAATTGTAAACAACTAAAATTAAAAGAGTGTAGATGTTGTGGTAATGGGTTAATTATTAATCGTATGAATTATACTTGTGTTTCAGAGGGTCAACTTATGATTCCATAAATTAATATCAAACTTATTGTCAAATAAGGTTGTATCACCAATCAAATTAATCGAGCTACTGTAAGTTTTGAATTAGATAACACTTTAGAATTAAGAATTGGAGATCTTTTAAACTTATACTACCTAAGAGGAGGAGACTCTTGATATATATAAAAATAATTATTTATTGTATATTCTTTAGAACTATGATTAGGGAATAAATAGATCAAATTATTTTCATTTTTTTTTAATTTTCTAATTATTAAAATTACCAATTATTTTTTATGGATCTATAACCAGAAAATGAATCAAAATATATATCTTCGAATTTATTACAAAATAAAGAAATATAAAACCAACCACCTTTTTCTAACATAATGTAATCAAATAATATAATAATATCTAGAATTATACCAGAAGAAGAAAATTCTTAATCATTATAATTCTAATAAACTACAATTGAACAATTAGTTCTAAATAAGATTGAAGCTCTTGGCAAAACTATTGCATAAGTATAAGCAATTGAAATTTTAAAAAAATATACAAAATAAACAAGAGGTTTAAATGTACATTTGTTAACTTATGAAATATCAGAACAAAAGAGAAATTTTAAGATTTTGGAAGATTATAGTTTATAAAATGAATAATAAGAAGAATTTTAATAAGCTAAAGAGGAATTCAAAAAGTATTTGAAGAATTTTCAAGATCTTCTTTAGAATTACGAATATAATTAATTATTAGAAAATATTCTATAACCTCCTTCTCTTTAATCAACAATAATTTTGCAGCCAGATTAATAGTATTTGGATGCACTTGAGAATTATCACTATTAATCAACGATTAATTTTCATAATTCTTTGTAAATCGATAAAACAGGATAAGATTTATTATAAAAAATAAAAATTTATAAGTAAGAATTAGTTAGATTTTTATATTTCGAATTTAGTGAACATGATTCAAAATATCTTAGTACCCTTTTAAATTATATTTTAATTCTTAAATCTTAAAATAATCATTACGCTCTTCAATTATTAAATGACTTTATTCGATAAATACGTAGTTATGATGATAAGGATAAATTAATGAATCAAATTCAATAAATAGTAGAAGTCTTTGTAGAATTATCTGAGTATTTTTAAGAAATTTACAATTGTATTAATGATAATTATCTTAATTTTGATGGAAGTATTGAACTTAATGCTTATTAATTTGAAATTATTATGTTAATTTAAGATAGCATTATACATCGTAAAAGAGCATTATATTTTATATTATCTCAATAAACTAAATTTGTTATGCAATAATTAAAATGGATTTATAAAATTGGACCATCTTAGCCAAATTTAAAATAATTTAAAGATTTGAAAAAATTTATCTCTGATAATGTTAATTAATAATTATTTTAAGAATTGGAATTAATTAAACAACTATTTATTTCAACTAAATTGAGATTATTAATGGAAATGATTCTTCAAATGAATGTGTTGTAAGACACTGATATAAATTTAGAATATTATAATTTTTAAATGTTATTATACTATGATTTAGATATAATCTAATAATGTATATAATAAAAAGAAGAAGATTTTTAAGGTAATATTCATGAACCTTCATTTTCTGAAGGTTAAATTAATTTTTAATAACCTTTGGTTCTCTTTTCTAATATTTGTGAATAAGCAGCTATTGATGAAATAGAATTAAAGAAAAAGGCTTCAAATGATATTTTAGAGTAAAGCTTTTTATTTATTATTTTAGGGAATTACGGATAAAAATAAAGGAATCATAATAAACCCTAAAAAAAGAAGTTCGTTCAACTAAGGTAATTATCAAATTATCAGAATTACTTAATTAAATTTTTTGGTTTTAAAAGTTAGACGTAAAGATATTTGCTATCTTATATCCATATTTTTAGGAACTTTAAACTCTCGGAAAAACATAGGTCTAATATCAATAAGATATTTAAAATCCAGATTAAATTCCTAATTTGTATTAATTATTAATTGCTTTCGGGTAGGAAGGTGAAAAAGAAATTTAATTCTAAAATAAAGTGAAAGAATTGGCTATGTAATACTCTGAAGATTAAGTAGCAGATTTTACTGATTTGGTAAAAGAAATAGAAGAATATGAGCCTAAAAAATAGTAGATTTTTTTGACTAATTCAAAACAATATTATTCTAAAAATTTCAAAGACAATCTATTAATTTTAGCAAAAGCAGGTTCAAAATCGTACGAAGAAGCCACATAATATTTAATTTCATAAGTAGATCCATGAATACGAATGTTATAATTATATAATGTTTTAAAATTTCATTTTTACTAAAAAGAATTTTGTAGACCTGTGTATTAATTGAACTATGTCTAATTTTACTATGGAATTGCGCCCTAAGTATTAATCCAATTTTCATTTGTGAAAGGAGTTGTTGAACTTAAATTATTGTTATTCTTCTTCTGTATGGTATTGTTTTGAATAAAGATTTCATGATCTTCCTCTTGTGTTTTATATTAATTAAAATTTTGTTTAGGTGTACCTTATTGGTTTTTTTCTGTCTTCATTACATCATTTCTAATTTTTGATTAATTAATACTAAGCTTAGAATCTTTAATAAGAGTTATCTGTTAGTTAATTATTTGACATGTTGTTTTATTACTATTAATCTACCTTGTTTTGGTTTTTTTCTCCTTGTTTCTGATTTAAATACATTTGAGGTTTAGTAGGGTCAAAATCCATAGTTTATAATTGCTAACGTGAATAACTGATAAATATTTCACTCCTCTATGAGTTTTTATTATGATCAGGGTTTTGATTCATAATAAAATGATTAAATAAAATAATAATATTAAATTATTTTGTTTGAATTCGATTAAGAATGACTGTATTAAATATGGAATTAAGCATATATTCAATTATTCACTCAATATAACAGTATAAAAATAATTGAGAATTCTATATATTTATAATCTTGGTGTATCTAAATGAAGATTATCAAAGCGATAAATTATATTTATGGATATGTGTCTATAAAGAATAAGTAATAATTGTAAGATAATATATATTCAAATAAGAAATACACAATTACAATGAAAATAAAGAAATAGAATCAAAATAAACTTGAAAAAAAATTATATTGGAAAAAGAAACAATTGATGATATTAGAGCAATTATAAAAACTAATGACTAGATTATCGAAATTGCTAATAAATATAAGAAGAATTACATTGTTTAATAAGAGATTTAAATATATTTTTAAGTATTAAAATAATAGAAATAGTTTTAAATCATATTAATTTTCTTTTCCGAAAAAAAAAGATGATGATCGAAGTTACATTCATAGTTAATTAATTGAGTATTCAATAAACTCAATCTGTCTATTTAGATCAAAGGATTGATTTTCATATTCGTCATATATTGTACTAAGCATCTGTTGATTTATATAATTGGGAAAACATTTAATGTTCAATTATTTATAGTAATGTTAAATATGGCTGTGATAAGACCTTTGAAGAATTAAATATTACAAATAATTCAAAACTATCAATAAAATTTACAAAACCTATTTCTATTGAAATTTTGAATTAATAATTTGCATCCATATAATATTAGGCAGATGCTTTTGATAGAATTAAAATGTTTTAAGAATGGATAATAAAAAATCATCTAAGAAACGCTCAGTATGAGATTTAAATCATAGATGCAAGTAATGGAAAATCTATTTAAGATGAAACTTGGATTTAAAATGGTATTTAATAGTCTATTCAAGTTTTGTTGAATATAAATGTTAAATAAAGTATTTTATGGCAAGGTAATTCAATAACTATAGAATTTAATGTTTTTTCACCAATCTCATAGTTAATTCAAAGTTTAAAGAATTAACTTAAAATAAATACAATAATTTCATTGTAATACCAAGATAACAATCTTAAACCTGAAATATTATATTTCAATTAAAATATTCCTCTCAATATACAATTATAAGCAAATATTCCTAATGCATTAACTTATCGAATATCATTTCAAAAATAATAGAGAGAGAAATAAATTACTTGTAACTCATATTCATTTGTTAGTGAAATCATTAGATAATTAAGATCTTAATTTTAGATAAATAAAAGTTCTAATATTTTATTAAAATATTATTGGATTTTAGATACAAAGAATACATTTGCTTAAGAAGATATACCAAATTTTAGTTTAATAGAATTAATAGAAGAAGATTCTTAAGGGGAATTTTAAATAACTCTAAGAAATATTGGTGAGAATGTAGATTAATAATAAAATGATATAATTTGTTTAGTAAGAATTGATACAACTCTAAAATAGTTGTCATAAAGAATACCTCATTAAATTAATGAAGAAGTTAAGTTTTATTTAGATTAGAATGCTTAATAATAATTAGATGATTAATAAAATATGGAGAATTTAGATGTTTGTTATGGAATGACAATCATGTATAAAATAGAAAGAAGACCAAGAATAACATAAATCTATAAACAAATAGAATAAAAAAAATTTGGAATTCTAATTGTTAATATGAATTCCGTTACAACATAAGAATTAGCAATATAAAATGATGTTTTCGCTTTAGCTTCAATAATGAGACACAATTTTGGCCTTCCAAAAAATTAAATAATTAAATTTTCAATTGGTACAACGTTATTAAAGGATGAAGATAATTTAGATAAAATTTTGGATGGCAAATTTGATAATTTGTAAGCAATTTTTTTGGAAACAATAAATATATATCTAAAATATTTACACAATGATTCTAAAACTTTGATAACTGTAAAGTTGGAAGATACTTTAGAAAAAATCTCTAAAGAATAAAATCTTAATGGTATTTTTAAAATAAATGATAAGTCTTTATCAATAAATGAAACATTCGCTTAATTATAAATTTATAATGGAGAGACTATAATTTATGAAAAAACTACACCAATTGAAGAAGAGAGTGAAAAAATTCCATCAATTAATAATGATCCTATTTCATAAAATTAACAACTTCATTAACCCTCTCCTATAAATAGCGGTATCTAAGAAAGTAATGATTAATAAAAGGAACTTCCTGTAGCAAAACCTTAAAATGTATAATCAAAAATTGAGAATATAATTAAGGAAGAGGATTTCATTAATGTTAATACCTAAGTTGGAGGAAGAGTTTACAAATTTAGAGCAAAAGGCACCTAAAGATTTGAAGTTCTTAAATCAATTCTATACGATTTTTTAATAAAAGAAGAGCCAGAAAGGATAAAATATTATAGTCTTGTTAATGAAGAATAAGTTTTAAGGGATGATATACTAATATCTTCATTAAATAAACAAGAAATAAACATTTAACTTAAATTAAAGTAAAATATTATTTGAGCAATTTTATAAAAATTATTATGTATTCTTATAACTATAATAAATGAAAATATCCAGGAATGATTCATTTTAGAATTAACATTATTAAACTCAAATTTAATATGTTTTAAATAATTTTATATTATGCTATCAGATTATTATTTATTAAAATTAAGATTTCAAATGTTAACTTAATATTAGTTACAATATATGATATTATTTTAAAGGAAATCTTAATCTTTTTGATCAAAATTAAGTTGTTATTCTTTGATAATTGATTCTATAATATATGTGTATAAATGAATAAAATTAATTAATAATTAATGCAAGCATAAATTCCTGTAGATTTTGAAACATAAATAAGAATTGCTAATGAATAAATGTCAATAGACTAACCACTTATGGAATAAGAGACAGAAGATAGAAATAAAGAATAAGAAGAAGAGTTGACTGAGGAACAGAAAGAGAGAAGGAGAAAAATTTTGGAAGTTCAATTAGCCAATAAAAGATTATTATATAGTATTCATAATAAAGACATGGAAATATTTAGAGTTAAAAAAGAAATCGAGGATTAAAAATAGTTATTGGCTGAGCTTTAATAACAAGAATAAGAATATTAATAACAATCTAGTGGTATTTTTATCTATGTTTAGAATTAGAAATTCTTAATGATTCTTATTTATCTCATAGAGCTTTGGTTTCATATGATACTTATTTAAGAGGAACTCTTAGAGAGTAGGATAGAAAAATATATGAATTAGAATTAAACAATGCTGATATAAGTGAAATTTCTGCCAGAATTGAAAAAATAAATAAAGAATATGAGAGAAATATTTAACCTCTTGTTGTTGGAGATTTTAAGACATAAATAGATGCAGACATTAAAAGCTCAAAAAATTAAATTGATGCTCTAAGAAATTAATTTAAAGAGATTGTAGATGATATAGTCAAATTACATGAAAAACATTTAGATAATATTGATATGTATTCTACCTTATAAAGATAATTATAAGTAATATTATTGCATATTTCTTTAGGAATAATTATTAGCAAATGAATAATTAGATTATGAGTTAAACCAATTAAAGAAAAGTAAAGAGTAATGTTGATTCATATTTTATATATATATATATATTTTGATTCAATAAATATTTAATATTAACAACTAAATTTTTATCATATAAAGACTTTATTGGATTCAGATACATTTTTTGTATAAATATTTACTAATTATTTTTATTAATTTATTCAATTAGAATAATTCTTAGAAGAGAGTGATAAATTCTGAATAAAAATTAGTAGTTTAGGTTTAATTAAATTTGTGATGATTTTTTTTGAAATAAATAAGTGAATGTATCGTTTATTTTTTTGTTTAGAATTAAAAATTAAAATAATTAAAGATTTAAGTAAAATTAGGAAAATGAAATTTCTCTAATTAATGTAATTGATAATAAATAATAGATAGAGAATGTAAAAATGTTTAAAATAATTAATATTATATAATTATAAAATGATAAAATGATTAAAATTTATCATTATAATTTTCCTAATTTTTGCCACATGTTATGATTATCTGAATAATTAGGGACAGAAAAGGAAGTTTACTTTTTAGTAACTGGGAATAGTTGATCTAGAGTTAATGAAAAAGCATCATCAAGCATTCTAGGGATAAGTTTTTAAAGCAATGGACTAGATTCTTCTAAACATGGATTTGAATTTATTTCAATGAGCCAAACTTTAAATTCTTCATCAATCATAAAATCTAATCCAAATATTTCGAAACAGTATCTTCTCCCAAGAACATTGATTTTTTTTCTAACTGATAGAAATGCTTAAAGTGAAATTTACTTGATATTATCGACGATCTGAAATTATGATATAATTTAAATACCTATTTATAGAAATCTCCTTTATTCTTAAAATATATAGCTGCTTAATCAAATGATAGTTGATTTCCATCTTCAAGTTTACCATAATTAGGACTATATTTTTAGATTGCATTATTAGTTAAATGTACATATTGATTTAATACATTTTTAGTAGTATATTCTTCAGATGCCATTCTGATATAGCCTTATTCAAAAAAGAAGAATTCTAGATCCTAATTTAACATTCCCCAAACTCTAATATCGAATTTACGATTATTAATTAATAATGGTTTTTCTAAATATTTTTAGATAACAAATTGTTTAGATTTAATGATTTGTCCATCTCTCATTTATTATTTGCCAGAGATATATTAATCAAGTAGATGAGTCACTTAATCTAAATCTTTGATAACATGAATTCCTCTACCACGATTATATTGTGTAGGTTTAAGTATCCATAAATATTCATGACCTAAGAATGTATTAGGAATCTTAGATTTATTAATAGATATAATCTTATCTGTAATTTACATATAAGTATTCAGTTAACGTCTAATCATATAGAATTTATTTTGTGCATCATGCAATTTCATAAATTATGGAGCATTGTGTTCATAATATAAAAGAAATTGTAATAAGTTTACATCCGCTTTTTCATTAGTGAAATCTAAAACAAAGGTTAGAGGAACAAAAGTCAAAATATCTAATTGATTTTCCTATTTAAGTTAGGGTATACTTCACAATATTGCGAGAGATTTCTAAAAAGATTGCTCTTTTATGATATCTCTGAATGAAACTCAAAATGGTTGAGTATAGATTTGGATTTATTGCCTGGTAACAATCTATCATACTGATAACCTTTTTATGTCTATTACCATCTGAAATTGATGAATGAATCATTCTTATTATTTGTAGAGATCCACTCATTTCTTTTAGATAGAACTCTCTAAACAACTTAGTGATTATTACCAGTTCCTAAGAAGTATATATAATTATTTTGTATAAGCGTAGGTAATTATACTACTTTATTTTAGTCACTGCTTCTCACTTCCTTACCAAGTATAACTGATTAAGTTAGTTTTGGTTAATCTTTTAGCTTTATATACTTTGATGCTAATGCTATTGCTAATTGTTTAGGATTATTTAAATGAGGCATAGCAGCCATTTAATTTTAAATAAATCGTGTGAATCTAGCTGTGTCTATCTACTAAAGATCCTTTACTTTCAATTAGGGTAGATTCATGTTTATATATTAAATAAAATATTAATCATGTAAACTTCTTCCATGGATTTTCAAAGAAAGACTCCTTTATCAAGTGATCGTAACTTTCACCATTCCATTAGAATTTCTCTTCCCATTTTTTGTCTTTCTTATCTCTCTTATTATTTTGAGCAAACATTTCTTCATTTTTACGAGTATATTCTTTTAAAAAAGGAAATTTATCCATAATTAATAAAAGTAATCATTTGAAACCAGGGAGAACCGTCGGCTTGCCCAATTTTAACAATCTTCTCTTATTCAGGTACTTCATCGATACGAATCCTAGTCTCAAATAAAATCTATATTATTCATTAAACATAAATATATACCTCATTAAATGATTACATTCTTTTCCACATCTTTTATGATATGCTTACATCCTATTTATAAATCTTTTAAACTCATTAAAATTTAATTAACCATTCTTATTTAATTAAATTATTCTATCAACTATTTCTGGAGTCTTACTAAGATTTCCAAACATTGTTTCTAAAACTTTATCATTTATTTCTTAACCCAATTCATATCCTGGAGTTCTATTAATTGCCTTTTATATTATATCTTATTCATTCAATTCAGGAATCTCATTTGTTATTTAATCAAAAATTAATTTCTCTTCTTCTTATTTATCGTCATATTCTAATTATAATTTATTTAAAACAAGATCATCTTTTGTTTTATTTCTTGGAGTATAATATTCACGAGGTGATATATTTTAAGATTATGTACCTGTTGTAGTATACATCCTTCTATGTTATAAATTTAAATGTTTCTCCTCTTATTATTCATAAATTTTTTATTTCAAAGACTTTCTCTTTGCTTAATTCTTCTCATCCTACTATTATTGACTATTCTATTCTTATTCACGTTTCACTATTTGTATTTTACTTTTGTGTATTGAAGATTATGGAGAAGGAAAAACATTTGTCTAATGAATTGATTATTAATTACGAGGTGATGGTAAATTTGAATTCGTATTTGATTGTATTGGAGAATTAAGATTACCTATCCCTACTGTTCCAGCTGAATTAAAATTAAAAGTACTACTTGTTGTCAATTATTATTAAGAATTGTTTTTACTATTAGATCCTTTAAACTTGACATTCTCTATTTATTCATTTTCTTACAATAAACTATTTTATTTCTCTGTCTAAAATAAATTTGATGTCATTCCTATATCAGTCTATACTGATTACTCTTTTGTTTCTTTCCTATCTTTTACATCATTCTATTTTATATTCTATTACTTTTTTTCTGATTTTATTGAACTTTATCTATTCATATTAATATTTTATGATGACTTTGCTTTTGAAAGTGGATAATGTGGTGTCAATTAATTTGGAGATGTATTCACTATCTTAAGAACATCCATTTTATTTGTTAATTAACCAAAAGAGTCCAACTTTTTCTAATTACTACTAGCAGAAGACATATTTCTACTGCTTGTTATCTATTATTAATATGAAAATTATTCTGTTGGTACACTAACTTTTATTGCAGGTTTATCATTACTAGTTTCAATTTCAAATGAACTCTAATGTAAATTCCTACTTATATTACTTTATTTAAGTTTATAATCTAAATTTCTCATTGATGATTATGGATCTATATTATTTGAAATCTAACTATTCTCAAGATTGTCATTCTACAATAAATCGTTTTCTTCAATTTCTTTAATTAAATCTGCTAATTCATGAATTTAAGAACTTGCCTTCTATTCTAATATAAATTACATTTATGTTAATCTTCTTGTTTGATTATTTCCATCCAAAGCATTTACTAATTTGACTAATCTCTCCATTTATTATGTCTTCTTCTAAATATTAAAATTATCTTTTGAAGTCAAATATATTTATTATTTTGATGACTACTATTAAGATTAATCTCGACTTGTAGTTCTAGGATTTCCTGAGACAGCATTTATAAGTATTTCATCATTACTACTAGATGAAACATATCCCCTTTCTCTATCACTATTTTTTTTAACAAATTTAGAATATTCTCTAACAATATTATCTAATTTTTATTTAAATTCAGATTTTTCACTTTCAAGCTATTAGAGTTATGTATGCATCATTCTATACTGCATATCTTTTTATTCATTAATAACCTAAAGTTCTAATAATTAATTATCTTTTTTAGAGATTTCGTTTAATGCAGATTCTAATTTATTTTTTAAAATCATAATTTCATTAACATATTAAGAACATCTACAATCTTCTTTGTTATTATGTGTTTTTTTCTTAAGTTTTGCTTTCATGTCATTCATCATTTACTATTACTTTTCTTTTTCTTAATGTTTCTATTTATAACGATGAATAATAGCAATAGCAGTTTATTATTGAATATGATGAATATGTGATAAGAGAAATTAAACAGTATGATCATAATTTTGAACACCAAAGGTTTCTAGATTGACTTATTTCAATATTGATTCCAAATTTAGTCTTCTAAATTGAATATCTGATATAACTAAATCTAATTCTTCTGGTTTTCCTTAGAATTCAATATCTAATTGTTTTTTATTAGCCAAAGCTTCACTAAGCATAGTGATAGTATCATTTGTATATTCTAACCATTCTCTCATTTCTTCTTCTTTCTGTAAAAGATCACTTGATGCTTTCTAACAATTTTAATAGTAATCAATTATAGTACTAGTACCTACATCATGATAAGTTCTTAAATTTCTGGTTGCTTAACCTTTACATTTATAATCACACCAAGGAATTTGTTGATAATTTTTGATTTATTAAGGAGTACCCAATTAATCAAAAATAGCTACACTTCCTAATTAGAGTGCATTAATAAAATCAGGTATTTATGGTGTTAAGAGAATAGGTTTAGGTTAAGGATGAGGTTTAATTTAAGATTGAGCAGATTCAAACATCTCTCTCATAAGAATAAAGAGTTTATCCATAACATTACCAATTTCAACACTTATTTCCTTTTATACTATAAGTACACATTCAGAGAAAACCTCATAACATTCAGAATCAAGTTTAGAATTGTTGATTTTATTCTTTCTATAAAGATGTTCAACTAAATTTTGTAATCTCTTAACTTAATCTTCCATGTTTTAATTATATATAAGGATGGTTGAAATATTAAAATAAAATCATTATACTAAAAAAAAAGATTAATAAATCAAGTTCCACTTAATTCACTTTCAAGAGATCTCATTATTCTTTGATGAAGACTATTGATAGAACTTAACATATGCTATTCAAATTTCAATAGAAACAAAAGATCCTTAGTCATTTATTATTTAATGTTATTTTAGGATTACATTGAAGTTTGAATTTATTTGAATTTCTCTTTGTTATTCTTTTTCTCACTTTTTGAAAATGACATTCTTTCTACTTTATTTTATTAGAATCTATCTAATTCAATAACATCATCATCAAAGTTGAAAGAGATCTCACTATCTGACATTAAAAATAATTAGATTAGATCAATATAATAACATATTTAAAAACATTCGAACTGTATGGTATTATTTAGCTTTATATAGAATATGGGAATTAAATCATTTTCTTGGTGGTAAAATCCTTTATAATCTCTATTAATCTTATTAATTGAATAATGGTGGCTATCTTACTGATGAATTTGTAGTTTAAACATCTGTAACAGTTAATTATCTCATTCTCTCTTATAATTATTATTAGGCTTATTGTATTGGATCAACCTATTACTAATTTTTCTTATATAACATTTACATCAGTCCTTCCTGTCAGGATTTTATCATAGAACTCTTTAAGTTATTAACTCTATTAAGAACCTCTAGCAGATATTGGTTAATCAGTAGGAACTGGTTATTGTTAAGTTGATTATTCAACTGATCTCTATATCGGTAGAATTGGTCTTGTTGCAGGTGCTTAAGATGACTTCTCTTTTAATTTAGTAAAAAAGTCTTAATCGTCTTCAACTGTCAATTCCTCTTTAACTATATTCTATATATAATTATTATTCTCCTATTTACTTTCTTTAATTACACCATTGGAATACTCTCCTCATATTTTATTACACTATTTGCCAACTTTGTAAATGTACTCTTTATTATATTTATATCATCTTAACCCAATGGAATAAAAAGACTTTCAAAATCTGATAAATTTTTATGTTATGATGTCTCAAATGGCATATCATACAAACGATGCAACACATATTCATACATCACCTTTATGTTGATCTTTTGTTTTACAGAACTTAATAGTAATGTTGCTCCATCTTATTATATCTATCTAAACTCTTACAATTCACACAAAATTAACGTAAACTAAATTATATTATCTCAGCTTTCTAATCCCAATCCTTTCCTTTATCATCCCTCTCCAATATGTCTGATTTATTCACCATCACCATCAATGGTACTCCTAAATTTGTCTTCAACAAACCTTCATGTATCTAACCTCCATCCATTTATGACATATATTACATCACTTAAATTACATTTAAATTATATATACCATTTTATTTCATCTCCTCCAATTCATTTAGACTCAATCGTAATTCAGCCATCATATCCTACAACACACTTATCCATCTATCTAAATCCTCCATAAATGTCCAAGGCTCTTACATGTCAAGAGCTATTATTACAAATGTATTCTTTATATTTTTGTGATTCAAAATTTAAGGTAGCAAATACTTCTAACCCTGCTCCTCCAATATATAAACATTCAAACGAGCATTCGTGTTATAATCTGGATCACGAAGGTCTATCAAATTCAAATACGCATAATCTATTATTGGTGTAATCCCTTTTTGCCGAATCGCATCTAAGAATTATTATCAATCTATATACTCTTATTAGTTTTCGTCATCTCAGCTAAAGCATCCAATAAACTTCTCTTTCCACTACATTTTCTCCCTAATATCAACAAATTCTTATTTATAAAACCACCTTATCTACTTTTCTCAAATAAAAGTTAATTCCAAACATTCTCTTTTTTACTCATTAATTTTAATATGGGAGCTTGTAAATCTTGTACTCAATAACCATCACCCGAAATAATTTAAGGAGATATGGAATAGCCAGGTATTCGAAGTGAGTAGATACGTAAGATAAGTAATTTGTTAAATGAATTTGAAACATATCAGTTGATAAAGAAGACTTCATATTAGTTTATTTAGGACGGTACAATACGAAATGGAAGAGTGAGTGTTAAAAAATTGATAACAACATAAGGGACAGTGAAGCCAATAAACTTATAATAATTATAAGAAGCTAATAAGGGATTGGAACAAGTGAAAGCACTTACAAATAATTAAGATAAATGTGAGATTGAGAAATAAATGAAATTCAAATGTGGTTTGGAATTAGGAGATAGATTTCCTTAAATAAAATTGCATATGCTTTTAGGTGAAGCCTAAACCTTAGTATTAAAGGAAAACACTTATACATTGATAAAATCTTGGGGTTAAGGTGAATAGATGGTGAATTTCTAACATGCAATAGAATTGATTGAGTCATTAAAAAATGTTTAGATTCAATTAATTGGATTGACAAGAGGGAATGATGAATAGCAATCAGTCTATGAGGAATTAGTACGATCGAATCCTGGATGGCAGTAACATTAACATATTTATGTACTTGAGGAGGAACCAGAAAATCATATATTTGATATTTATTATTAGGAATAAAGTAATGACATTGAAGAAGGATATTTAGCTAGTGCTTTATTATTTTATGGTTAGAATTTGATTTGGAAAAGATATACATAAGAATGGGATATTTCAGCAGATTCTGATGAAGTAGCATAAGAGGTTACTAATCTCATAAATTCAGGTGTTAAAGAATATGTAGGTGTTAAAGAAATAAATAAATAGAGTATGATAAGTAGATAATAATATTTGGAAGTTAAGAAATTCATTTTACAATAATAATAATAATAATAGAATTTTACTAGAGGAATAGAAGTTACAATAAATAAAAAGACAATCTATCGTAAGAATAGTAAACAAGTTATTTATGAATAACCAATCATAGAAGTAGCATGTTCTCCTAAATCTCAATAAATCACTGAGAATTTTATTAGACCTCTCTAATAAAAAGCACTTATTTGGGATATATAAATTTTAAAAAGAATTTTAACACAAAAAATTAAAGAAAATAATCTCAATATTGAAGCTTCTTTGGAAAAGCATATTAAGATATATATAAATTATGAAAAGAATTTAATTTAAATTCCTAATTGGGAAATGACAACATTAACTCCATATTATAAATCAACATAATATATTTCGTAAGTTAAATAATGGATACATGCTAGAGATCGTATATTAAGTGAAGCTTAAAATTGTGAAGACCCTGTTCTTAAGAGAGTTAATTAAATGGTTTATTAATTTTTCAATAATATTCCTACTGTTGAAAAAGTACTTAATTAATAATATGGTAAAATTCCCTATGCAGAAAAACGTAAACCTCCATATGAAGAGATGTCAGTTTCTAAAAGTTTAGGAAATGAAGAGATAACGAGAAAATAAGATAAAATATTGTTTATTTTATTAATTGATTATGAAAATGATGATACATTAGATATGTTGAAGAATTTAATTAAATACAAGAAAGAGAATTCTGTTTAATTATAAATTGCAGTTTTAGGACATATAAGAGCAGAATCTTGGACAAAATTATTTTAAGCCTTTATGGAAAAACATAAATTACATAAAGATGCTGAAGAAGGAACTATTGAAACATGGTTTCCCGTTGAAGATAAAATAGGATCAATTTCATTTAGTGCTATTCTTAGTAAAATGTATGGTATGAGTTTAGAAAAAAGAGATTGTATGTTAGTTGATTTAGATAATCAAGTTCGAGTTATTGATTCAAGTAGAAGAATAATACCTAAAATATCTTAGATTTTAAATGATTTACAAAATAAGAATTAAATTTAAGATAAAGAATTTATGTATTAAATTTTTAAATTTCTAGAAACTATTTGAAATAATATTAACAATTTAAGAGATCCATTCGAGATAATCCTTAATTGTTGAAATTGACACAAAAAATCAAAGAATAATGTAAAGATGACGATTGTTTGATTATCTATGAATAAAAAAAGGCTAAGATTTGGGATTTTGAAGGTTCCAATTTTAATGAAGTTAGAAAATATTAACAACCTACAAAAATTTTAAGATTGATTCCAAAAACATCTGAAATGGGTGAACTCACTCAAATAATTGACAATTCAGATTTCTTATAAATGAAATGATTAAAAATACAATATATATATATAGAGGATGTTTTAATCATTTTCTTTTTCTAACAGATCTTCTTAAAATCTCTTCTTTAGCTCTTCTTCTCGTATTAATACGCTATCTTGGAGAAGATGATTCTGATGAAGAATCAAAAGATTATTTTTCAGATTATTCTTCGTCATCTTAATTTTCATCTTAATTTTGATCTTCATCTTCATCTTAATCTTCTTCTTCTTCATCTTATTCTTCTTCTTCTTAATTCTCCTATTAACTTTCTTCTTCTGGTTCTTCTTCACATTCTTCCTTTTTGATCTATCTCTTTCTTTATTTTATCTTTGGAGCTTTTAGTGATGATATAAAATCTGCCTAATCTAAATTCTCTCTATTTTTCATAAATTCTTAAAAAACTTCATCTATTACCTCTTATTCTCCTGATAAATCAATCAACTTATTTTTTAAACTATATAATGATGAAAAATCTTCCTTTATTAATCTTCTTGGTTCAATAGGTGAAATTGTTCTATTTATTACAACTTCATAAAATAAAAAACATGCTTTTATAATTGGTTCAGTTGGATTCACATTATCAAGTACAATAAATGGAATTCTACATTTCTTACAATACAATCCACTTTGTACATTTAAAAACTCACAATAGATACATTTCTTCACAATTATATTTTAATCATTACTTTATTTTAACCATATGATAATCTAGTTATCTAAGCTCTGCTGGCTCTTTAACTTGTCTAATTTTACTTTTTCTTTTCTGACAATTACTTCTTTTAAATCTATATTAAGTCTTCAGGTATATGGACACTATGTTTCTCTATATATCTTATATTGATTAGTATTTTTATTTTACTCCATGATCTGAAACAATAATTATTAATGCATTTATTTAGCATTACCAAAACCTAACTTATCTACCAAGGTTTCTACAAATTCTTAAGGACTAACATGATAATCATTCAAATTCCAATTGAATTGATCTCTGAATATATAATTTTAATATTCAATATCCAAATATATTGGAATTGATCTCAACTCTTCAGGTACACGATTAATCTTGAATTTAGGCTTCTTTTGTGATTTCAACATTTAAATAGTACGTTCAGCTGATATTTAATCTATGACATCTAAATATTCATCCATATTATTAATTAAATATGAAATAATTAGAAATCATTGTCAATAAACGAGAACATTTAAGCCTTTCCATTAATAGTTCTTCTACAGTTGAATAACTTATAAACAAGATCATCTAAACTCTTCAATTTCCAAAAGAATCTAAATATACAATTACAATAGATGGAACCCCAATAGATTCTTCATATTAAATACCAGAAAATCTACAATCTCGAATTATTGCAGATTTTAATTGTTTAACATCTATATAATTTGAAAATCCATTTATTCAAACAACTGAATAAGAATTAGACCTATGCAAACCTTTAGTAGAAATATAAAAAGAATTAGCTAAAGTAATGCTTCCTATTGAATATTAAATAATTATATTAAAAAATGGTAAGCGGCTTACAGAAACATATATAAACTACTATCCAGAAATTCCAAAAAAATTACAATTCATCGTTAAAGCATCCATCTATATTAATTATTAAGGAATCCATCATCAATTATAATTAAATCCATTTGAAAAGATTGAAAAAATTAAAAATTACATTTTCTAATAACTTAATATTGATTAAGGATTCTTACTTTTCTATAATAATACCTAATTAAATGATGAAATGTATTTTATCTCTTATTTGATTCCTGATCATTCAGAACTTACAATTAAATTATAAACTAGAATCACTCTCTTAGTTAAATATCAAAATATTGTTCATAAGTATTCAACTTCATTAAATGAAAAATTATCTGTTGTCAAAACTAAACTAAAATAAACTTATAAAATACCTGAAAACGAAAAACTTGAATTATTCTATCAAAATATATATTTAGATAATAATGAGGAGAAATTGTCTGCTTTAAACATAGAAGATAATTCACTTATAAACATCACAATAGGAAAAAAATATAATTTGAATTTAGAAAATGATTATTAACAATAAACATATCAATGCTAAGTTAACTCAATTGATTTAGTTTCTATCCTTGATGATATTATTCCATTATAAAATTGTCAACTTACTTACTATTTTGGTGGAAAAGAATTAGATAAAAATAGAAGTTTTGATTAAATTCAGGTCAATAATTGTAATATTAATATCAAATATCGAGTATAAAAAAAGACTATATTTGTTAACTTTTAAGAAGAATAAAAAAGCTCTATAAAATTGGAAGTTAATATTTCAGATCCTATCAGACTTGCATTACCACATATAAATTTAGCAAATGATTCTATAACTATGTTTTTTTAAGGTAGAAAGATATCTATTGAAAGCACATATGATTAAGAAGGAATTAAAGAAGGAAGCACTATCATATACTAATTTAATTAATTTTAAATAAAGTATACTATTGCTCCTGATTTTTAAGAATATTCTATATTAATCGCACCTAGAATCAATGGGGCCTAATTAATAAATATTTTATCAAAGAACTATAAAGGATTAAGTAAAAAATTTAAATTAATGCTAAATAATATTGAATTCCCTGTTAGTTAAATAGTTGAAAAGTAAGAAAATTAATGTTTTCGACTAGTATCAATGTTTGAGATGTAATTTCAATTTTAGAATGATAATCATATTTATAATAAGACTTACTCAATGGATGATACAATTTTAATTGCTAGATAAAGATTTTCAGAAGAATTTAATATTCCACTAAATTAGTTGTATATTTTTTTTTTAGATTAAGAACTGAAAGATGAGTATATGATTCATAAATATAAAGGAAAGGATCTGTAGATTTGTGAAACAATATGTGTTAAGTTCTAAAAGTACAAAAGCAATGTATTAATATAAAAAAATTGCAATAAAAACTTTTAAGTAAAAGAGATATTAAAAGAATTCTTAAGAGAATTTTCTTAAAAAGGGTGCCGATGTTTTTTAAATAATTAACTTATTAATGAATTAAATTTGTTAAAAGAAATTACTAATTAACCAGCAGTTCTTTTAGTTGTTGAATTTCAACAAGAGTTATAACTTATTAATAAATAAATAAAAACTTAAGCAATTTAAGTTGAGTTTTATCCAAAATAAATTGTAGCTTCGACTCTAGCAAGATTTATGAATGGCAATTTCTAATTTTATTAGAATGATGAATTGATTGATGCAACTAAGTCTTTTGAAGATAATCATATATAAAACAAATCCTAAATTTATTATGAAGAATGTTATAATTTTACTTTAGAGATTTTAAATGATAATTAATAAATTTAGCTTAGAATTAACTCATAAAAAATTAAAATTAAAGATGCTATTTAACAAAAAATTTAAGAAAAATATTCATCATAGTTTTCTGCATTTTATAATAAATAAGAAATAAATTTAGAAAATACATTTTTATAAGAAAAATTAATGGATTAAAGTAAAATTTAAATTTAATTGCATCAATAATTAAAAGTGTTTATTAAGGATAATGATTATAAAATACAATTTACTGTTTCCTCAAATATAACAGTTGGTGAATTAATTAAATAATTAAAAGGGAGTAAATAAAAAAAGTTATTTAATGCAGAGAATTAGAAATAATTATAAGATCATGAAGTATTATTTACCTTAATTAATTCTAATAAAGTGGTTGATCTAATTTATAAAGAACCAATTGAAAATTCAAATAGTCTTTATATACCTTCAGAACCAATATAAAATAATAGAAAAATAACTTTGGACATAAATACATAAGAGCCTGTACCTTTACAAATTGTTATTTATAATATGATGGATGATCATAAATTATATGAAACTGTGAGATTAGATTAAAAAGTAGGTGAGTTTTTAGATCAATTTGAAAAAAAAATGGAGTTTTCAGGAGTAACATTATTTTATGATGGAGAAATAGTAGATAGAAATAAGAAATTTTAAGAGATTAATTTAAATGCATTAAGTATATTTGAAATTGTTTGCTGATATTATTTTTATAAATAATCATAACTTCATAAATCCATAGTTTTTAATTTTAATTAAAATTGTTCAAAATATTGATTCTAATATAATTTTATTTAAAAAAATAACTTAAGATAATTGGTTAAACAGTTGATTAGAAAATTAAAATAATTTTAATTCTAAAAATGGGCATATGTGGTTGTAAGAACTCTCCTAAATAAAAAAGGCAAGAAATGAAATAAATTATCAACTAAGTTAATTAAAAGCAAGTTAAAGATGATCAATTTTCTGAATTGAGTGAAGAAATTTAAGAAATTTTAGCCTATTACTTAAAGAATGAAAATAATTCTCCTCAAAATAAATAATTAAGTGAATCTAATTATTTAAAGCACAGTCTAGAAATGCCAAATACTCCTTATTTTAAGAGCAATGCAGATTCAGAAGATTAATTTCATTTTATGAAATAAGCAAAATAATTAGAAGAAATTAGCATAGTAATTTAACATTAAGATTTAGGAAGCAATTACCTAATTAAAGCAGTGATTTTTTACCAGTAATTAAGGAAAATAACAATTAAAACAATTAAGAAAAGAAATAAAAAGTTTATTTGATAAATAATCATAAATTTTAAAGTATATGTCCAATATGTAATAATGATCACATTTGGTTTCATAATTGCAAATAAGAATTCATATATTTAGAAGAATAATTAATATTTTGTTAACAATGCAATTTTAAGACTCTAATAAAAGAATATGAGTTTGTATGCTTAAAAACTTCAGAAAGATTTAAATTCTCAACAGATTAAATTGGAGATTTATTTGCATGATAATATTTTTATTTATTTTTGATATATTTAAATTAGAAATATGACCAAAATCAAATGAATACCTAAACAAATTATAATAATTTTCTGTATAAAAAATGTAATAATTTAATATTAATATTCATTTAACTTTCTCAGAATTATATATTATTTTTCAAATAAAAAATTAATTTATAAAAAGTAAAATAAATTAAATTAAATGATAACTTCTCCTTAAGAGATGCGAATATTATCTAAGCGATTCTTTGGTAATAAGATTATTGATTCAATTGTACTTGAAGAAATGAAGGAACATTATTAAAATAAAGATAGAATAGCAAATATAATTTAGAGATGTTTTCCTGAAAGTTACAAGTTATATTCAGATTTAGGTAAGTGATGATATTTTATAAAAGATCCTTAATTGCTTAGTATATTCATTTAGTATTTTTTGAATTAACTTAATTTTGTAATTGAGAAAAAGTATATATTTCAAAGAGCAACATGTTTATTGGAATTGAGTGTCCATTTATTCAATGTGTCTTGGGAAAAAAGATGGAATAGAGAAAAATCCTTTGAAGAATTCAGATAAATAATTGTTAGACATTCATTATATAGGTTATTATTGAGATTAATAAATACAGGCCACCACATAGTGTATATATATTTAGTTTAGAGAATTTGAAAGAAATTTCATTACATTTTTTATCAACTTTCTTTAGATTTTATAGAGCTTATTTCTTCACATTCACTCCTTGGGTTGATATTGTAGTAACAACATATTAAAAACATTAAATTAAAAAAGATGTCAAAGATCTTGAATTAGAAAAATTAAGATAAGAAGCAGAATAATATAATGATTAGATTGATCCAGAAATGATGGAATAATTAATGAGTGGCAATTCCATATTTTAGATTCCAGAAAAAAAGAAAAGAGAAATGTTAGAATAATAATAATAGAAAGAAAAACAAGAAAGAATTGATAGAGTATTAAAAAAGAGATTAGAAGAATTGTAATAAGTATTTGATTAAAAAATCAAAGAATAAGATGAACATTTTATAAAACTAGCTGAAGATTTAAAAAATCCTAAAAAAAAGTGATTCATTAACTATAAATTTATCATATGATTTTTAATCATAATCTAGCTTATAAATGAAGTTTATCCCAATTAATATTTATAAAGTTTCTTTATCTATACATTCCAACTCCATTTGATAAATATTCTAAAAATTCTATTGATTAATTTCAATAAATATTTACCTAATTTGTTATTATTACTAAATTATTGATCAATCTCAGCTAATAATTCAACTTAACTGAAATCAGCAATTCCAAATGATACAATTGTTGTTCTATTTTCTAACATAATGAAAAGACCAAATAATTTATGAATTTTTAATAATTCTAAATTATAACCACTACTTTTTATTTATGCTCCCATTTGCTTATAAATATTAGTATATCCAAATATGATAGATGCTTTTATTAATTCACATTAATTTAATTCATTCCATGATGATTATAAAGAATGACCATTTACTAAATTATTTTAAAAATTCTCCATAGTCTTTTTGCAATAATTGTAACTTAATCTTTCCAAAATTTCCTCTTAATTTTAGATCAATGATTTCTTATTGCTTTCTTAGATATATTTATTGAAATAGGAAGCTATTCCAGTAAATTATGAATTTCCTGCACTAACTTTACTAAATTATTTAATTAAGTATTAAGCTGTTTATTACATTAAAACATTATTATCTCCTTCATAAGTAACAAATGGAACATTATCTGCATACATTATTATTAAATCAGATGCATTTAAATGTCCAAATGGTGCAATTTACATAGCTTCTCTAGAAGTTTTGACAGCTTCCCATCCTGAAATACTTTTCATTTAACTAGAATATAAATGAACAAGTTATAAAGTTTCATTCACTTATTTATCATTTGCTTTTAGCTAATTTTGAAATTAAATGAATATTTCTTTAATTTAAGCATTAGCTATGATTTGGGAATATTAAACTACATAACTTCTTAATAATTTAAACATGATGGCTTCGTTTTCTATTGATTAAGTTTTTAATAATGGTTTAACTTAATAATAAGCTAAATTATTAGTAAATAATCCAAAAATAGAGAATACATTAACTAAATTCACTCTTAAATTAAGCATACTACCATATCCATATTTAATAGCATTTTTAGATGATGTAGTTACTTTTCCAGATTCATCAACTTAAGTATATCTCATCAACATATTATTTCTATCAACACGAACATTTTTTAATCCTAAATATCCATTGTCAGCTCTTAAGAATCCTAATTTAGGTCCAATATCTCCAACATCAACTCCATCTAAAGGTTTAAGAGTTTTAGATTCACGAATAGGAACAACAAATGTTTATATTCCTATATCTATTCCATTCACATTAGTTTTAGCTTGTACAACTGCATGAGTGGCAAAGATACCTAATAATCCTGGCCAAAATTTATAAGAAGATGCAGTAGGAGTATTAATTATAAAAGAGTTATTTTCAAAAACTGCTGTGGTTTATAAACCTTATACATCTGAACCATGTCCTACTTCTGTTTATGCATAGCCTCCACGAATTTCATATTTGAATGAAAGATCTTACCAATATTCCACTTGTTTTTAAGTTCCCAACATTTGAATTGTTGGTAGAAAAGCTTACCAATGTAAATAAAAGGTTCCTAAACATAATATTATAGATAAATTACCTAATTCATATAATTAATGTTAATTTTAAATAAGGTGAGTATTTCCTGGAAATTTATTTTTTAGCATTTATTATGCTTTAACATATCTTTAGCTTAATCCAACATATGCTTCTTTGTAATTCTCTTATAAATTTTAAGGATTATCCACCAAAACTTATTCTAATCAAAAAAATTACAATCATAATCATTTGGATTTTTATCAAATTCTTAAACAAAGTATTTCAATTCAGATTTAATGGAGGGCTCAAGAAGAATGTTGTAGATATAATCTTTGAATTAATCCATTTAAGAAATTATTAAGTTCTTAATATAAATATTAATAATTAGAAAATATACATTAATTTTAGAAATTTTATTCTTATATTTTTTTTTATAAGATAGAAAAGATATGATAATTTATAATGCTGGTCAATTATATTAATAAAATTCATTCTTTCTCATTAATCAGAAAGCTGTGAATGAAAGTTACACAGATCTAAAAAGAAATAGATTAAATATGATACCTTCCATTGATCTTGGCATCTTGGAAATGTCCTAAGACACTAAGACTGCATCCTACATCAGAATAGAGTATTTTGCAAGAGCTTTGATTAATGAATCTATTAATAATTATAAAGTATATTATTACTTCATATTCAAAATAGGTGTTATACATCCAAAGTATTAATACATCTACTCCATAGTAACACTTTGAAGGCCTGTAATTTAGATTGAATTAGATAATTATTAAGCAATATTAGGTTTTCTATCATTGGGAGGTAAAGTAACTTAACGAGCATCTAAAGGTAGTTTTTCTGAAATCATCATAGTCATAGGCATTCCTAAAAGAAGTGCTTTATTTAGTAAGTTTTTGATTCGAATAGCTTCATCTTTAGATGCCAATAAAAGAAAAGCTCCATAATTACTTTAATAAAGAGCATCTACTCTTGTGATTGTACTAAAGATGTTATAAACCACACGTAGATTTGTATTAGGATGTTACACTATCAAATATGTTGGTAGTAAAATAGGAGTCTATATAAAGGGACTACTTTATGATTAAGGATATGGAGTAAAAGGACTGGCACCACAAGAAAATGGATTACTTGATGAATCATTACAAAAGACTTCATTATAATTATCTTCAGATTGACCAGATTTTTAAGATTTGGGCGACTATTCAGAAGATATACTTTCACCATCTGAAAATTCTTCTTTCTCATCTTCAGATGATTCCTCAAGAATTTATTATCTTATAGAATCAAGAGTAGAGTGTTAAAATGGTGATGGTGATGGAGTTGTTGTTTATGATACCATTTATTTTTATTTCTTACCTTCTCTTTATAATACAGAAGCATAATTGCGCAATTGTTATTAATATAACACTGTCAATTATTGAGTTTAATTTCGATACTCTTAGATCTATTGTATTAAAGATATTTATTCTTTTAAATCACTTATCTCATTTAGTTGACCAATCAATTGATTCAAAATATCAAGATTCTGTTATAATTGTTGATTCAAAGAACTTGAATCCTCCTTAAGTTGTTGAAAAAATTACTATTTTGATTGAAGAGTTGTGTAATCTTTATTTTTAAATATACTTATACCTACACCGCAATTGTTGTTATTCTAAAACACCAGCGAATCTCGTTAACTTAAATGTACTCTCATTTTCAACTAGTAATCGAAGAGAGTCCCATCTAAAATAAGTGCTTATTGGGCTTATTGGGCTGTCTCGTACTCTATAAATACTTTCCAAATGATTTTTCTTTCGAATATGAGAATCTTTTATTGTTTAGAGAACAAATTAATACCTTTTTAACTTATCCAAACACAGAGAAGGTTCTAAAGAACTGACTATGTTCAAGTACTTTCCCCTATTTATTGGTGACCAACACCAAAATCACAGGGGTTGGTGAACTCGGTGAGGGTGAATTCTTGTTCATTAAAAAATTAATAATTGATAAATCTAAATAATGATTCTCCTTTTAATAGTCATTTTCAAGAACCCTTTGCTTTTTTACTGGTCTTATGATCACCTGAATGATGTTTTTAACTGTGATGATGATGTTATTTTTAATTTTTTTTCTCATGCTCTTGTTCAGTAACATACTAAGCTACTAAACTATTGACAATGGAAATCATAAAGAAACCTATCATAAGAAAAATGAAGTAATCCCACAATTAAGCTAATAATGGTTTGGTTCCCTCTTTGAAAAGAGAAGGATCTCTGAGTTATTTTCTTTACTTATCAAGTAAATCACTTAAAAATTAATATATAAAGGGTATATATTTTTAGATTAAGCTTAGTAAAGCTTTGACAGGTTCTTAAGAGAAAACAAATACAGTCATAGGTAACTAATTATATAAATATGATAAAATACTTGAATATGCATTTTAATGAAAGCCTTACCCAAGACAGTTGCTCCAAAGAAAGTCCAGAAAGAAATAAGAAAATGACCACAAGTAATACCTGCAAGATCAAATAATGGATTAGGAATGGAAGCACACAACATAACAGTAAGAAATGCATTTTTCTATAACTTGTTGTAAATGAGTAATTTCATTTTCTACATAAAAGAATCTATGTTTATTTAAATAAATACTTTCATCTTTTTTATCTAAGACTTCTTCTAATTCTTCTAATTTTTTATTAGCTAAAGCAGCTGCTCTAGCAACAAAATAAGGAGGTAATTCACCAATAGCAGTTCCAATACCAAAGAGTACTGTCTCAAAATATACCTATCTTATAATATCAAACATTGTAATTCCTGTAGCCTCTTTTGGACATTCCACATATTACGTGGCATACTTAGATGGAACAAATAAGGGGATTGCATTACATTCATAAGCTTAAATGGTTGTCTTAGCTATGTGAGGACCCAAATACAAAACAAAAGTGTGCAAACCAGTTCCTAAACCTACTGATGACATTATTCCTAAAACAAGCCAATACAACATAAAATATGCAATCTCATCGGCTTGTCTTACCAACTAAAGGAATTTGATATTTAGATTGTACTTCAGAGTGTTCTCCCTCTACAAATCTAGGGAGTATGATCACTATTAACAAGAATCCAATTATGTGCCAAAATTTACTCAAATATTTGACTGCATCTTTTCCATAGTTAAAGAGCACAATAGTAAACAAATACAAAGTCTTTATTGGATTTGAAAAAAGTGTTGGTGCTTCTACCATTAATTAAATTATTTATTTATTTATGTATACATATCTTGAATAGAATAATTATCATTATTCTTCTTCTTCTTATGCCTACAATTTTGCTTATTTTTCTTCTATAGCTCCTTCTATTACACTAATCACTTCATAAATGTCACTACTGTAAACCATTTACTTGAATTTCAAATATTCTATCATTCGATTAACATCATTCAATTCTTCTGCATAATTGAATTGTTCTGATAGTTTTTTATTCAAATGTTTATTCACAGCATTCTATAACACATTTCCAAATGTATATGCTTTGGTTGTCTTCATCCAAAATTAATAAGCTATGATCATGTCTGTGACTCCTAACATAAATGTTACAGGTTCCATGACATCCCAACCCCAAACAACGTAGGTTCCATATTAAGTGAATGCAATTTACATGAGAATGTAAAAGTATATTTAATACAACGTAGTTTACTCTTTCATTTCTAATTCTTTAATTATAGAATCCTTCAAATGAGCTAAACGATTCTATTTACATTCCAGAAAAGATATCTAATCCTCTATTATTTACTTCTATGCCTATGAATATATACCTAATTTCATTATGACCTTCTTTATAATTAATAAGATTAAATCCTTATCATAAGTTAACTCTTTATGTTTTTCAATCTCAGATAACAGTTTTTAAATAAAATTACTCAATACAACCTTTGTTCTTTATGGTACATCTATTTCCTAGAAATTTTCATGCAACGCATGTTATGTAATTGGATAATTATCAATTAAATCAATCACTGGAGGATTATCTACTTTATTAAGAATTATGTATCTCTCTGTTTAATTCAATCTCAAAATCATATCTTCTGCTAACACTAATTACATGGGTGTAGAAGATGCATATTCAATCTATTCATCATTTGTTGTCTATTAAAATACTCCAACACTCTTCACATCATCTATCTATTTCTTGATTGCTTGTTACAGTTCAAGAACAGTACCTTCTCCTTTGAAGAACACTTTCTTACTATGAAAGTAAAAATATAAAACTATTAAGGTTGCTATCAATCATTTGTACCCTCTTATTTGAGATTAAGGTTTTTACTTTCCTCTTATGAAAATCTCTACAACATTAATATATCCTAGAAATTGTATCTCTTTAATGAACAGAATCTGTAGAGACTTTTTAATAACATAATTTAATTATTATTATGAAATCCTCTCTTGTAACTGAGAATGGACATAGAACCAAATACAACCATGATCAAAACTCTATCATTAGTTACTCATCCTCTAAGTCTTGTCTCTCGAGTGTAAATTATTTTTATTATCCCTAGGAACGTAAAACTTAAGTTAAAGCTACTTGCAAAGTCTTATGGGAAATGAGAGAAGATCATTCAAGTAAATTAGCTGTCAAGTTTACCTAACTACAAATTATTCTAGCCACTTAATCTATCATTCAAGTTATCTCCAAATTCAAGTCAGTTAAATTGTAGACATATTTCTGGATTCTTCTATAAGATTGTAAAGTCTTACAATAATCTCCATAACATCATTCGCTTAAATCTATTTCTTTAACGTAAGTTGTCTAAGACTTCTCCTATTCGAATATTCGATCTAAAATCAAATCTAAATAGCTTCATTATTCTCTTACTTCATCTATTTCGATACTAATGTAAGTACTAAATTAAATTAAGCAAAAGTAATAAAGGGCATTATTTTTATAATTGAAATAAAAACATAAATTACTCAAAGGAACTTTACTTCTTTTTAAATTCATCAAAAAACATCAACATTAATAATAATGTAACTCATTCCTTGCTATTATGTTATATCATTAGATTTAATAAAATTGTAATTCATTAGATTCTAGCAATTAAGATTTCCATTCAATGTAATTATAAAAAAAATAACAATAAGACAACAATATTGAAGTGATCTCTATTAAAGAATAATTGGCAATAAAATTTGCAAGTACAACCATATTGACATCGCTTTTATATGATAAACATAGATAAATCAATTTTTTTTTCTTTTTAAATTTGTTAAGATACAAATAAAACTAATTTTAATTTATTAGAGATCTAAATTTATCTTAAGATATTGAAGTAAATCAAGTATTTTATGATTAATCATCAAAGTAAGAAAATTAGAAAACCTTAGGTGCTTAAAATTTGCATTAATTCCTATTAATCAAGATATAAAATTATTTTGAAGCAATCAAAATTTTTCATTTGAAAAATAATAATTAGATAGGAGATGCAATGAACACAATGATAATTAATAAGAATTGTGATTTGTCAAATTCAATTGAAGATGTGAATTTTTAAAGAATTAGAGAGAGTAATTTAAGAATAAAAGAAGTTGAAGAGAGAGTAAATAATGATGATGTAGAGAATAAAAAGATTTCATCATTATAAAATATAATAGATATTGAAGAATCTACAAATTCTACAAAGGAAATGATTCCATCGATGCAATCTAAGTAATAGAGTATGGGGAGTAAAAAGAGAAAGGATAGAAATAATAAAATAAAGAATGCAATAAAATGTTATTGTAAATAATAATAATAAAGAGTTAAAAGTTAAGATAGTATAATAAAAGAGGAGAGTATTGGTTTGATGAATGATTAGGTAATAAAGAAGTAATAGAATCATAAAAAATTGTATAGTTCATTTTTATTGATTATTGTAATGATAATATTATTAGCTTTATTATTGAAATGATTAATAAAATTAATTAATAATAATAAAAAATGTCAAGAGATTCATCTATTTCTGAAGGAGGAGGATGGGTGCAATGGTTTTGTGCAATGGAGGATCATTAATTTTTATGTGAAGTGGATGATGAGTTTATAAGGGATAACTTTAATTTGTATGGTTTGAAGAGTAAATTCAATTTTTATAAGTAATTTTGAAATTTAAAGATTAAAAGTGAAGCTTTAGATTTAATATTGAGTTCTGAGACACCAGATGATGAAGATTTGGAAGATGAAAGATTTTTAGAAGTTTATTAGGAAGCTACAGATTTATATGGTTTGATTCATGCAAGATTTATAATAACAGCAAAAGGTATACAAGAAATTAAATAAGGTTTGGGAATGATGAAAGATAAATATTTAGGAGGTAAATTTGGAGCATGTCCAAGAGTATTATGTGAAAGACAAAATGTTTTACCTGTAGGAATGAGTGAAGAACTACGTACTTCTAGAGTAAAAGTATTCTGTCCAAGATGTGAAGAAGTATATATTCCAAAGAAGAAATGTCCAGATGTTGATGGTGCATATTTTGGTTGTTCATTTCCATCTATTTTTTTAATGGTATATTATATTTTATTGAATGAATTAGAATTTCATATAAGAGATTTAGATTCCTGCCAATAATCAGACATATGTGCCTAGAGTATTTGGATTCAGAATTTATAAGAAAAAAGGATCACGTTATTAAGATAATTAATAAAAGGCTGCTGAAATAACTCATTATTCTGAAGAATAATTGAAGAAATTAAGAGGAAAGAATGAACAATAATCAAAAGAAGATTAAGTTTAAAAGTGAATTAGTGTTTTTGTTTTTGTTATTAAAATTTTTAAATCTTTTTTAAATTAAATGCCTAAGGAAGTTCAAGATGTTAAAGTGTTCCTCTCACTCATGAAAGGTAGTGAAGCATAAGGAAAAGATGCCAATAAAGAACCAAAAAAGAGTATTTTTTTCAATTTATCTATTTAGACCTCTATATAAAGGAATCTAAGAAGATCACTAAATTTAAGTTGAGAGGTAAGAAATATCTCTTTACCTTCAAAACAGCTGATAAGAATAAGGCATAAAAAATTTAATAAACACTCCCATAAAGTATAATATTCATTTCTATTATCTTAGATGTTAATAAAATTGTTATCGGTAATGGAGGAAAGAAATAATAAACCAAAAAGAAGTAAAAGAAATGAGCACTGATTTATTAAATATAAAGTACATTATTTGGAGCATATTTAATTTAAAATTCAAGAGTTAATAGCAATCATCAAAACACTAGCATTTTTATTATTAATATTCTTTTTGTTTTTTCTATGTACTAAGACTCAATAATTTATAAAAATGCATACATACAAATATTCATAAATACTATTTTTTAAATTTCACTCTTTAATAACTATAAAGAATCTAATTCAAAAAAATTGAAAGGTAATTCTTAAATATTTTAATCTAATAGGATTCACAATTAGTTCTTTTTAATAAATTTTAATAATATAAATATACAAATACATCATTTTTTTTGATTAAGTCTTTTTTTGATTTCATCAGTAATTTATTCAGATGTAGCAGATTTATCTACTAATATTTGTAGTATTTCATCAGCTGAATATCTGAATTAAAAATTAACACAAAGTAATTTTTATATGATTTGTCTAACATATTCTGGTAAAATATTTAATTTTAATTCTTTCCAAAATATGCTCCAATTCTCATTTTTTATTAATTTCCACCATGAATCTTCAGTTTATGGATTATTTGATTCAAATGGAGGATGTCCAGTAACCAAAATAAAATAAACAACACCCAAAGAGAACATATCACATTTTTTTAGATCTTATGGAATATGCCAAATTTCTGGTGCTGTGTATCCTTCACTACCTGATATTGTAGCTTTAGGAATAGGTGTAGATCCATTAATTTTAGCAAAGCCTAAATCACATAGTTTTACTTTGAAATCAAGAGAGATTAATAAGTTATCTAACTTAAGATCTCCATGAGTAATTCCTTTTAAATGTAAATAAGAGAGAGCTTCTGCTATTTAAAGAGTAATCCCATTTGCTATAGCAAGAGGTAAAGGACCTTATAGTAGTATCTTGTAAAGGGAACCAAAAGGCATTAATTCAAGAAGCATACAAGAACAATCTGAACAATATCCAATCATCTAAATTATATGAGCATGTTGAATGTGACGAAGGATTTGGATCTCGTTCTCTTCAAAATATTATTAGAAAATTTACGAATAGGTTAATCGCATTTTACTCAGTTGTCTAAGCTAAACATTTTAATGCATATTGTTATTTCGTTTGTTTATCCATTGTCAAAAATACTGTACTATCATGACCTTTCCCTAATAATTTTGAAAAATTGATTTAGTAATTTGCCGCAAACTGTTCAGGAGTAAACATCAGATTATTAATCATTTTTATTAATATAACAAATTCAGATCAAAATCCTTTAGTAGCCATCATTCTTCCTAATATTGCATTTAAATTCTCATCCAGCAATTCATCTACTTTCAAACCAAGATGTCTTTTAGGATCTTTCTTTCCAGTATTCTTAATTTTAGTCTCCTATTCACCTTTTTTTGCTTCATCCTCTGAATATTAAGAAATTCAATACCAATTAATTTTTAATATTCAGAAGCTAGTTTAGACATTTCTTCTACACATAATTCATTTCTATTGCTATTTTCGAAAGCGGAATTGCATCTAAATATAATTATTAAATTACTTTAATCCTTCAGTCCAGCTATTTTTATATAAATTTTGAAGCATCTTTTATTCTAGATCATTGCATTTAAATTTAATGTTAATAGAATAATAGTATCTATTGAGTCCTCTAAGTAATGCTTCAAGTCCAGGTTTTTATAGATGTCCTGTATTTGATGTAGTTTATCGTGGTTCTTAAGATGTGATAATACTTGATTAAGGAATGAGTCTGAATGCATCGATGACAACTTTTCCTCGAACAGATTGAATTGGATCAATAACAACAGCAATAGATTTTTTATTCAACTATTCATATGATTATTATGTATTGATATCGACTATTGAATATTAATAAATAAAGAGATACCACTAGAAAGCCAGCAACCATAGGATGGATGTGAATGATACCATCCAATACAATTTTCCATTCTACCAGTTAAATTAAGAAGTTCAACCATTTTTTATTAGAAAATGGGATCAACAGATTCAACGGAGACACTACTGGCAGTTTAAGGCATAGAGAATACATCATAAACTCTGATATGATAATCATCAACAATATCACCTAATAGAAGACCCATGACTTCAAATGGAATACCTGCTCGAGCATGCTAGTGAAATGATTAGATTGAAATATACTTTAAGCATTTTAATTAATGCTAATGCACTAATAGTGACTTATTCTGCTGTATCTGGAATGGAAGTATCAGGTGATGGATTTGGATGTCCTCCAAGTTATTACATTAGATTTTATAAGTTCATAAGAGAATGTAAATTTGAATGATAAAAGTAATACTGGTGTAGTGTGTTAAATCAAAAATATTAAGAGTTTTATGAATTTAAATATCTTAAATAATTGTATTCATAATTTAAATATTTTAAATATAAAGTAAATTTTAAGCGCAAAAAAGATGGCATAATAATAATAAGTTTAAGTAGCTGCTGAATTCAAATTAGTAGTAGTAGGTGATGGTGCAGTAGGAAAAACAACATTTGTGAAGAGACATTTAACAGGAGAGTTTGAAAAGAAATATTTAGGTATATATTTAATTTGAGTGTGTTTTTAGCCACATAAGGTGTAGAAGTCAGTTAAGTAGTATTTTATACAACACATGGTCCAATTAGATTAGTAATCTGGGATACTGCAGGATAAGAGAAATTAGGAGGCCTTAGAGAAGGGTATTATATAGGTGCTCATTGTGCAATCATTATGTTTGATGTTACATCCAGAATCTCTTACAAAAATGTACCAAAATGGCATAAGGATCTTACTAGAATCTGTGAAAATGTTCCTATTGTCTTAGTTGGCAATAAGGTATATAAAATATATAAATATTATAGGTTGATTCTAAAGATAGAAAAGTTAAAGCAAGATAAATTACCTTCCATAGAAAAGTTAATATTCAATATTATGATGTTTCAGCCAAATCTAATTATCAATATGAAAAGCCCTTCTTATATTTATTGAGAAGATTGGCCAAGTATTTAATCTATTTACTATATTAGTGATCCTAATTTAGCTTTAGTCTAAGCTCTTGCTCTCTTGCCTCCTGAAATCTAAATTGATCCATAATATGCTGCATAACTTGAAAAGGAATTAGAAAATGCTGTTAATCAACCTATTCCTGATGAAGAAGACGACGAATTTAAATGATCTTTTAATGATCATAATATTATAATTATTTCACATCATCTATCTAAATTTATTTATCATGTCTCTTTTCTTTTTAACATATGCAAACACCTTTTTTATACATTATTTATGTTATCAATTACAAAATTTAATGCTAAATAAAAAAAAAAGGTCTGGCAATACTTCAATCAAGATGACTCTATTCAGACTGATGAATTATAAGTCACTAAATCTTAAATTGCTTAAATGGAAGAAATTGTTAATCTTCACCATCCTTCTCTTGACTTTTCAGAAAAATAATTCATTTATATTAAATAGAACCTTCAATCCCTTTCCACTAATACACTCTTATCCTATTGTTATTTAAGTTTAAAAAAAATATTAGAAATCCCTAACAATCCTAACTTTAGTAAAAAATTAATAGATTCAGATGAAATTCTTCTACAAGAATCTTTAGGCTTCGATACTAATAGCCATTTAGATAATATTAGTTAATCTAACATTTAAGAATCACAAACTCAAAATAACACTTTATAAGCCAAATTCAAATATCAATCTTAATTATTTGACAGCATATCATTTTTTGTTATGACCATTTAAGATATTTTATTAAACGATACCGATATTAATCAAAACAGTACATTATTAGGACCAATACTATATGATATAACTTAAATCTATCTAATTTAATATCTACGTCTTTGTAGAATTTCCATTGAAATCAAAAATTAACAAGCCTTTTCATTTGAACATTATTCAAGAGGATAATAACTTCTATTACTTGCATATAATTTATTTAATGATTAATAAATCCAAAATATTTACAATCTTATTTACAATTTCAGAATTGTATCCCAACTTACATTTTAAGATCATTAAATTTCTTTAGATATTTCCAAAATCTTAAAAGATTTCTTAAATTATCATTATCAAAGTTTATAACATATGTAATAACTATTCAAATTTGAATAACCCCTCAAATATACTTTTCTTGATTAGTTTTTAAGAAATTCTAATGAAAATATATATCAATTATTATTTTAAGAAATATAACACTTTGATCAAAGGTTTTAATCCAATTGCTATGTTTTAGAACTTAAATGGTTGTCATATTACTGGTTTCTAACCTCTAATAATTAAGACGAAAAATTAAGATAATTAGTTAAAAACCACATTAATAATCCAAATTCTTGGTAAGATTTATTTTTAAAATTAATATATATTGGTTCTAAAAGACTCCTACGTATCTTTATCAATCTTGAAAAGTTTTAAAATTCAAACGACATTATGAGAATCTGGCAAGATACAATCTTTAACATTATCACTAATACCTTCTTAATTCAAACCAATTAATAATACCAATAAGATTTTAATGACTAACTATTTTTATTCATTTTAAATTACTTGTAGCCTATTTTATAGTACAAATACAAGCATAACTAAAGTTCTAAAAAAGTTCTTAATTTACTGGAGGATTCCATTAAACATCGCTTAGCTGAAGAAACTAAATTTTAGAAAAAATTATTTGATATTCTCATCACTAGTGATTTAGCATGTTATGGTGATAATATTTAAGAATATATTTTTAAAGTTTTCTCTCCATTATAATTCTCCTCTGATCCTATTACCATAGCAAAATATATTCTATTATGTAATTAAAATCAATGCAGATAAAAGATCATTAATCACATTTATTGCTCAATTATTAAATATAGATAAATAAGCAACATCAATTCAAAAGCAGATTTAAATCAAATCATCCAATTACTTCATTAAATGATTATTTATTTTTAAAAAGAATCGACAGATGAAAATCATTCTTAATTTTTATCTTAATAAATAATACTCTCTTTAAGATCCATGATAACAATTATAATAAAAATAGATGTTCCCCAATCATAATAAACCTATGATTAATTGCCCAGTTTTAATCAACTTTTAGTTTTAGAATTACCTAATGAAACCCTTCCAAGAAATATTTTTGATAATTCTCTTTGTCAACTTATATCATAGTTTTTAAACAAAATTTTACAATTAGCTAATTCATTGAAACATTTTTAATTGGAAGATTTTTATGAAATTTTAATTTTGGTACTTAAATTAATTTATGTTGTACAAAAGTTTATGATACTTAATGATGATATAGTGACTCTAAATTTGTTCTTAGACAATATAGATTAATCTCTTTATGAATATATTACAAAAGTATTCATAAATCATGAAAAATTATCATAGAGTTAAATAAAATATATAATTGAAAATTTTAATTTACTAACAGTTGAAGATTTTTTGACAAAAAATATGAGTAGCATTTCTGAAAACAATCAAAAATTTATGAATTATCGTTTACTAAAAATATTTATTAGTTGCATTTTTGAATGTGATTTACCTTCTGAATATAAATAATTAATTGTCAATTTTATTTTATAAGCTGCAAGATAACACAAACAATAATTTTCCACAATATTAAATAAATTAATATTACTCTTAGTTATAGAAAAAAATGAATAATCAAATTAAATAAGATAATCTATGATAGAAATTATTAAATTAAGTTGTGAAATCAGTTTTTCAAATTCACAATTGTATTACTTATTAAGGTTATGTTTCGGAGAGTCTAATAATTTATTAATATTTCGAAACTCTTTACCTGATTATTAATATGGTTAATAATTAGCAGATTAAATATTTGAAAATGATGGAGATTTAATAAATATATTTTTTGAACCATAACTAAAGTTAGTAAAAAAAAATAATTTTTCATAAGGCTTATCAGACTTTATATCAATTTTTAAAAGCCTATTTGAAAATAATGATTCATATCTCTTTTTTAAAGATCTAAACTCTTATATTAGTTTTCCTATACAATTCAATATTCAAAAAGGATTTACAATGTATTTTGAAATTTAATTTTTAAACAAAATAGTCTAAGAAAATTTTGGGTTTTAAGATTCCTAAGAATTAATTCAATAAGAAAATCGCCTATAGTTTTATGATTTTGCAACTTTATATTTTAAAAAGAATTTAAAAGAAAGAAGTGGAATTCAAATTCTAATATCTAAATAATGTGTTTAGATTAGACAATTTAAAGTGTTAAATAAATAAGATTTTTTAGGATAAGTATCCTAAAGCTTTGAAATCAATTTAACAGAGACATCAAAATACAAATACTAAATTAACTATAATAAAGACCATTTCACAGCTTATATTAATGGTCAATAATGCAAAAGCAAGGTTAATCAGATAATGGAGATAAATGAAATTATTTAAATTGATTTAGGAAAATCAATTGAATCTACATCAAACATTAGCTAAATCTTTTGTACTCAATCTTTTGATTATGAAACCAATATTTTTTAAGGAAAAATGTTTAATTTTTGTCTTATTGATCAACCAATAAAAAATGGATCTGTTTTAGAACTGGAAACTAAATCTTAATATTTGATTAAATTCTCCAAACTTTTAAAAATTATTAATCCTTTTGATATTTAATAAGAACGTGAAAGTAAAGATTTATTTGAAATCAATGATATTATTAAAAAAAAATAACCTTACGAAGTACATTCCATTTTTTACAAATAAATATCAAATTTATATGATGTTCTAAAAAATAATAACATTTATCATTTAATTTTGCTTATATTTTAAGAAATTTTAAATTAGTAATAATTGTAAGAATATGAAAACTAAATTACAGATCTATTAACTATTTTATTTGATTAAATTATACTTAAAAATGAAGAAACATTGAATACTTTTTTCAAACAGGAATTTAATAATTTTACAACCATACTATTATAAATAACATCTAAAGTTAAATTACAAAAATTACTTGAAATTTTGGTTAATTTTAATGAAAAATTAGATTAAATGAATTCAAAATATTTTTTTTAAGTTACGAATTAAGTAATTTATTAATTTTCTTTATTTGAATAATTTGTGGATGATGAAATATTTCTTAATAGTTATTTTTTTGAGCTTTTAAAAAAAAAATACGGAATGCCATTAGAATAAATTATAGAGTAAATAATAAAAAATCCTAATTTATAAATTTTAGAGACAAAATAGTTTTTTGATTTTTTAAATTATTCATTAGAAAAGCCCTTTTCTTAAGAGAATAAAATTAAGCATTAAAACTTATTTTATAAATTTGTGAGTGATATTTAATTATTTGCAAAGCTTTTTGAATATTAAGATCTAAATTCTAATTATCTTCATATAATAAAGTCTTATTTAAAGTTAGTTTGTTCAACTTATTAATAAAGTTTAAAAAACAATTTATAAAAATATAATTAAAATACATCAATGATAAATTAAAAAAATGATGTTATGTATTTCAGTGCATTACTAAAAGCCTGTTAAAAAAAATTATTTAAAAATACAAGTGATATTTTTTATTGGAATTTTATTAATTTATTATTATTCATAGAAGAACTTCACAAAGAAAATCTCTAATATAATCCTACTATTGTAGATTCCCTTATTCTTGAAATAATACTTTATAGAGATAATCTGAAAATAGATGATTCTGTTTTAGAAATAGTTGTAGATATTCTCAGAGAAATAAAAAACATAAATACAAGATGTACATTTATAAATCTTATTGCTCTTCTTTTGAACAATAATACTTACTTATTTGAAATAAAATGTAAACCTGCTTTAATTGATATATTAAGTAATTTATTATAATACGATTTGTAACTATTTGATTTGATTGAAAATAGTATGTTAGAATTAATTTTTGACTCAATAAATTATAAAGATTAAAGCAAAAGCTCTTAAAATTTTTACCTAAATTTAATTAAAGCAAAAATCACTAATTAACATCTTAAATCAATAGATTTAGGAAGATTGTTGAAAATTTTATCACATTTTCCTGAAGTATTTTAGAATTTACTTGCATATATCTAAAGTAAATTGTAACAGAATTAAGTAAAAAATTAAGTCATCCTAATCGCTAATCTTTTAAAAATGTTAAACATTATGAAAAAAGATTGTTTTGCAAAAGATTAAAATAATGAATTCGAAAAACTTGCCTCTTAATTATAATTTTTTATTCAATTGTTTTATGAAAAGAATTTTTTCAAATTTAATTTTAAAAAAAAGTAAATGGACAATTTAAAAATAGAAAATATTATAAGTTGTGGTGGATTATTTGGACTATTTAGTGAGATATTTTTAGAAGCAATATCTAATAAATAAACCAAATATGTTATTAATAATATTTTAAAACTTTTAGATATATATTTAGAGGAAATGAATAAGAAAACAGATGATTTATTAGTTAAGGAATTATATGGGGTTTTCAATTATGGATAAGATAAAAATGGGATTAAATTTCCCATTATTACAATAATTTTTAAAAATTCCTTATCTAATAATACAGAAAGTTTAACTGCTCCTATAGCAGAAATTATAGCCAAAATTTTGAAAGTTATTAATGAAATAGAATAGTAATAGGAAAAATAATTGGAAAAAAGTCCAAATATATAAAAAATGATGATGGATGAATTTAATATTATGAATTCTTAAATTTATATTGAAAGTTATCAGAATCAACTTTAATAATAATATGAGGAATATAAAAAAAATAAATTGGATTTATTTTAATAAAAAGAATTAAAAAATACATTTATATCTACTACTTGTGATACATCTTTAATTTCATTTAAAAAAAAGGATCTAAGTGAATCAAAAAATTCATTTTAAACTTATCAAAATAACTTTTTATTTTTTAGCTTCTATTTTTAAAATAGTTTTAAGAATTTAGTTTAATTAAATTAAATAATCAAAGATTTAAATAATGGAATTTTTCATAAAAAGCACAGTTTGATTGAAAATTATAAAATTATGTGGAGCCACACAAATCTTGTAGATTATGAAAATAAAATTATATTTAAAAAGTAAATCCCTTTGAAAAATGAAGATGATGAAAAAGTTTATTTGAATTCCTTTTAAATTTAATTAGAATCACAAAAAGAAAGTAAAGTTGAAATTACATAAGAATATTAAGAAATTAATGCAAGTTTAAGAAATGTTTTAAATAAAGGTGAGGATATTAAACTTGTAATTATTAGAGAGGGTATTACATTTATAGATCCATTTAATAATGAGAAAGTTGTTATTTCAAATGAAGGTTGTAAAGTGAGTCTTATGAAATATATGCATTAAGAAAAAAGTTTTTTAATAAAAAAGTTTGATTAAGGCTGTTAAAGATTTTACTTTTTTGTTATAAATACAGAAAGTTAATTTAAATAACTAAAGAAACATTTTTAAAATTTAGGAATGTTGAATAAAAAATCATTATTTGAAATTAAGAAAAATTTATCCTAAAAATGGTAATAAGGATAATTGTCTAATTATCAATATATTTATTTATTAAATTCTCATTCAGGTAGAAATTTATTTGATAAAAATAATTATTATATATTTCCTTGGACATCAATAAATTATAACAATAATATTCCTATTATTAATCGTAATTTTTCATAAAGTATTTTTAATTAGAGACCTACTATGCTTTAGGAATATTTTCATTCTAATCAAAAGTAATTAGATTTTTTTTTATCTATTAATTAATAAGATGATGTCAATTTCTAAACATAATAATTTTAAAGTTCAAACCCTGATTAAAATCTAAAAGAGTAAAGATAAGATAAAAAAAAATAAATTCTAAATAATTTTATCAATAATTTGCAAAATTTAGGAGAATCATTGCCTGAATTTTATTCAAATCCATAATTTTTTTCAGAATTTTAATTACCAGATTGGGTATCTACTTAAACACCTGAAGAATTTGTTTATATAATGAGAGTTCATCTAGAATCCAGGATAGTTCAAGAATTATTGCCAAATTGGATTGATTTGATATTTGGAATTCATTCATAGCAACAAAACAAATAATAATAATCTTAAGAATAACCATATAAAGTATATAAATTTTATATATTAGGATTAATGCAAATGCTAACAAAATAGAAATCTATATAGAGAAAATATGAATGTTTGTGAGTTTGGTCAGCCATTGTAATAAATTTTCACAGAAAAACATTAGTCAAAAAAGCTATGTAAAAAATAGTATATTTTTAGTTAATCCATTATTTGAAAATTAGTCTTAAATAAAAATAACTACAAAAAGATTACTTTACAAAGGTGATGAGAAAATTATTTCATCTTATTATTATTAGTCAGAATTCATTCTTATTTCAGAATAAGGAATAGCAATTATTTTAGATGCGGATAAATAATTAATATAAAAAATTATTGTTGAATGTGATTGTCTCAATATCAAATTAAAAAAAAAATTAGAAACAAAAAAGCCTTTAACTCATTAATAAATATGCTATATTGATTTTGACAATTAGTATCTTCCAGATAAGCAAGAATCCTAAAATCATATTTTAGTAACAGATAAATTAAGTTTATTTTAAAATAATACAATATTTTTCATTATTGCAGGATATCCAAATGGAGAATTTAGATCATTTAAAGGGAGTAAATTAAAAGAAAAACAATTTAACACATAAAATAATTCAAATATTTAATGTATAAAGTTTTGCCATACAAGAAATGTGTTAATAATTGGATAAGAAGATGGAGCTTTATCATTATGGAAAGTCTCAAAAGATTTTTAAATTACAGATACACCGTTTTTAATCATATCATCTCATGTTAAAAGCATAACTAATATTGATTGTTCTGTTTCTAAAATTTTAAGTGTTGATATAGAAAATGAAGTACATATTCATTTTTATGACGGTTTATTAATAAAAAAGATATAATTAGCATGTTATGGAAGAATTACATATTGCTAAATTAGTTATACAATGAATTTGTATATCTTTTTAAATAGTTTTAATAAACTTATGGTTTATAATTATGATGGATAAATATACATTCATCCTATTGAGATTCCTTAACAAATTAATAATATTCTACCTGTGACTCCTTTTTCATCATAATTTATTTATGCAACTGATAATATGTTATATTTTGATGACATATTCGTCATTAAAATGAAATAAGATGGGAGAATCATAGAAAAAGTTCATGATAATAAAATTTATAATTACAATTTTTCACTCATCAAGGCTGTCTAAGGTCAAAAGTTGATACTCAATAATAGAAATTAGAATAACATTACAACAACTTAAATAATATTTTAAAATTTAGATCGTAATCCAATAAGATTCTAAACAGTTGGTTGTGAAAATGGAAACTTTTGGTGTTTATACAATGAAGATGAGAGTAATTTAATTATTAATTTTTAGTTTTCGAATATTATGAGAAAAAATTATAAAAATCAGGTCTCAAATGAGTAATATAATTGCTACTTTAAAATAAACTTGAGTTTGATTAATTAGTATCTATAATTAATTTTTGAATCTGTAAATTATTTATAGTCTAAATAATTCTCTTCTTTTTATTCTCAATATTTTATGATTCTAAATTTATATTACCTATTAGTACTTTTTTTAAATTTAGTTTAAATTCTTATTAAATATTGAATATATTTTAATGAGTTCTTCTAATGATAATCATTAAAACATAATTTTAGAAGGAAAAATTGTGAACAGAGTAATAATTAGAGATACTAGATATAATTAATTAAAAAAGACTTTTAAATTATCCTAAAAATTCAATAAAGAAAGAGTAAAAATCTTTGCAGTTGATTAATATATAATATAATTTATGTAAGATTTACAAAAGAGTGATGGAGATGAGATAGTTTTTCACATTACTAAAAATGCCTAGCAATACGAACCAAATATAACATTAGAGAACACCCCTAATGACAAACCTGTCCAAAATCCAATTAGATTTGAAGATATTAAATTAGTATCATCTGTACAGGTTACAGGAGATGGTCATTCCTAATCTGTAAGAATTATATGTTCAGGGTGTAAGACTAAGGTTAGTTTTTTAAGATTAAATTTCAGGTTAATACAGTCATCACTAGAAAGGCAGGATTATAAACTTATATAGCTGGATTACTTCTAATATTCTGTTCTTTTGGATTTATATGCGTTTCTTGTATTCCATGTTTTATGGATGATTGTAAAGATGTTCAACATTCTTGTCCTAATTGTAACCAATGTTTGGGAAAGACCTAGTTTAATATACTTGATTGACAAAAAATGATAATTATCATTTTCTTTTAGTAAGAATTTCAAAGCTTATTATTTTTCATTTTTTATAAACGTTTTCAAGTTCAAATGTCACAATCTACTCCTTTTTAAAAATCGAATAATTTATATACCATTTCACCAATACATAGCTCGGTGTTTTGGTTCAATTGTTTGGTTCTGATTAAAATCAATTTTTATAAGAAAGAAGGTCGTGCATTTTTTAATGACTTCTTTCATTATGCTATATATAAAAATTACAAAATTGAGAGAAAACTTTTATATGTAATATTTAATCAATTCACTTATTTTTACATTTGGAATGATAGATGAATATAAATGAAGAAGGAAAGAGAAGAAATTCAATATTGAATTATAATTATCTGAGTGCTCATAATTTATAATAATCGGTTTAAACAGTAATTTTTTTTTTAGAATTGTTATAGCCGATGTTTAAAAAAATGAGGTTTAAAAGATTAATATAAAAGCGATAAAGTACAATTAATTGAAGATGTAATATGCTTTACGTAGATATAGATTCAGTCAGTTCTAAAAAATTCATTGATTAGTTTTTGTGATTGGATAAAGATCTCTCTATTTGGATGATATTACAAATCTTCGATAGCTTTAATAAGCTAGTTTTATTATAATATGGCTAATATTGGATTTGAAACATTTAGTTATGTTTACAATGATAAACCATAATTCATAAGTGAAGTAATACATTCCAATCCTTATAAAACAATATATGGTTCTGCTGATTCAACAGTTGACTTTAAGTGTACAACAAGACCTAAATTAATGAGAACTGTGAAATCTTATTAACTTCCATATTTTAAAATATGTTGAATAGATCTTATTACAAGAGATTAATTAATTGGTTTATCTGTTGTCAAGATATTGATTAGTTTTTTAATTAGTTCTTATTATGCAAATATTTGTTAAATTACATTATGGCCTTATTTACATATGTTTTATAAAATATATAAGACAGCTGTTCGTATCTTTTAGTATTTGTAATTAATAAGTTTGTTAATGATTTCTAAGATGGAAAATTATTGGAAGATAGCATACAATTGCTGAAAATCTGATAAGTATTTCATTTAGAGCAGAGCAGAATAGAATGATTCAAAGTCATTTTCATTAGTAAGATATTCATTCAAATAATAAAAGAGTAATTGAAATATTTCAAAATAATTAATTTCCTTATCATATAAATCACACTATTTATTAATGATAAATAAAGTTTACAGTATTTCTTAACTTTTATTAATCTTTAAATGCTTCATAATCACTATTAATTAAGGTTTATATTATTCAGGAATGTTACTACACAAAGTTTATATTAAATAACAAACATTATGCAATAAAGACTCTTTCATTAATTAGCATAATATTTCGATAGTATTTTTACTTAACAAATAATGTTGAATCTATAATAATTTACTTGAGACATTTCCTAAATATCCTAGTATTAGATTAGCTAAATCATCTATTTGTTTATTTTCCACTAGCAGTTCTAAAGATTTTTCAATAGACCATTGAATATCTTCAATTGGTAATTAAAAATATTCATCATCTTAAGTCAATTACAAATAAATTGTATATGTATCAATATAGTATGATTCATCATTCAATAAATCTTTGAATTATAAGAAATTTCTCTAAGTTAAATACAAACTATGAATTCGATTACGGTCATCTATAATATTTGCAATTAAATGTAATTTCTATGAAATTTCATTCATTTCTTTTTTAGCATATACATTCTTCAATTCATTGAATAAATTATTAATTGAAAGATTCAATTGAGAACTTTATAATCTCTATTTCGGTATAAACCACATTCTTTTCTTCTCCAATTATTCCTCTATTCTTTCCTTCCTTATTTACAATCTGAATTGCTCTCTCATTTCTTAAACACTCTTTGGTTGATGTTGTTTTTATGTTTTTAATACCTATGGTTAATACTATAACTCATCATCCGATTCCACTAATTTTATTTCATCCATTATTTATAATAATAACAAACTATTCAATTTCAATAATCAGTTCTCCCAATTCTAATCTTCTATATCTCTTAACACATTCATCATTCACTTAATCTCTAAATTTTATTCTATGATACAAATCTATTATTTTATATTCTAACCTCGAGAAGAACAATCATTTATAAAATCTATTTTATTTCTTATCAATTAAAATTCACCTTAAATCTTAATCTATTATATAAGCTATAAATCAATTTACTTTTTTTAACATTTTTAAGTTCATCATATATACTTTTCCTTCTCTATTTTCTCAAGGTTCGCTTACTTTAATTTATGATTTATAATAATTTATTATTCAATTAAACTCTGTACATTTATTTTTCATCTTCTTACAGCATTAAGATCAATCCAAGATAAATTTCAAGAAAATTGCCTTCAACCTAATTCATGTAATCCTAAACTTTAATGAATTAATCATCAATACTAAACCACAGGTGGAATTTTCATTAAATTCTACATATATTTTATTCAATTATTTGTTTATAATTACTTTAAGAATGATTTAATTTTAATTACGTAATGAATTTATCTATGAGAAAAGGAAATACTCTTCCTAAAATTAGGGGCTATTCTATTGATTTTAAGGGATCTTAATCTGTTCGAAAACACACGAATATTAGCAAATCTGTTATATAATAAATCTAGTATACTTAAAGTTATGGGAAAAACATTGCCATTTAAAAAAAACTAAAAATATTTCTTTAAAATAGTGATCTATTTAATCATAATTCCATTAAATTTTATGAAAGTTATGTGAAGTTTAGAAATTAGATCTCATGATTTAATTTGATTTAATTTTGTTTATGTGCCAATAAATATTTTTCAAAATTTCATAAGTTATTTCAAATATATTAGATAATTAAAATAAATTAATAAATATGTAATATCCATATGGATTTCTGTATTCATCTATCATGTTTATTTACTTTATTTTCTTCGGTTGATTTGAGTTTTCATGTTTGCTACGCTTATTTTATCAATTATCCTAATTAGTTTTTTTCATAATTCAATTATAATAAATTTATTTGTTTATTTAGTGTCCTTCTATTAGGAATATATTATAGCTTTTAATGTCATTTTCTGCTTAATCAATATTTCTTGATATAAATAAACTTAATTAATTAATTTAATATTAAAGCTTTTAGAAATGTAGTTTGAAATATTAATAGAAATGCTTACTCAAAGAAAATCTGTGCTATCTTATTCTCCTATTGTAATACTTAATTAGAACTATTAGTTTTATACCTAAAGAGTTTCGAAATCATTGCTAGCAAATATAAATAATTATAATTTAATGCTTCTTAATAATTTTTGCTTATAAAATATTCTATGTGATAAATTCAATTCAGATAATGAAATTCCTAAAATAGAATCAATTCTTTTTTATTATAATTAAACATTTTATAATATCATTATTTTCCAGTTTAAAATTTTCATTATCTAATGAATATTCTAGAATCATGAAGTAAACAATTTTAATATTAATTAAATAAATTTTTCTTTATCTATTTAAAGAATTTATAAAAATTTTAAGAGCTTATCTTATTTTTCATCATTATCTCCCTCTTTAACTCATGTAGTTTTAACACTGATGAAATTTTTGAGAGAAAATATTGCTATATATTTTTGTTTCTAAAGTACAATTCTAATTGTTTAAATGTACATCAATTGTTTAAATGTACATCGATTGGTACTTTGAATTCTTTCCAGATTAATAAAGTTATTAATATATAATATTTATTTATTTATAAAAATAATTGAAAAAAACGATTGCAAATAAATCTATGAATAAAGTAAATTTAATTTTTTGTTCCCAAAGAATTAAATTTAAGCAAGTAAAATCTGTCATGCTAAAATTATGATTTCTTGTGTAACCTTTTATAAATAAAAAATTTCTAGAACTCATTCTAATCGATTCCTTTATCTAATTTTTGATATTTATTCACAAATCCTATTTGTTTAAAAGGCTAAAATATCATATTATTTTTAAAATTGATTTAGAGTGGATTTATATTAGAATAGTTTTAATATAATATATTTTCTTAATAAGATAATTGGTTTATTTATCTATAATTTTAAATATAATAACAAATTTTGTGTTTAGGAAAATATAAATAGAATATAATATTCTAAATCAAAATCTATTAAATTTTCAATTCTTAATTAATTTATTCAATGAATTGTTTCTACTTTTAAAAGGGTTGTTAGATTAATGATATGAAGAGCTTTATTCAACTCGAACTAATCTGCTAGTATTGCAATACTATGAATTTGATTTTTCTGATTCAACAGTACTATTTTCAGTAAAGTTATTCGATTAGATAGTATCTCTTTTTTCAGATATTTTATGCTAAAGTTCTTTGAGTTAATTTTTGAGTTCAATAACCTATTTATCTTTGCGCAATTATAATGCACTTTAAGTGATAAACAATTTTTATTTAATTTCTTAAATTTCTCTTTTGATTTGAAAATTAGAATCTAACATTTCTGAATTTTGATCTTCAAGTTATTTTCGTTTTTATAATTGTTCTTAATTTTCTTTAAGTAATTGATGATATTATTAGTTAAGTTTGATATTAAATTCAATTTGTGATATGATTTGTAAATATTAATCTTTGGTTACAATAAGATTTGAAGTTTCAATATGATTATCTGGAATAGAGTGATTTGAATTAATTTATTGTAATTCAGAGAAGCTGAATTCGTGTTGTTATTGAGATGGTGAATCAGGATGAATAGATGAGAGAATTTTGGATTCGTCAAAGGATTTAATGTCAGGCTAAGAATTATTAAAGAGATCTGCTAATTGATGTGCTGACAAATAGATAGGGTTAAGAAATTAATCTTGCATAATATTTATTATATAAATTTGATAAATCAATTTATACTTCATACTATCAATTATATAAATTTATCAGGTCTATGGAAACAAGCAGGTGTAGCATTAATAGGATTATAACTCATATAATGTGTTGTATGATCTTTCATTTTGTTTACTCTAAAGAAATTGGCATAAATAGGTTAAGTAAACATAGAAATAGGTAATTCGATATGTGCATTCCATGCAGTAGGTGTAACATATTCAGCGAAATATTAAATTTCATCACATTATCTATAAGTAGTGATAAGATTTGAACAACTACCATTAGGATTACCAATTGTGGCATAGAATAAAGCTCCATTTGGTGATATTTCAATTTCTAAATATTCTGTTTTAGTTCCAATAAAAATTTCATCTACATCATGTTAAAATAATGGATCATTGCAATTTGTTAGAGGAGCATCAATATATCTATAATTAATAAATGTTTGTACGAATCCACATTAAAAAAATCAATGACGATTTTATGATTCAAAGATTTACAAATTGTAAAATAAGTGAATTCTATGCTTGTTGTTGTAGATTCATTTTAATGTCCCAATTTGTATTATGTTGGACCCCACTTACAATTTTCTATAGTAATCGGATCGATTACAGCATTCGAAATGACAATTATAATTGTAAATATTAATATCATATAAATTTTAATATCATTTTTTAAGACTTTCGATTTATTATTTTATCAATTGCTTTTCTTATTAATATTTTTCCGATTTCTATTTTCTTTGCATCATCACTTGTTTTCTCATTGAATTAACTCATCTTTTCTTAAAGACCATTAATTGATTAATTTAATGAATTCATTTAATTTCTTAAATAATCTAACATTCTAAATTAAATTAACTATAAATTTACCTCTTTTGCGATTTCAATATAATCTTTCAAATTAACAAAAATCTTAATTTTCGCATCTATAGTATCAACTCCATATTATTTTTGTTGTTCAGTTCCTTAAGCAATTATTATAATCTATATTATATTAAGAATAAATTACTGATTTGATTCTGGCTAATAAAATCATGATATCAGTTTATGATTTAAAAAAGTCATCTAAAGATTTATCTCTAATCAAATTTAAAGTATAGACATCAGGTTTCTTATTTGAAGGTAACTCAAATTTACTAATAATTTATCTTATTTTCTTTAAAACATTCAAAATTAAATCGAATTATATTTCCACATTTTAATTAATCCATTAAGGATTAGTTTATGGATACTTAGCTATTATAAGTGAATCTTCTTTTTAAAATGGTGATTTCTGCCATAATTCTTAAGATAAATATTACATCATTGGATGAAGTAATCTTAAACCTAAATCTATCACTGTCAACAAAGTATTTTATGTTTCAAGTTTTATTTTTTGATATTCATTTTTATTACTAAGAATATTTTTATTCCTTCTTAATAAATATCACAAAAATCATAAAGCCAAAATTAATAGAAGCTTTTAAGTTGTTAAACCAAATTCATAATCATCAAATGCAGCATTTACACTAGTTATGGTTTGATTGAGTTTTAATAAAATCCATTTATTTATTAATTATAAATTATTAAATTCTAATTAAGCATAGTTTATGTCTTAAGGAAATTTAGGAAATGCATATATGCAACTATTCCAAATTTTATTACAAAATTGCTTATATCCAATTATTATTTTCATATTAAAATTTGAAGTTTTTTACAAATAACTTAATAAACCAAATCTTAATGCATCTCCACCACATTCTGGAATACCATTAAGAAATCATCAAAATTAAGCCATCCAAAAGTGGAGAATGGGAATAATTCAGAAGAGAACCAAGTATCTAACACATCTTCATATTAAAGACAAATAAAGATTATTAATAATGAATAATCACCTAAAAAAAAAAATATTAGAGGAAAGCGAAATCGATTTCTGATTATTCTTTAGGAAAAACAAATACACGTAATTGATAAAATATATAGAATGATCAATTTATATATGGATATGTTTGCTTGTTTATATTATTTGTTTTTGATTTAATATTTCCAATTAATCCATCATTTATAGTTTGTGTCTTATTTTTTGCAGTTTTAGGTAAGTTTTGATATTCAATAAAGTAAAGACAAAAATGATTCAAGATTTGTTGTTTACAAATATATACCCTACAGTAATGCTCAGAATGGGATTTTTGTGGTTTGTTGTAAACATAAAATGATTGATAACATTTTTTAGAAGTAGAATGGTATGATAAAAGTTTTTCAGTATATCCTTTCAATGAGAGTTCCTCAAAAATCTAAAGGAAAAATAATCTAAATATTTCGAAGAATTTAATCAAAAATGAATATAGAATATCATAAGTGATTTATTTCAGTGCAGATATATCAAAGTAATTTAAAGCTCATATAATGATATCGAAATATACCCATAATTTTAAGAGAAGAAGCAGAAGATTGATTTTTATAATTCAGAATAACAATAATAATAAGAATGAATAATAAATTTATATATTGTAAAATGATTAAATAAAATTACGAGAAATTGAAATATTCATAAACACTTATATTCATTTATTCAACTATTTCTTTTTTAATTACTTTAAAAAATTAAGAGCTTAAGCACTTAACTATTCATTTAGTTCAGTCTTTTGAATCTATTTACCAATTGAAGATGTTTGCATTCTCTATGTAGATCTAAACAAGGACCTAGTTTATGATTGTACTCTTCCAGATCTGAGACGTTTGATTAGATTATTAAGTGCTTCTGGATTATAAACTAGTTTCTTTTGTTTAATTTCTGTGTCTGAATTGTGAGGAGATATGAAGTAAACATGTTTCTATTTTGGAGGTTGTAAAATTTCTAAAATCTAATCATATAAATGAGAAACGCGGATTAAATCTTATGAATCAACTTTAGAGTTTTCTAAAAGATTACAACATTGCTTAGCCTTTTCCCACATTTCGTTTGGTGGAACTTAAGTCTTTTCTTAATCATCCACAGTCTTAGCATTTTCATAGATTATTTCACTTTCAGCAATATGCTTGCTTACGTTAGTCATATTTGTGATAGAGACAATTTCAAAAGGCATAGGCTTTATTTGAATCTTTCCCAAAAATGAATTTAATAATCTATTTTTAGCTTTGTAATTCGCTGGATAGATTCGCTTCTCTATTCTATGGCATAAGAATTGATATGAGTAATCAGATGTGAAATACTAACATTAATCTAGCATTTATTTATATAATTGATATTATTTATGAAACATTTATATAATTCATCATTAATTATGTAAGCAGTAGGCATCACCTTTTTTTCTTTTGTTTTACGATTAAAGTTGATTCTTCGATCCCTTATGTTTGTAATATACAATAAGTGCTAAGAGACCTAAGAAAAATAAAACACAGAACAAAATGGTTAATAATATCCAATATCTAAAATCAACTTAAAATTATTTACAAATTGGTGGGATTGATAGTAGTCATCTAAACATTTAGAATAATAGAAGCTTATGTAAGTTAATTAATTGCAGTTAAAGTAATTGGTTGTTCTGTGGCATTTCCAAGAAAAGAAAGAGTGGCTTATTCCTCTACCACATATAAATTCAATTTCTTATTTTCTTTATTAAGTTGTAATAGCGTTTATCCATTCTCATCACTATGAAGAGAAAAAAATTAGTTTGGTTAAGATTAAGTTATTTCGACTCCTCCAATCATCAACGTTGGTTATTCTATCTAACCTAATTTATAAATACAAATAGTATAGTATTTAGCTTAGTAAGCTAAAGCTAAATAGTCTTTCTCCAATGAAGCTTTGTAGTATATATCAAAATCAGAGTATCTCTGAATCATTTCATTTATAAATAATTTTTAGTACACATCATCCTCAAAGTACAACACCAATGACAAATGAACAATAGAGTTTGTTAGTAGAATCATTTTAAAAATTTAAAAATTGTTTTAGGGATCTCCATATTGTATCACTTTAAGATATCGTACTTCATCATCAATATTCAATCCCATCATCTATTCTATCGGTTATCTCAATGATACTCTATAAAAAGCATCATCTGGAGTAATACATTTGATTGAACCATCTATATAATGGAAATCTTATATAAACAATCCTTATTATAAATCACTCAAAAATACTCTATATTTATTATTAATTTTATAAGTTATAAAACTAGATGCATAAAAATCCCTGAATTTTCTTTCATCTACACATTGTGTATATGTATATGATACTGATTAAGGAGGAGTAAATTCATAATGATAAGCACATATTTTAGATGTCGAGTACATATACCCTCCAATAATTTGAAAAGCATCTAAAATTATAAAATTTCCATCGTCTAATATATCTAATTAAATAAGTTATGAATTCAGTTTAATATAAAATGGTTCTCCAATCATTTAATATTATTTATCTTGAAATTTAACCATCTATACAAAACCTTAATATGTATTTGTCTAACCAGTAATTAGGATTGTATCTGCTTTGCACCATACATTATTAGGTGTAAATTGTGGGTCAAAGCTGAAATAGAAAGTTGGATGTTTTACATAATGAGCAGAATTTAAAAATATCAATTGATTTGCTGTCATAAATACAAAAGAATCATGATCTAACTTACATTCATCTAACAAGGTTGAATAATACTCCAAACTTTAAATTAAATCAATCTTTTAAGTAAGTAGGATTTAATCTTAACATTATTAACATTCCACCTAATATTATATTATTTATCCTTTAAACCATTCATTTTATATTTTCATTGCAGCTTAATTAACCACTAAGCTCTCATTACTTACTATTGCCACAATATTTGTCATTAAATTTAAAAAGGTTACATTCTATTTAAATTCTATTTTTTCTGGAGAATCAATTGAATCATAATGAATTAATAGTTCCTTTTTGTGTATATATTCATCATTCCATTCTGATGAAATCACTGCTTAAAAATTCCTATAAACTAATTAATTCTTTATTCCAAATTTAGAACTAGCATGTATTAATAAACCATATTAATAAACTTTGGTTATTCCTATAATTATTGTATCTTTTATGTAGTTGCCTAACGGAATGTGTGTTATAAGAGACTCTCTCAAATTTGCATCTGGTTGATAGACTAATAATACTGTTTATTAGAGAACTGGAGTGTAGGCTCTAATTACTATTTAATCTATTGATGACATCATCTACAATGGTGTTTGTAGAATGTAATGAAAAAGTGGGATTTTCTTCATGAATGATACTTATCTTTTCTTTATGCTATATTCTCTAAGTTCCTATTAGTGTCCAAAATGTAGAGCTACGAAAAATGAGTAACTTGTTAAACTTACTTCAATTTATCTACATTCTGGAAAAGACTGATAATAAATTACTTAAAATCTATCATATAAGAATCCAGCAAATAAAGAATCTTAATTTGCTATGATTATCAGATTCTACTTTTTATCAACTCTCACAAATTTGGGATTTAATTAATAAGGTTCTACATCTGATTATGTTATTGTATAGATATATCCTTTATCATTCAATTAATAAATATATATTTCACCTTTCTTTTCTAGTACTACATATATCAATTATTCAGTTAAATAAAATGAACTAATTAATGAATTCTCATCTTTCAGACTTGTAGAAATAACAAATAATTTTGAGACAATTGATTATTTTAATTAAAACATTTCGATTGTGTGTCTAAATTTAGAAATATACCCAAAAATTACAACTTCTTTTTCAATCCATTAGAAAGAATCATGATCCAATTCTCTGTTTGGATTGAATTCTTAAACTTTTTGACATTATAATTATTAACTAATTATAAATTCTCTACATTGATATAAGGTGGCTTTTAAGTTTTACACTTAAATAACATAATAAGTAAAACTACCACTATAAAATATACTAACAAAAACCATATTATCTGGCCATATTATACCATTAATATTTAAATCTTCTAGATAACCAAGTTTTAATTTTATACTCTGATCATTAAGTTATATATTTGCATTAATATTTGATCCAGTAACACCTAATTCCTTAAAGATAGAAACTTATGGATATGTTGGATAATTGACAAATGGATTTAATTGGTTTTTCACATTTGATTTTTAATACAAATTGTTATCTAAATAATCATAAATAATATAATTCAATGTTAAAGCACATTATGTTTCTTCCGTACCAATAACTTATAATCTTTAAAACTCACCTGAAGGTTAAGTGAAAGGTTTCATAATTAACATAGCTGAAGAAACATAATAGTTTTGTTGTGTTTTTTCACTCACAAGATATAGATTCGACAACAAATAATTGAAATCTAGTAAAACTGGTGTTTCAAATGATTTTGAATATACTCTTACCATATTTAAAAGATAATAAATACTTATATAAGTAGAATTATATAAACTGTAGTACTTTTATTCACGATTTACTCTCAATGCTTATACTCGAAAATGAGACAGATCGACTTAACTCATCCAATAAAAAGTTTCTATTTGATATTTAGAAAGTAGAAAGAATGAATTCTGAATTGCAGTAACCATAATTAAATAACTTAAATCCTCGAACATCACGCTCATAGAATAATAAGTAGAGTAATAAGTATAATTATGGTGGTGTATCAATGAAAATTAGTCTAAAGCAATGCTTTCTAATATTATAACTCCAAAGGATTTATCTAAAAGAACTATTTAATTTTATATAGCTAATTAGGCATCAATAATTTCAAATGATTTATTTGCAAAAGGCATCAAAGTCTTCAATACGGTTTAGTTTATAACAATATTAAAGTCATGTAATGTACCATCATAATAATACATTTATACATTATTTTTAGAGATCACCAAAATTTTTCCATCTTAAACATCAATATTTAAGATTACACTATCAATTTAGTATTAATTTTATTGTTTCGCTATCCAAAATTTTCTACCATCTGCCAACAATATAACATCATTTTATATTACTCTAACAAAAGAACATGGTTGATCTGTTTCAAAATAAATATTATTGATCGATGGATATCTTATTTAATAAGTGGATTCATTTTTTATTAAAATAGCTTTCTAATTAGATTTAAATCCTCTACTCTTCATAGAATTTATATCTATTAGTGTAACATTACCTAATATTGATATACTTTATTCTACTTAAATCTATTTAGGTACCATCCAAAGGTTTAAGTAATTCAAGAATTTCAAATTATTCCTCATTTCCATTTAATGAAAAGGTTAGATCTTCTCCTGAAAAGTATTTATTCAAATCCCATTCCTTTCGTTCATATGTTGACGCATATATAGTTAAATTGTTATTGACTCAATTATTAGATATATTTATACAGCAATACAATGTAAATGATGGAATGAACAATAAAAATAATAGCATTTATATAATATTTATAATTCATTTCTTAATTTAACAAGATTTTACTTTTTCAGCAAATCTAAGACTTGCAAGTGTTTGTTGAAAATCTTCTGATCTTGATGAAATGTTTACCATCATTAAAGTTTTAGAACTTCCTTCCATATACTTATACAATGAAAATGTCAATTTACTATTTCTAAATGGTACATGTTATTATTTAGTATAAAGTGCATTAAACACATCACCTAAAGCACTTAATGATTTATTGATTGCTTTAGTTTCAGTAAATCTATCTCCTTCAGTTTTGGCTACATTAGCTCTCTCAGAACCTGCTAAATCAATTAAATTTAAAGTTGAATTTATTTACTTATCTCCCATATGTCCTTATAAATTTAATTAAAATATAAAGTGACTTCTAGATGATACTTCATTACTAAGAGTTTCTGCTACTTATCTATTTTTCTTTGCAGTATTAAAATGTTCTGCAACTTCGTAAATATCTTTTACATCCAATAACTTAACTTCATCACATTTTTAATTAGTAATTAAATCCCTACTCTGTTCATTATAAATTTCTTGAAATCCAACTCTAATATTAGTTTACCATCCAAGTTCTAACATTCCTAATCTTTCTTTAAATATTTATTCAACAGCTCTTGGTATAACACCTTTATTATGATCATCACCTTGCATTGTATATGTTTTACCTGATCCTGTTTAACCATAAGCAAAAATGCATACATTATGACCATCAACAACATTTTGAACTAAATCTGACAGTTCATTATATATTTCTTATTAATCTGCTTCCTAACTAAAAATGTGTTCAAAATTGAAACTACTTTCTTTTTAACAATTAGTTGATTTTAAAAATCTCTCAGGAACTCTAAGTACTAATGTACATTCTCCATTCAATAATAACATGTCTTCTTATGAATTGGGTCGAATACGACAATAAACACGAATGTTACCCTTGGCTTCTTATAATAAATTATTCCAATATCTTTTTTAATGTTCAGTGTCTTTAAGTTCCTATTGCAATTGAATTTATTGTTGTTAACTCAATTTAAAATTATTCATAAGTTATTGCTTCAAGAATTTCTTTTATTCAAGCTCTTCTTTAATTTACTGTAATTCAATAAGCATTCTTTCTTTAGCCTTTTACATTTCAGCAATTTATAATCTTTATTTTGTTTGTTATTCAAATAATTCTTAGATCTATTAGATTTGATTCTATTGTTAGTTTAATCGACTAGCATGATATTCTAATTGATCTTATTGTTAATGAAACTATTAGATGGCTTATCTATCAGCTTCATCTAATTTAGATTAAAATTCTGATAAACATTCGCGGGTAGTTTTTTGAATTACTTAAGTGAGTGGTTTGAATTCATCAAAGTTTTTTTTAAAATCTCCTACTTCTTCACTTTAGACTGTAAGAATTCTACTTTTGTGAGTGATTAATTCAATAAGTTTGTCTTCAATAACTTTGAGATGATAAGCTCTAATATCCTTAAGTTCTTTTTCCATTTAAATAATTATTAAAATGGATGACTTGAACACAATAGTGGAGCCTATTAGTACACTTTAGAAAATTTCATTTGGAGAGAAGTTTGCTGAATATTAGGTGTTAAGATGTAATCATCCAGGGTTCTTACCATTGATAATACAAATAGAAGCATTGATAACTGGAGGATGTTAGATGTGGTTTAAGATGTATTTGCATTAAGATATTCTTGTTGGACATTTAAGAGATTTCTTAAGAAAGATGCTTCAAAATAGATTTGCCAATATTGCTTAATATAAAGACAATATTGCACTTGTAGTTGGTGATTTCATTATCATTAAATGTATGGTTTATATATTTACTAATTATTCAGTTGATGTACCTTTAAATGATATATATTAAAAGAAAGTTGATAAAGATGGATGGTTATATATATCAATTGCATATGATTACTAAAAATGACATTATACATACTAAATTATTAAATGAATTAAGACATTTATATCCAAAAACAATGGTTCATAAAGACTCGAGAGGGAAAGTTTGATGATTATTACGTTTTAGACAATAAAGTTTATGTTCACATCATCAATGTAGGAACTCTCTTCTGGTTCATTTGGAAAGGTTTTTTAAGCTAAACCCAAACTTTTGAAGAATGATCCTATGAGAGCCGTGAAAGTCATTCCAAAACGATTGATTGAAAATAAAGATAGATTTCTTTAAGAAGTAGAAATTCTTAGGAATCTTGATCATCCTAATATTATTAAACTTTATGAGACATTCGAAGATATTAGAAATATTTATTTAGTCATGGAGTATTATTTATTTTTAAACATTCATAATTTAGACTTTGTACAGGTGGAGAATTATTTGATTAAATTGTCACTCATGGTTAATTAAGTGAAAGGGATGCTTAATAAGTCTTTATTTAAATTATGAGAGCAATTTCATATTGTCATAGTAAAGGAATTGCACATAGAGATTTAAAACCAGAGAATTTCTTATTTTATGATGACAAACCAGGAAGTCTTTTAAAAGTTATTGATTTTGGTTTGTCTCGTGTATTTAGATAACAAGGATAATCATAAAAATAAATGATGAAAAGTAGAACTGGCTCAGTAATTATTCTTATGCATTATTATTTATTTTTAGACTTATTATATAAGTCCAGAAGTCTTAGATGGATAATATGATGAATTATGTGATGTATGGTCAGCTGGAGTTATTTTATATATTTTACTCACTGGTATACCACCTTTTAATGGAGAAAGTGATGGAGAGATTATCAAATAAATCAAATTAGGAAAACTTAATCTAGATTTACCTGAATTTTAAACCGTATCTTAAAGTGCTAAAGATTTAATTTAAAAGATGATTTGTAAACATTCTCATAGATTAAATTCTCAATAAGTCTTATAACATGAATGGTTATAAAATCTCAATCAAAATGATTCAAAATTATGTCTCAATTTTGATTCATTGAAATAGTTCACTTAACAAAGTAAATTAAAAAAAGTATAAATTTATATATTATTTATTAGATAGTGCTTGCTTAAATTGCTTCCTAAGTTAGTTTGAAAGAAATAGAAGAACTGAGTAAATTGTTTTAAACATTGGACAAAGATGGAAATGGATAATTAAGTTTCGAGGAATTCAAAAATGGATTTAAGGAAAAGAAAAATGATTTGTTACAATACTTTGAAGCTATTGATACTAATTCATCTGGATCAATCGATTATAATGGTTTTGATAATTGATTTTTTATAACTATAGAATTCATTGCAGCCATGATGGAGAGATCCTTCTATTTGAAATAAGATAAATTATTGTAAGCTTTTTAAACTTTTGATCTAGATAATGATGGAAAAATCACTCCTTTAGAACTTAAAAAAGTTCTTGGAGGTATAATCCATATTTCTATTTTAGATAATGATTATTATAATAAGATTGATTCCAAATTTTGGGAATCCTTATTGAAAGATGGAGACTTCGATGAAGATGGTTAAATTGATTATTTAGAATTTGTTGAAATGATGAGTGATTTATGAAAAATTTATAATATTTATTATACAAAATTATTTATATAACAAAACATTAATTATGAACAATAGTAATTATAATAACAATACAT